AATGTATCTGCTCGGAGAGACAGAACGCTGACAGGTGGAGGAAAACCTCCTCAGGCTGGGTTGAGAGTGCAAGAGGGTCGGGGCCAGTCCAGTTGAAGCCAGGCGCATGGTCGAGTCCAAGGTGAAAGCAGCATTCGACCAACAGAGACGGTGGAGCGTCATTTCTGACATACTGGCGGAGATGGTCGAGGTCATGGAACCCATGGTCAGTGGCAAGACAGGGAGGTGGTCTCGGTATACCAGAAGACTGTCGCCAGATTGCGTGAAGATCGAGGTCGAAGTCGGATTCTGTGGTACTGTGAGCCTGTGCTTATCAAAAGGCCCTGTACGCATCTTACCGTCATGGACTAGATTATTCATGTTTATCGTATATCACGGATAAGAGATGAGACAGATGAACAATTTTCGGCCAGCGATGCAGAACATCTCAGAGGGAAAAAATAACAGACGATGGGAAGAGCTTAAATATATTTGAAATTGGCAGCAGGGGCAATGATAAAATTCCATTTCCACAAGACTGGCAACAAGATACCACATGATTGGTCAGAATGGATATTTTCACCAGATTCAGCAATGTTGAACCACATCTCACCACCAGTAATTTTGCCCAAGACATCAAAGAACTGGTTTTCGAAAAGCATGGAACACACAGAAAATACTCCCCAGTCCCCTGCCTTTCATGTCAAGCTACTCGGGTCTTGCCAAAGGCATGTCGGCACGAAAAGTCGTTTCACTACTCCCTTTCAGGGCTGCAGCGACGCCAGCATGAAGCTGACGAAACACACGCTCGCGGCTCCACACCCATAGGGCTTGCTCATTGCAGCGCTGGGCGAGAAGATCGTTCTCGACCTCCAACCACTCGTTGGACTCCTGGAGTTCCTGCTGTTCTTCATCCAGGTGGATCTTGTCGGCAGATTTCAGGACATAGCAGTCCCAGAGACAAAAGTAAAAGTCGAGAAGTCTGACAACGGGCATGGCAAGGTCAGCCTGGTTGTGAAGAATTTGCATCAGCTGTGTTGTCAGGGGACCGGCCGGTTTGATGGGATTCTGTGAGTATTTAGCATTGTTCACTAGCCGCCGGGGAGGGACTGACCTTGAGAGCGATCGCTGCGTGACCTGCCTCGGGCTGGGAATCTTTCACATGGACATCATCCATTGTCGGGTTGGATAGCTTGCGCGGTCTCTTAGCAGGTCGAGCTGCAGAGGGAGAAGGTGGGTGGTCCATTGCATTTGCTGGATAAATGAAAGGAATCTTCCCGTAGCAAAAGTATTTATACAGTGCTCAGGGGACTCAGGTATCTATATAAGGACAAGTGAGACAAGCGCCAGGTGTGATGAATTTCAACGATGCAGAATTTATCAGTACAGTGGTGATGAATCACCTGTTGATCCTACGTGATGGGTACAGCAGAAAATAAAATTCTCTAGTGAGATGCGCAAAATCAAATATTCGGCTTTTTCATTAACATTAAGGGATACCGGAAAACAGTTGAGATAAACGCGTTTGCTGAACAAGTTCATGATTTCCACTGCAGACTGTTTGGATCTTTCCTAGAATTTCAGTTTTTTGTACTCGCCCACTTTGCCGGTGCATGGTCCAGCTCTACTGCAGACCGGTTTGAAATGCACCAAATGTGCACCGCGCTGACCGGGGCAGCTTTGGAACGCCGAGATTATCAATCTTCGTCTGAAATGACTTCCGAACGGGGTCATTGTATGCAAAGCCAAGCGCTGCGATCATACTTTGCCGCGACAATCGCCCATCCAGTAGAAGCGCGTCGACTATTCCTAGGTGCGCTCTTTGTGCTGCCAGGGATAATGGCGCTTGGCACCACCGGTTTTCGAGATTGGGGTCGATCTGATCATGGCGTAGCAAAGCCATTACCAGTGCCAGACTGCCATCCTGCGCGGCAATGCAGAGCGCTGTGTCATGGCTTGTCATCGTTTTCCGATTGATCTGTAGACGGTCGCCCTGCTGAACCAAGAGATGCACGGCTTCCAGCTGGCCTCGTTTCACCGCCTGACAAATTGGCGGATGGCCCAGGCCGCTGGCATTGATGTCTACGTGCGCTGTGTGCAGCAGCACCTTCATCGCATCGATGCGTCCGTGAGCACACGCGAGAGCAAACGGCGACTGGCCCGCCGCGCAGCGAGCGACTTCGATCCCTGGCACAGCCAGAAGACGCTGTAGTGCCGTCGTGTCCGGTTTCAGCACAGCATGATGAAGGGAAGTCGAGGGTGGTTGGAATTCACCGAGTCCCCCAATGAAATTGATGTCAATGCGTGGCTCTTGCAGAAGTCTCTCAGTCACCGCGTCGCATGAGAGGTGTGTAGACAGCCAGAGTGGCGTGTTGCCCTTCACGTCTTTGCAGTTGACCCTGACTTGTGGGTGGCTCAGCAGCAAATCCATGACTTCACAATTCCTGGTTCGGACCGCTGAATGGAGAATTGTATTGCCATTCCGGTCGTGCGCTTCCATATTGATATTTTTCTGTTCCAGCAGTGATCGTACAGCATTCATGGACCCATGGGATACCGCTTGATGAAGAGACATCTCGTCGTGATACATGAAGTCAGAGGGGAACTTGGATTCAGTTTCCTTGATGAACAATCTCTTCATGAAAGGGCTGTTGTTGTGAAAGGCCTGATCCCATGGCGAGTGGCCGTAATCATCTTTGATATCAGGATCGCTGCCATGATCAAGCAAGACCTGCACAAGTCCAATTCTTCCGGCCCAGACTGCTCGGTGGAGCGCCGTTTGACCTTGTCGGTGTCTAAGGTCCATTTTCAGATCCGGGCAGGCCGCTGCCAATTCTACAATAGACCGGTAGGTGCCATACTTGATGGCATACCATAACGCGCTTTCCTGGGCTTGATTCTGGAGGTTGATGTCTACCCCTGGCGCTTTCAACAACACCTTTAGCACATCGCTAGCACCATGGTTCAATGCTCTCATAATCGAGGTTTTTCCGCGGAAAAAAGCATTCACGTCGGCGTGATAGCTGAGCATAGCCTGAGCCAGAGACACATTGTTGGTCTTGGCTGCCAGATGCAACATATTACTGTTCTGGAACAAGATATTCTGCTTCAAAAAGGTGGGTTGCAGTCCGAAGTGCAAGTTTCTGCAGGATTTTTCTAAGGCGATGATTGCCTTGTCGCCCAGAAATGCTGCAACAATCAGCAATATTTTGCTAGGCAAGCATGGAATGTGCGACTGTTTGTAGGTTAGTACGAAACTCAGCATATCAGAGGAAAGTTAATGTACGAACCATGATGGGAGAAATGCCGGCGAAAGTGAGATAAGAGCTGATGTTGTAGAGGCTGCTTTGGTGAGAAAGCCCTTTTATATCATGCTCCCTGAAGCATCTGCTCAGCTCCATGGGAAAGGTGACCTACGCCGCCACTGGTCGGCAGGGATAATAAAGAAAAATCGCAATAGAAAATGGTCGTATAGGTCCTAAACCCCTGATTGAGGATCCCGAAGTCATTGCTAGAGTTCCTAGGATCAATTTGCGTCCCAGGAGCGCCCCAAATTGTCTCCAGGAACACGTGAATAGCTCCTGGATAACAGTCCTCCTGCCTTGGGTCTCCTTGCGATATCCCCGGCATGCCATAACCCAACTTCAGTCGGGAATTTGGCTTAAGATCCCAAATTGAAGCATGAGACAGACCCTCAGCTTGAGTATGATCTACACTGAGCGAGGACCATCATCCCCACGCCACCGATCAACAAGGGCCCTGCCCAGAGTTGAATCCCAATATGCATAAGGAATGATCTGTGATAGGACTGCCTTGGGCTTGGAATGTGTGCATGCCCTTCGGTAGTCTATAAAGATGAGCGCTGCCAGTCTGACTTGATATCCATCCACAAGTCCACCCAGATCACTTACTCCTAAGCCCCAGAAATGTCATCTTCGTACACGTGGGACCCATTGGTGGTCTGTGAAATGGAGGTTGGGCCACTTGGCCAGCGCGGCACTTGCTGCGGGATCACTGAAAACGACGCACCTTGCAAAAATTCGGTCAAAGCCAAGGACATCAACAGAGGTCACCAAGAAATGGTCCGCCTGTCCCGCACCGCCTTTGATCTGGCCAACCTGCACTCTGCGCTCTGTGCAATTGCGAAACACTTTCTCTGCAAGCGATGGCACCGGGAACGACAGGCCAGCCACTTAGCCCAAGGATGGTACGACGTAGCCATTCGCAACCAAGCGCAGGCGTATGACGATCTCGACTTTATCCCTTCGTCGGCAGATTCACCGGTAGTCCCGCGCCAGACACAATTCACTTTCAGAGGGACTCATGAGGAGTCGGGTTGGACCGTTCAAGAACCTCATCAACACAGCGACCGTGAAGCCTCGCCCGCCGGTACCCTGAGTGACCCTGATATATCCAATCATGGCCATTCATGGGCTGCTCCCTACATCACGAGTGCAATGCTGCGAGCAAACAGTGTTCCGTGGCACGTGTCGCCAGCCCAGCCAGCGATCCTTCCATTTGTCACGAACATCTGGGTCGGTGTGCAAGATTTGACGCTCCACAGCGTCACTCCCTGTGACGATGTTGACAGCATCCACTGCATGTTTTGTTTGGCCGAGGATGACGATCGAGCTGATGAACGCGTGGTCTTGCGGTGCGTCGAGTGCAGGGGGCTATCGCACCTGGGGTGTACCGAGGAGTGGCTGGAAAAGCGCGATACGGGACGTGGTACTTCATGCTGCATCTGGTAAGTTCGGAGTTCACTGGAGGATTTTGATTTGGTCATGCTGACACGCGTAGTCGAACCGAGACTGCCTTGGACGCCCTTTACCGCCCGCCGCGGGACCCCTCACCGCGAACCGAAGAAAGCTCCGTCGAGACCGTCGCAACGGTGCACAACAGAGCTTCCGACACAGACATCACACAGCCACGAAGCGACCCTGCTTGGATTGGAACACCACCAGTCCAGCCAGCTGGGATGAGGCGGCGTCGCGAAATCCCTGCGGAGCCGGGTGCTCAAGATGGTCTCCGCCGATCAGCTCGATTGGCCAGAGTGTCTGCCTCGACAGCAGACTCCCACGCCCCGGCCACGCTTCGTCGGTCGGCCCGATTTCGCTTCTAGGATTTGGAACAGTGGAAAGATTCGTATGTCAGGGTCGAAATTGCAAATTGTTCAATCAAGCCATTGTTGCAGTCTAAATACGAACGCTAGATCAGAATGTACCCAAGTAATAGAATATTCATTATGGACGCGATACAGTTTCAGTGTCTAGCTCGCTAGATGTCTTCAAGAGTGCGAAACCTTTATCCGTTTGCACGATTCACGATATGGCGCGCGAGTCATCTTCGAAGGGATCGGGCTCGCGGGCACCATGGGGAATTCTCCGTGATGAGTACCGACAGGAAGCGCCGCAGGATTGCATGATACCAGACCATTATCATGTATGCTTGTGCGAGGGATCCATACCTTCTCCGACGGGAGGCCGTAGATCGCCGACCGTTCGTTCAAGCAGACCGTGGCGTAGTATGCGGTTGAGTGATCCAATTCGCCAAAAACGCACCATCGAATCTTTCGATGAACAAATTGCTGACGGCAGCCGCATGCTGCGAATTCAGGCTGTGTCGATGCTTTGAAAGTTAGCTCAACCTGATCTCATATAAATGGTGGAGTAGACTTACCCGCTTCGGGATGAAGGAGCTCCGCTTCAGCGCCGCAGTGCTCCGCATGAAGAACGACTTTGTATTCTGGCCCACCTTCATGGAATCTTTGGATCGTTTCCGCTTCATTGTCTTCCCAGCTGACCAGCAGACCGCCAGCATGAAGGCTGATTTGGATGTTATGTGGGAACCATTGAAGCAGGCGTCTGACTTGGCGCATGTACCGGATCTCTGTGATCCGTGGCATGGGGGATGCTGTACAGAGGGAAGGTATAGAGAGAACCAGCAACTCCTCCACAACATCTCTCCATGAAAAGGGTGCATATTGTCCACCCACGGTTGTTGGAACCAGATCCCGGCATAACCCCCTCTGGTCCATACTGTCAAAATCCCACCATTGATGTGGAATGCTCAACGTACATTCGGCAGCGTGGTAGAGGACATCGAGCCTCCCGGCCAAGTCGTCGACATATACGACTTTCATTTTGCTTGGGACATTCAAGAGTGCCAAGCAGGCCCTGAAAGCCCGATCGATTGTCTTCGCAAAGGCGTTACCGGGCAAGGCACGGAGCTTCGCATTCTTGCAAAGTCGCTGTTGCTCCTCCTCAATCGTCCGGATTGGTGACGCGGAGCGAAGGAGCTGCCAGAAACTCTTCGGAAGTGTGGTCGGCTTTCTGCCGGTGCATTTTCGGATCGCATCCACGGTCTGTCTCGAATTAGTATGTGACACCCCTCGAATTGAATTTTACTGACCTGCGGATTTGATTCTGCACTGTAAAAGTAAAGCTTATCCCTTGAAGCATGCACGAGGTGCTCCCAAATGCGGGTCTTGGTCGATGGCTCCAGAAGTATCTCCGCTTTGTCAACATCGCCAAGGTGCGCATAGTTGCGGAGAAGGCCGATATAGGAGGGGAGGAGAAGCCCCTCATGCAGAGATAGTGCATGCTCCCATATTTGCCGCACCAAGTCTGCTAACTCGAAGCAACTGATCATGCGCTGTCGGTCCCGGCTAAATTTTCCGAAGGCGAAGTTGTAGCCAAACTTGAAGACCTTGCCGACCACGGTAGGCATGGAGAGTCGTACTCCATGCAGGAATAGCTTGCCAGAAAATTTCGCATCTAGAAGTAAATCTCCCTGTGGCGTCGAAATCATGGATGAGGGTGAGGTCAGTTGGTGGATGTCGAGTGTGACCCGCAGCCATCGCAGGAAGGTCTTGGGTGACACCGGTCGACTTTGATGGTCGCGACCGGCCCCAATGACCACTGCAACATCTCGTTCGGTGCGAGAGTGCAAGTCAGCCATATCGTCCACTGTCTCTCGCTGTTCGATGAGATTCGGCTTGCAGGCAGTCGTGATGACGCAGCGAAGAGACTGCTGTGGCCCATGCAGCCCGAAATTCCAATTGCAGTGGCTTGCGGCGATGCTCATCTTGTATTGGTGTCGATTCATGACCAACGCAGCCAGTTTGAGGCCCTCTCCGTGCGAGCCACTGAGCCTGTGGTCTACAGCTTTGGTCGTGTGTCCCATGATGAGAGACTCGACGGGCAGTTGCGTGCATGCATTGGTGAGGGTGACTCGACCGGTCTTTTTCTCGTATTGGATTAATCCTCGAGCTTGGAGATCCGCGTGATCGTCTGAGGCCGATGAACCTATGATGGAGAGGTGATCTTTGCCGTCTTCGAAGTGTAGCTTGAAGTCTCGTCGGTCGAGCTGGAATCTTTCCAGAATGGCATCTTTCCTACTCGGTGTCAGCAAATTTCCCACCTGGTGGTTCGACACGTACCAGTTTTGATATAGCTCGCGGAAGGCGTCGGTAGTATCCCAGTCTTTTACGTAAGAAGGGGAGATTCCAAAGGAAACGGTCTGCTGCGACTGCTGATCTGCGACGCAAGGACTATCCGAGCCTTGTTGCAGCTCGCTATGAAGTTGTTTGCTTGCCTCATCGCTGATACAGCTCTCTCGATCCATGAGAAGACGACTTGATTTGAAAGTAGCGCGAACGGGTAAATCATTTGTTCTTCCAAGGGGTAATTCTACTATTTATAAGGCACTTGGGTCATCGTGGAACCAAATGGTGAGTAGAGTGGTGAACTTCGCAATTGAGCACCGCGAGGCATGTCTGGATCAACAATGCCCAATTGCACAAATCGCGGATCAACAAAAAAAGGGAATGATATTTGTTGTTGAAGCTTTTTCTATCTGACAATTGACACTCAGTCTTCAATAAGCCGCAAATTCCGGTGATCTAGTTGGTTCAGCGTACTGGCTGGAAAACTTGTGTCAGATTGAAGTAGTCCACGCACCTCAAATCAAACCGTGGTCTACGACCTCGTGCCACGGCAAGACACTCCTAGCTACAAGGTCCATCCTTTGAAGTGAGTCTTCGCAAAAGTTGAAATGGCTGGATCTTTCGGGCTGGCATCATCATGAGCGGGCGGTGGGCCTGTGAGTTGACGTGATGCGGATGTCTCTCATCTCCAATAGCTCGACAAGAACAGAAGCCCTCATCCGAGAACTGCCTCCGAGCCAGAACTGAAGCTTTGCCTCCACCAACCTTGACCCTTGAGTCTCATCATTGATCATTGAGAGAAAGAAATTGCTAAAAAATCCAGAACCGTCTTCACCTTCAACTTCAAGCCTCGTTGGGTCAACAGCAGCAGCCATCCAGATATACCCGATGGCAAGATTGAAGCAGGCTGCATTCACGTTGCATGTGGACACCAGGGTATTGAACAGGGGGCCGAAGGTGATTACTGGAAGGCCAATGCAGACGTATGCCTTGGCGGCGCTTCGTCCTGTCCGTATTGCTTCGTCCATCAAATCTGTGCCCTCGATTGATCTGGCATCAATAACGACAGAATCCGACACCCAATACTCCGTGGACCAGCTGTATGGAGCCAGAGGAGGAGTCTCACAGATGGACCTCCAAATATGGAGCGCCTTTTCTCTGACTCTTGAGATCTTTTGCTTTCCTGGAACACCGAGAATGAGAAGTTTTCTATCTTTCCCGTTGGTCGCGCAAGTGATGCCCAAGTGATAGTGCGAGGATTGCAGACTGGACATTTTGGCTAGTGGAAGGACTGTTGTCACGCCGAATTTCACTGAAATGAAGACACATTCTTTGTCTGCCTTGTTGACCACAGCGTGGCTGGGTAAGGTAGCACATTGCAGCATGTCATTGATACTCTTTCCGCAAACCTTCAGCTGTTCCCACGTCCAGACAAGCTCTTCAGTCTTTGAGTAGATAAAGGGCGATTTTGGAATGGAGGGAATCTGGGATGACGAGGTACTACATTTCAGGGATTTAAGATCAGCACCGCCAGGACTTTTGCAGAGGGGAGGAAGAAGGTGCCTTACTCGAGTATTTGTTTCTGACTGAAACGTGACTGGGACTCACGCAACGGCATCATGGACGCGACGAGATGAAAGGCTGGCGTGAAGGATGAAAGTACATGCTGCACTTGTGCCTATACCTTTGGATGTACCACGGAGGCACTCATGGTGATATGTAATCATCGATGGCTCACCATGTGGGTACATCGTTGAGTGTTGAGATGACTAGGAGTGAAATACTCCAAGAATAATTAAATTTCTCCAGTGGCGACAAGGATGAGAAAAGGTCCTGGGAGCAAGTGTAATGACCCTGGGAGCTGCTCACTGAATCAGACCCTCTGTGTTCTCACTGGTATATAAGCCAATCAATTCGAAATGAAACATTCGTACGCACCGCCACTACGACCGCAGATCATTTGAGGACCATTTACTCGGCTCAATGCCAGACTGAACCAGGTTCAGGAAGGATTACTTAAAGTGAGACTTCGCCTGGGGCCTGTTCTGTCATTTTCCGTTCCTACATTATTTCGCTCCAATACCGAAGACCTGGGCTACCCCCCAACTACCAGTCGTCTTACGTCCTCGATATGACTTCTCATACTAGATTCACCATGATTCGCACGCGCCTTACCATTCTGGTCCCCGCAATCGTGTGGCTGGCCCTTGCGAGCCTCGAACTCGGCCATATCTCACTTCGCAATTATCCTACGGGACAATGCAGAATCAGATCTCATCAACACCAATCATGCCCTGCTGGACCTTGCATTTAAAAGTCTGATGGAGAGAATTATTGTTGTCTCAGTTATTGTCGCCCTGGTCTCAGCATCGCTCTCCATCTTCGGTACGGTCCTTGCGATCCACCCGAGGTGGCTGCATCAGGACTGCAAATGTCGGTTTTACTTCGAATACCTTCAGGTTATGGTAGGGCTTATTAGCCTCTCCGTGGGTGGATATATCGCGGGCTGCGTCCATGGGTCTCAATCTTGGTTTGAGCTGTTGGACAGTCACGACCACTTGCCTTACTACGGAATCATATATTACGGGACTGTAGGGCAAGCTTTGTTTGGTTCTCTCGTGATCATCGTGTCCTTTTTCCGGTTTATCATATGCGACTTCTGCGGTCATTAAGAGCAAGCGCGGTCAACGAAGCGATCATGAATCTTACACTTCAAAATGCTTTTGAAGCCGGGCTATTTCTTACGACCAAAACCCCGTTGGACTTGAATCAAGATGGCTAATCTTTGGAACGCATTTGGAGAGACATTGGAAAATACAAAATTTAAATACACCATGTGAATCTTATTGAATATCTGGAAAAAGGGCGCGTTTTTGACAAGTATTTTTCCAATCCTCTGCTTTTCATTGAGCTTGATATCCAGAATGTACGATAGACAGCAAATATTGGAGTGCGAAATGCTTGGAAGTAATTTCATGTGATTTGACCCGCAGATTGTACTAAAAAGAGTTCTTTCCACGGTGGTATGTGCAATTTACTCGAGTCATAAGTAAGGCAGCTCGTGCAAGTAACAGGAGATCAGCAGCCGAGCGGCGCCTGGCTGTGATCAACGGATGCTGACAGGCATTAGCAAGTTCTGAGCCTGGGCAGAACGACTCACCATTTTCAAAACTGCCATCGATGCTGCCGCTCCAGAGACGGACAAAAAGTTTACTGCGGCGGACGCAATTGGCCAGCGTTCGAGGTCGTCGACACCAATAGCCCCGTCTTCTTTGTCGTACTTTTGCATGAGCTGCATTGTAATTGACGGTATGGCGGCGATACATGCGGCTTCAGACTGACTTGTTACACAATCCACGCAATTTTCCGGGCCAGCTGCAACTCGTAAGCTAGATTCTTCGCGGGAAGGGTCTTGACTGACCAATTTTGATGATCCCGTCAAGCCCAAGTAGTATGTTGGAACAGACCAAAGACTGATGAACAAGGCGAAAGGCAGCTAGGTAGCACATACCTTCAAGGATCTGAAAGGTCAGCACAGTTTCTTGGTACGATCATGAAGAACACACCTGGAACATGATCGATCCCAATTCCGCCTCGGTGGGATACAAATCCGAGCAAGCAACGACATTCCCGAGAGTCAGCGGTAGGTCGGCGACTAGAAAGAATGCGAAATCTCCATCAATGTAACATTAATAGAAAAGAAGGATATTGACGTGTTCCAGACGCCCGAATCTATCGATCAGGCTCCGAGCATCCTGCCTGTTGTATTTCCTGATGGCCACCACACGAGATGGGCGGGTGCGACGAGAGGCAATCACTACCTCACCGGCGATGTCGTATGAGATGGCTTGCTGATACGTGTCCCACGGGGACTCGTGTCGAACAATCAGAACTGACCTAATATCGTCGAGACTGTGCAAGCGTGGCAGACAAAGGCTCTTTATGGGGCCTGTCACGGCTTTCTGGCTGTGGTGGTGAACAGGTCTTTTTGGTTCAGCGCTGCTGGATTTCTCATTCTTGGAAGCGACGGAGCGAGAATATGTGAGTGGCGGTTGGGATTGAGCTTTGATGGTGTCAAAGTCAAATATCACGTGCTCTTTGAATTGTCTGACTGCCATGATCAGGGCCGGCGTTGTATCCGTCAGATTGCGATATTCTGCGAAGACAAAGAAACAGCCTCTGAGAGAAATAGGGGACGATATTCATACTTGATTGCCGATATGGAGTCCTTTACAAATTTGACATGCTTTACTGCGTTGGCTCCTCAAGTTGTTGGAAGATGAGGTTGCCCAACTTGAGTGCTTTTCCAACTTCGATCAGAAAAGCACACGAGAGCACAAAATCGCCGACCGCGATTCAGGCTCACAAGTGAGACCTCTAGATTTGAATGCATCAACTTCGTCATTCCTAGCACAAAATCTTGAATCCATTTTCATTTCAGGAAAGCCCATCCCTAGTTCAAAATGTACTTCACAAAATGTCTTTTTTCTTCGCGCATACCTGCTCACATGACACGAATCTTAAGCACCTCCTCTCTCTTTTTGAATGCACAATCACTACCCGCGTATTCCCGAAGATCAACAAATGAGCTGCATAAGAGCCCTCGAGTAACTGACTAGGCTGTAGACAAGACACAGGTGCATCACATAAAGACTGGGCTGCAATCGAGGCATAAAGCTGAGTCGTTCCAACGGACTGACCAGATAGATTGCAGCCCCAAGACAGTTCTTCATGACCATGTGGATGAATTCGGTTGCCAGAGATGGAAATGCTGGTCGATTCTCGGCTAAGGCCTGAAGCGCTGGAACCAAGCACAGCAAACCGAGCGAGACGCAGTGGTATGGGAATCGGATCCGAACTACCGATATATTCGAGTCGAACGTGAGGAGCTCCGCAACAGTGACAAAAAATGCAATGGTGAGGATGGCTGCATATCCCAGTTGAATGGAAGGCTGTGTCTCAAAAAGATGAAGGACTGTTGGAAGAGTGCTTGTCCAAATCACAGCTAATACAGCTCCAAGCTCAAATTCCGATCTTCGAGACACCGTGCGTTGGCCGTTTTGAAAGATGGACAGCACTTGATCAAGCAAGATCAACGAGCACCATAAGATGACGCTGGCGCAAAAGGCGATGACAGAGAGTGCTTGGAGAGTTTGATTGCCGAGCATAAAGCGATGAAATAGGAGGACCTGCGCAAAAAGAACAGAGAAGTAGAATAACCCCAAGAGACTGATGAGAGAGATGATGGCGCAATGCCCGGCATTGGAGGGGTGATATTTTCCCATGTCGGGTCCTGTTATTGCTGGTGTGACGAAGTGCAAGAATCTTCTTTTCCAGCAGAACTGCATCATATATAGTTGAGACCAAATCGCAGAAGGACAGACAATGACCTTTGCACCTAGGCGTCAACAGTGGCAGAAGGGTTCTCACCATCGCACGTTCTGCAGAAATTCACGACGTCTGGAAGCGTACTCTCAAGTTCAAATATTGTTGAAATACTTGACACGGTCAACAGTTGAGTGAGGAACTGGCAGTTAGCCATTGCATCTCCAATGCAACTATCGACCTGGCAGCTCAATTTCAAAACGAAGCAACATAATTTCACCGATGTTCTCTAAACGATTGCATCTGCTGTGGAATCGAATGGCGACCAAACGGAACGATCGGAAAGCCGTGGTGATGTCTAATCAGATTTGTCTCGTTGCGTAGATGGATACTGTACTACTGGCGGTAGAATCGCTCAAAATCTGTAGTAAGGCTATGGAGATTCTTCTCGATGGTCTGTTAGGCCACTCTCAACCTTTTGAAAGCCCCATGTATTGCTTCATGTGCTCGTATACTGTGGTTACTCAAACTCAAGAGTGAATTCATTGATTATACTGTATTCCAGTCGGCTCGCGTACACGACAGAAAGCCCTTCTCTCATCAAGGCCTCTCATCACATTGAGAATGCCGAGGAGACGTACTCTGCATGGGTAGGTGGTGGATTTTCTTCTAACCTGAATCTTTTTGTTCTCATTCTTGTTCTTTTATGGTCGTAATGGATCGCAATAGCATGATTGATCTACTTAATATAGCTATGAGAATATGTTCCTCGAACTCATGCATGTTGCACCAATTATAAAAAATCTTTAAAACATACACCAAAGTCCTTTCTATAGAAGAGCTCGCGTCGGCTCCAAGCCATACTGAAATAATTCACGTGTTGCATGGTACTGTATCACCAACTCGCTCTCTCACAGGCAGTGAACTCGCAAAAAAACTATTGCTCATTCCTTGCCAAAGATTCATACCTCCAATCTGGGTGAGAATTCAGACAGACTCAGTTCCAGCATGGGCAGGCTGCCTGATGAGCCCGTAGGGGAAGTAATTGTGGTATTGGCAGAGACTCGTGTGAACGAGGTGTTTCCAGAGCAAACGCTATTCTCATTCGATGTCGCGCATGACCCTCGCGGAGTTTCTCTATGAGAAGCCTCGGATCTCACACTTCTATCCGGTGTCACAGATACCCATGGGAACATCTTGTCCATGAGACTCGTCTTGCTTGATCTGCACCGCTCTTCGGACTCATGCTGAGATAGAATGGGCTGCGTGCTCGTCAACGACCGGAGACGATTGAACACAGAGAACTCCAACTTCAGTTTGACGCTGTAAACAACCGTCTTGAAGCTCACTTGAATGTAGTGCAGCTTGTACTCCGTGAGAAGGAGCAGAATATTCAACAACACGACAATGATATTGATCCAGAGCAGATGGATGATGGCATTCCGACCATTGCGACCTCGGATCTCGATCATCGGCTTGAGAGCTCGCATTGCTTCGTAGATATAAATGCCGCAGATGATGAGATCTTGGACGCAGAATCCTGTCACTTGGATTCGATCGTATATCGCGGCAGGCCGAGCGAGGCGTGTGTCGCCTTGGTTCAAGCCAAAGAACAGGACGGTCATGGGGATGTGAAGAATAAAAAAGTTCCCGATAATCATCCACAAGACCCACCGCACTCTTTCCATGTGGCGGACAACGAGATCCAGACGGGAATATAGTACGATCGCCTGACCAGTGACCATGCCGTACCACCCGATGATGAACGGGATTGACGTGGAAAGGTTAGACGCTTGAGAGACAAAACGAGCCATGGCAGGCAGTGCATGCACAAGAATGCCCCAAGATGCGACCTGCATGCTCCAGAAATAGAGACCGCTGTAGCGCTTGAACGTGTCGAATGTGACGATTGCCGTTTCGAAGGCATTGTAGGCACCGATTGAGAACATGGCCACGACCTGGATGATCGAGACGTTTTTCATCAGGATGGCCCCAACGTCTGGTGGCAGGCTGGTAATGATTGTATCCATGATTAGGAGAGACTTTACCGAAATGTGAAAGATTGTAAAATTGAAAATGATGGACGAAATGACTTGAGAAGTCTATAAAGAATGCTATGTTGTAAACACGTGAATGTCCTCGCGATGAGATCATGACATGGTAGCTGGGGGCTCGGATGGCTGAGTCACGAACTCTAGACGGGCGATTAGCCTCAATCCATGTTCTGCTTCTTCCAGGTCAACTTGACAATGGGATTTTCTCGTGCACGTGGGACTCGGGATACTAGTGAAAAATTCAGAGAAATTTAGGTTTCTCAGCTTCCATAGATTTCAGAGTTGGGTTGTCTGAGAAGCTGGGCATTACTCTCGTTAATCCATGGAAATGCTCGGTCGGGGAGGACAGCCTCAAGCGAGGAGAACGCGATTGTTCATGGATGGGTGATATTGCAGCTGAAACTTAATAACGACTTGTTTAATTTACTCTTCTATGAATTTTTGCTCCTTGATAGTTGTAGACGTTCAAAAGAGCTGTGGCTTACTCGCCGTTTCGACCGTCTATCCAAATGCAGGTTACTGGTGCTGTAAAACGAACGGTCGCAAGCGGAATTTATCGAACACCAGGCTCAACCGCGGGACTAAGAAAAACTTTGGGAAAAGCAGATATTCTGGCCCTCGATGCCAACTCTAGCTTTTCTGGAAGCCGATCAGTGTCTAGACTGTCACAGAAGTTGAGAGCGCGTTTCAGTAAGCCAATTTTATCCTGGCAAACATGCACGACCTTGAATTGGCTGCCCACTGGTTCGTTAAGAAGTACAGCTCAAATACTGACTTGAGGAGTAGATTGTTAGATAAGGTTTGATGGAGGGAAAAATTGCTTCTAGACTTTTCTCTCGACTGGATCGACAGAACAGTTACCTTGGCAATAGAAAAGTGGGGAAGATCTTCCCTATGTGGAGTCACCCGTCAAAGGGTGGATTACGAATTAACTTCAAGGCATTATTTTGGTAGCAATATTTGTGGTATTGTGCGCCCAAGCCGTGAGCTACACAAGCCGTACTTATCAAGATAGCAGCTTTAGCCGACATTGGTTGCGAAGGCTATTACTACACTCTCGCACATTCGTTGGTCTATCGGATTGTGATTTGTGAATTGAATGTCGGTTTGTTGGTCCTTGGTTGGTCATTTATCGCCACAAGTCCCCTGGTCTAAGTGTCTAGATGCCCCCTGGCTTAAGTGCCCCCTGGTCTTAGTATTCCGTCGATCGTTATCTCGGTCTGATCGTGAGTCACGTATTCCCTGGCGCGTTTTGAGCGATCCTCCTGCGCCTATGATAGCACGGCGTACTGTCAGGGTATGATAGTAGCGTTGCAACTTCTTGCAATGGAACGTCCCTGATGGAAGCCGCTGCAAAGGGCGATGAAACCAATTGGAATTTCTCGCGTTACCATGGTCATTGGCTGACACTCACTGTTCCTTTTCTTGAGCCATGGAAAGATTAAAATTCAAGCCATGCACTGTACCAAGGAGAGTGGCAATGACAAACAGAACACAGATTCCAATTCTAGCCACGCGGGTGCGTTTCTTTTATGAGACATACTCAAAGAAGGAAGGGGTGCAATGAATGGCCACTTGGTCATCAAGAGTTTTCGGCATCTACGCGCAGCAAATTATCATTTTATATATACTTCATAAGATCTCTTGGGGGATCATATTGAGATCCTACATTCACATATGCAGCAGCTACTTTCCTGCGGACCCGTAGTGGACCCATATTGACGCATCAATAAGTGCCTAATTTTCATTTTCATGCGGCAGGCTCGTACTTTGCAGAACTCTCTTTTCACGCTAACATGTCCTGGGCTGTCGGTGTAAACGTACATTCGAGAGTTCGGGCTCAGAAAACTGGTACCAATACGGGTGCTTGGCAGGGACACGGATTTCTGTGCTTCGTTTCAGGTCATCTTACCGCGGTCTCCCCTGATATTTAAGATAAGCCCTCCCTTTCTTTGGGAAGAAGAAATTTTCTGCTTTTCATCCTTCAAACAATACGCGCCCATCAAGAAAGTAGCATGGCAAAGGAATCAAGCGCCGTCCCCAAGAAGCGAAACACTGGAACCACCTCAAGAGTGACACGTGCGAGGTCCCGTGTCTGTTCTCCCAGCTCTGCTCAGCCAGGAGTCTCTGAGTCTCGTACAGACTGCTATGCTCTACACTCAGTAGTGAAGCCGCCCAAAGTCCCAGTATGTATTTTCCATTGCTCATATCTTGAATCATCTTGAATGATCTTTCACTATGCTAAGCACTGCGGATACCCTGCGCCTCGGGCTGACCATACTATCTAGGTACATTTGGTGTCAAAGAATGACCGGAGGAAGGAACACAGAGCCCTTCATGCCAAGTGTTTTGATATGCTGGATAAATTCACTGAGGATTTTCAATTGGCCCTCGCAGAGAAAGACGATGAGAAAGCCTATGAGTCCCAGTTGTTGCAAAAGATGCAAGCCGAAAGGACTGAGGAGAGTACAAGATTACAGCAGGCCATCGTGGTGAGAGACACCACCTTGGCTGAGAACCAAAGACTTCAGAATGAAATTCGTCAACTCCAGCAACAGGTGGAGTCGGTGAATGCTAAGGCACAGGATAACGTCCCATGGACCGATATTCAGCTGGTTTTGCATCAAACACATGGCGAGCTAGTGTCCGCGACCACGCGATACTGGAACGCGATCGACGCCCTCCAGAACCGCAGACTAGCAACTTTTCTGCCTGGCTCAGGAGTGATCCATGGAAATTGGACGGAGCAAGGCGGCCCGCTTGGAACCTTGGGACACGATGCCCTTCCCGGGTTCTCCGCATCGGGTAATCCCCCGCTGGACACTCAGCGAGAGGCCGGGGCAAACAATGTATTCGATTCGTTTGTGTGAAGGGTCCTAATCTTGGGTTGCTGTGGCTCCAATTCAAATTGATGAAGCTGCATTTTGATATCAGAAATAATATGACGCACTTGACTGCCTCGTGCTCGCATCGTCGTTTTCACCCTACAGCTGCAGTAAGATCAAGTTGAAAATAGAAAATCAATTTATATCCTGCCTTGGAAGAATGTACAGCTTTCCAAAAAGAAAAAATAGAGGAATGAATTCTTGTTAACGCTGTATGGTTCACCGCCAAGCGAAGCAGCCAGTGATTTGGCTCGGTTCCGGCCGCTCAGGTGGGTCATGATCGCCGCTCCCTCTGCCCCCCCACCCCGGAAAATATGACATTCCACGCTGCTAGGGTGCTTCATCCAATCAGGTTAAGCCTTGGCTACTGAGATGCCAGATGGTCTACCACTCAGCCAATTTGAGCAAAGTCAATTTCAAGGCTTGCCACGGGTCATAGAATTTGGAATCATCTGCCAAGAGCCCTGAATGCAACGCCGAAAAACTTTGTCAGTGTTCACGAACTCATTTGCTTGGTCGATCGCTCCAAATTCCAAATCCTGCATTCAAATTTGCTACTCTCCGAGTTGGCAACTTTAGGAGGTGGGTCAAAATGCAGTAACCCGGCACGAAAAAGCTTAAATGGCACGTGGCAATCTGTCCGTGTGCGCCTTCTGGTCAGCCAAGGCCAGATTTGGTTTCAGACCGTTGGCCGTATTCGATATTTACATTCAAGACCGCTCAATGATTAGCGGCGTTGATTTATAAGCCGCTGTCATGGTCATGAAGAAATTTGATACGGTAGCTAGGTGGGAAGATGCGGACACGGTGAATCATGTGGCATTACTGAGGTAACAGAAAATCAATCACATCCTAGTCTGAAAGCTCGTTGGCGACGTTATGTCCCCTCGGTCGTTCAACCCTCTTCCGTAGTGCTCTGGTCTTCTGAGGCCATCGTCTCTGCTGCTACCTCCACAGCTGCCAGTCGATGAAGAATATCCTCCAGATCACTGCAAATGGTTTGAATCTTACCTGTAAGAGTGCTCAGCGAGCCCTGAATAAACCTGGAAAAGAATCAGCCGTGTCATACTATTCAATGGGAGTGCGACTGACTTCACTCGGGTGTCTAATCTGATAGATCTGCAGTTAGCAACTAGACTGAAGGAACTGATCTCAGAGCAGACTCGGACACTCACTCTGCGATGCACCGGAAGGCGATCATGGTACGACTGTTCGTAGTTTCAGGCGCTCCTTGGATATTGAGTTCGTCTCCAGGTTCCTCTCTCTGTATCCATTCTTCTGTGGCACCTTGCGGGATGCTGCCCACCAGGTTTGTCTCACGTTGGAGACTGGAGAAGCCATTCTCCTCCTGAAGAGACTCAATGTCTGTAGTGTCACCCTCTGCCGATCGCGATGAACTTTGTGCACTGTCAGGATCGGAAGGTGACAGCGATAGAGCACGCTCCAACCGACGTCGAAAGTCTTCGTCTCGGAAGCGTTGAGAGACCTTTTGAACTCCTCCCATGGTTGTGCTAGAGATGCTTTAACAGCGGATTTTCGAAGTCAAAGTTCCTAAGGAATGAAAGGCAGCCTTTATAGGGTTTGTTCTTTAGATCTGAGTAATCAATTGATCTGGTTGTCTGCCACGACCAGAAGAAATTTATCCAAAGTTTTCCATTCAAAAAGATGTAGCTTTCAAGAAGTTTGCAAACATGCACCCTTGATGGTGACTGGTGAGCTCAATTCAAAAATTAACATGCAAATGCTCACATAGAAGCGATCGATATGCAAAACCTCCAACATGCAAAACCTCCAACATGCAAACCTTCAACATGCAAACCTTCAACATGCAAACCTTCAACATGCAAACCTTCAACATGCAAACCTTCAACAGATTTCTACTCTTTGTTGAATGAAGTCCGTTGGTCATTTTTGCTCAAAGCGACCAAGAAATGGAATTTATTATTTAATACAATATTGTGAACAAATTGATGAAAGTTTATAATATGGAGCGGTCTTCAGAATGCAGAACCCAGAAACTGGCTCACCAGACCCATCCACGGAATAGGTCCAGGCTTGAGGAAGTTTGACCGAGGTCGCCAGTGATTAATGCTTTTAATTGAGTCTATCGGATATTTTAATTTCAGCTTTTCCCTCAACAATACCGTCCCATCAACCAAAATCTGAAAACACAATGTCTCCCCGTGGCACTACGAGCTGGTCGGAGCGAGAAGAAGAGAGCCTTCTTCCCTGGTTGGATGAGAACCGCGCATTGCCGTGGAAAGCCCTTCCGGAGGCATACAGTGAGAAATTCGGTGTGAATCGTACCGTTGAGTCACTACGTGGGAAAAAATACCATATCCTGCGGAAGAAAGGTTGCACAAACGCCCGATCTCTGAACACTCGAGGTCGCCGTAAACGACCAGGGCCACCAGGGCCAAGACGCCGCGCGGTTGAAAAGAAGGCTTCACACTCAGACGCCATAGTCAAAGCTGCACCACACAGCAACATTGACCAGTGGTTCGAGACAATCCTCACTTCTGAATTGTTTTCTGCTGATAGCAGCGAATCAATGCTCGAAGAAGGCTCGATTTCAGGTATGAGGCCCAAAATCATGTCTAAATGCATGCTAATCTCTCGCATAGATCACTTGAAGCCAGCGCTGACGAGTTCACTTCCCAAGACATCACGATCATCATCGTGGATCTGGGAATATGTACATCGTGTCTGCGCTATTGGGAAGGTGAATCTGTATAGTTAGGCGTATGAACAGTTGTGAGGTACGACAAGAAAGAGCCAGCACCCATATAGTGGTAAAGAGAATAAATGTTTCAATTCACAGATCCTATTACGATGAACTGTGCAGCAGTTGGAAGGGATTGGAACTACTCTTCATCAGTCAAGTCCCAAAAGTAGTCAGAGAGTTGGATGCGGTTGAATCAGACAGAATATGAAGTCTCGCTTTGAGAACTTTCAAGTGTGCCCATCGGTATTGATGCAATCCGTTCACAATCTGAGCCCAGCAGCCGTCCTGCAAGCCAGTCTGCTTGTGTCAAGCTGGCTTCAGTAATAAATTTCCTATCACATTGCGTTCCCAGAAGGTAGAGACATTTTTTCAATCTTCATAGGCTCAATTTTGAAAACGTTGGACATTGGGAGCTCAGCTGCGTGACGAGTCAGAAACACTTCTCATTAAGATACGTGACTATTCGAACTAGACCGTACTTACAAGCCGCTTGCTGGTCTAACATTTTCCAAGCGTCACCTCAAACCCTTGCTCAATGACCATACCCGCCTGAACCAATTCACTTCAGTCATCACAAATCGTCCTATTTGTCTCAATAATGTTATGCATTTTTTCTTTTCGAGTAACCTCACCTCCATGCAGCCCAGTCCATTTGCTGCGGCACATGTCCGACTTAGTCTGTGATGACCTCAGAATGCTCACTCAGCACAGGTTTTCCCATTGAGCACATGAATGGCTGAAGCCTATAAATACCGCCAAATCGTCAATTCCTCCCATGGTCCACAAGTGCGAAAGTCGCAAAGTCTCCAACATGCGCTTTTCTGTGCTCCTCTTCACTCTTTGCCCGGTAGTCTTCGGCAACACCTTGGAAATCATGGACGTGGGTGGCGTATGCTATATCTACTCAAACAGCACGCGGGGCTGCACGGGATCCTCGGAGGCTATTGCATTGTTAAATGGTAATTCTTGCTCCAGTAAGTACAGCTATATACGGATGACATTTGGCGCAGTTCCACTGACAGCCACCAGATCTCAGCACGATAGGGCACAACAAGCGTACCGAGACAAACGCAGTCAATGTGACCGTCTGTGGCCCTCACCGACAAGCTGGTCAGGAGCTTGCTTGGATCACAGCTGACAAGAGCGGTCTCCTCACGTTTCAAAACATTGGAGGTGACACGGCAAACTGTACGATCGGTAAAGAGTTCAAGGTGGGGACTTCCTGCTCTGCCCTCAATGGTAGTGCGATTGATACAGCCACTGAAAAGCCTGCGCCCATCTCGTCTGCCAAGGCTATAGCTGTTGCCTCCTCAAGCGTGAACCCAACGCCACCTAAGCCCGCCTCGATGGACTGCTAATCCACTGGAGCGGGAGTCGGTAACATTTGTCTTCAATTCAGTTTGGACTCTTTCTTCCGCTTCTACATTTTGATTTCTGGTTTACGATGGTTTTATTCATGTCTACTCGCCTCGCTTTGCTCTCAGTATGTTTCTGTGGTGCTGACTGAGGAAGGGCAATTTGAAAATCGTCAGTCATTCTTTTCAACTTGTTCTCTGAACTATCAATTGTTCAGGTCTCCGGTACAGATTCAGAGTCTTTGATTGTCATGGTGATCGATTCGTCAGTAGGACTCCGAGCGTTGTTCACAATCAAAGCAGTGCTATATTTCGTGGTTGCATCGAGTAAACCTATAAGTGCAGAATTTTCACCTGTCTTGTGGTTCCTCAGTATGAACTCTTTCGCGCTGCCATCTATTTACGACGCACTGTAGGAAGGAATTCGAAGCTGCTCCAGAGGCTTGAATGTTAAACTCGATGAGCTATATGCTATATGCCGTAGAAAATTCGGCGTCAACAAAAGTGATACGCATTACGTCACAGACAGTCACGATTGTACACAATGGCACTACTGGCACTCGAGGAGACCAACTCCATGTGGGTCAGTGTATGATCAAAGACTAGGATTCTATTTGCTTGAGCATAGCTTTGAGAGTCTCCTTCAGCTTACAGTCTGCCACGCGGCCGGGAGCAGCTTAGCCGTGCATTCTCGAGACGTGACTCCTGGAGTGTTCTGCTGAAAGCGTGATAGCCCTGGTATTGGCTGTGGAATAGTATGATAGAGGTTTCGCAACAATAGTCATTTTATCTGCGATGAATTAGTTGCGTAATTCTCATCCAAAGCGCGGTGGGCCTTCCCCGCTGAGTGCTTCGGGGGTGAGCCAGGAATCCCAGTCAACAGCATCTTCTTTCTCGAATTCCGGAAAGTCGGCTTGGCAAAATTCGTCGTTTGAAGGAGAATTTGGCGTAACTTCGGTTGTCTGTGCAGCACCAGGAGGGTTGGGAGAAACAGCTGCAGGACATTTCATCAGTAAGGCTGGCATTTTCTTTCCAATTATAGACTTACTCGGCAGCTCGCTTCGTTCCATTCTGGGCACAACCAGCAGAGCTTGATTACTGGAATCAGAAAGGGTCTTGTGGGTCATAAGCAGAAAGATTTGTCTGGGGGATCTATTTGATGCGATCATGAAAGATTAAGGGGGAAGCTGGGAATACTAGGAGACAGCTTTAAAATAGTCCTCATAGGTACCTGAGAGCAGAAAAAGACCACGATTTCATGGCCAACTGTAAATTAAAACCTGCAAACAATATTGTTCAGATATGCTCAATTGCCTCATTTTGCGAACGTAATTATTGAGAGGAGCATCATCTGTTGGAACGCAAAGAGAAGAGTTGAGAAGAAGCGGTGAGGAAGAGAGAAGAAGTGAAAAGGATGTGACTAAATGATAACGATGTGTCACGTCGAATCTGGGCTTGCATGTTGTAGAAACTCGATTATTTTGTTATCAAATTGATAATTTTTTCCACTCCAATCGAAATGCTTCTCTTTAAGGCCCAAGCTAGGGCGCCTCGTCAGCGACCAGTGATTGGTAACATGTCCCAGATTTGCTTTCGGCTTTGAAAGCTCATCTAATATTTCCAAAAGCTACCACTGATCATCAATTTTAGACAACTAGTGCTTCCAAAAAGAATGCGTGGGGATGAGACCAATAATGATATTATTACCAAGAGTACCCTCGGGCGAATCGAATGATCAAGGCTTCAGGCTATGATAGACTGCACCCTTCCAGCCTATCTTGTATCAAGGCACACGTCGCCGGTGTCTCGCGAGAATTGAGAATTGAATAAGTGTGCCAGACGAGTTTACCAACACACTCCGCCATGGACAAAGAGCTATTGTGGAGCACTATATGTACGGGCTGAAGATTGGTGAGGGTCGAAGATGGAAGATTGTGAGTGGACCCCATATCGGCGGACGTATACTGTCATTTTTTAAGAGTGACTTGTCAAGTGCGTTGCAGTCTCACAACACAATGAGGATGCACTCGCGTTCCTACAACAACCCACCCTTCTCTCGTGGCCCTATAGACCGACATAGACAGGAAGCGAATGTTCACATGCGAAGGTCCTTAGTATGAGACTGCTCCGAATTCGGCGCCATTATATGCCGCTTGATCAGCACGACCAGTGTAGCAATCTCCCAGATGGTCCCGGTAGTGCGGCCAACCCATTGTGGCGAGAGAAATGAGCTCCCCAGTTGAGGGTACTATTGACGGGTGTCGTCTCGAACGCGGCGCGCAAGCTCGGCGGCATGGAACCGACTGCGGTGGAATAGCATCATACCAACCAGCTCAGCATCGTAAAGCGGCGAGTTCCTCGCCAATCCCGACAACTTGGGGAAGGAGTGCGATACTTCCAGCAAAGAGGCCAATTATGAAGACCGCCTCCACACTACACATGGGTGGCCGGATGATCAATGGCGACCAATGTATATCCCATGCACTCCTGGAGCCCTTGGTTCTCCGCTACCCAATATGGGCAGCCCTTGTCGTATAGACTGAGGCGGGGATCATCACACCCATCGTCTGCCTTCAAGCCCAAATATGGAGCATTGGCTCATTTGCCAGATTTTTCCAAAGGGTAACCTTTATAGTTCAGCAGTCCCAAAATGAGTTCATTCACTTTTGGATTCTGCACCCGTCGCCCATCCTCCGATCGCCCGTCAAAACGCTGATCAGCCATCGGATAAACGTGAGTCAACGAACCCTTTTTAGATCTAATTGCTAATGCGTGCCCAACAGGTGATACCTCCGAGAAATCTTCAAGCACATCAAAAATGCCCATGGCTCAGTTTGACTGCCATCGCGGATAAATTTCATTTCCATGAAAACGTTGCCAGTTTCCCAAATGAGACGGCATGCTGAGCAGTATGCCCACAAGGGGCTTGAGAAGCATACCGCGATGGCTTATCTGGCTCGGCCAAGTGCCATAGCTGGAGTCGGTTCGTGGGAGATGGTTCGTGGGAGATGGCTCGTGGGAGTTGAACCGTGGCAGTTGGACCGTGGGCGTGGGTCAGAGATCAGTGGAATCAAACACCTCTGCTTGGTGACATTCCATGGATATCTGATGGATTGCCGCTAAAATTGCAGCCAAGGGGATATCGATCCGTAGCATTCTCGAAGCGGTGACTGGACCGAGGATTGTTGGATCGAAAGTTGGAGACCGGCAGATCCACGCCAAAGCGGGGTCTGTGTAGTCCTAGCATCATGCCAGACATCGCCAGAGTGGACCAAGGATTGAGCAAGATTGAATATGAAGAATTGTGCGTGGGACCTTCTTTGGTTGGTTTAACTCACGCATCTTGAGAGGCCACTGTCATGTGCGGACCAACTCCGCGGGACGCGGGAAAGAGCGCAAACACTCCCTACGCGTCTTGGATGACCTCACCGCCTTTGCCGTCGATGGAGCGCGTAAGCCGCGCTTTGCCAAGCATTGCTGACGAGTGCGCCACACTCAATCCCCACCTTTTCTCGCTTTCACAGGCTGGAGATAAGGCCTCGAGGATGGCTTGCCGTCAATCCCAATCTCAGCGTCTTTGGAGACACCACGCTGTACAAGTAGCTCACTTGGCGAATCTTCCGCAAAACACTGTTTACCTGCCGACCGAACGATATATCCGATCTCCATCGGGCCTTGCAAGGGTATGGAAATCTATGCCAGCGGATACAGTCCCCAGACTTGACTCAAATTTGTGATCTATGAGACGAAATCCTTCACTCTTCCGGGAGAAGTTCAATGCAGGGAATCCCTCATGTTGTAGTTCAGAGGTGAGAATTGTCTTATTATGAAGAGGGGCAAATGGGGCTATATATACAACGAGAAGGTCAAGTTGATTGGAAGACTCTTCGTATACATACTTCGGGATTAATTCCGATGGTTCGGCTTGGTTCCTGATCTGCACCAGCCTCATATCACAACAATCATGCCTTCTTTTTCCACAATGAATTCAAGCAGAGAAGCAAGAGGAGTTTTAAGTCCCACTGGATTACTGGGTCATGCAGAAGGCAAATTTACGTCCTGCAGGCGAGCTTCAAAGAGACCACTAACAAGAATTATCAGAAGTACTACTGTAACCGTTCAGGGACCAAACATTCGATGTAATGAGAGATTTCTGAAAGCGGTGGCAGTATAAAGCATAGGCGGTCGGGTCGACCCATCAACGCCCGCTCAATCGCTGACTGCCGGCTAGTGAAGTCTCTAACCCTACCTATGTCGCTTTTGGGGAGGATATGAAACACAGAGTTTCTGTGCCAAGAGAAAGACCACTGAGTGAATTATGACTTCAGCTGGGGCTGAGACCGACCGCATTGTAAATTGAGACTGAAGTTGCACTTTTCAGCGGTCGAAACACGCATGTGCGAACCCGGTGGCGCTGAGCGATGTGACCAATCAGACCCGATGATCAAGCTGATACATCATCTCTGCCAATAGGAACACTATATGTCACACGGAAGTGGGTCCATGGCTATTTGCTACCGATGATTCTTTGTCTGGCAAACAAAGAGAACTGCAAGCATGGCTGGGATAGTCAATAGTCTGACTCTTCCCCCTGAGTTTTTAATTTTGTCAATCATTTGCCCAGATTTCAATTTCTATCAATTGAATGGTCTTGCTCTAGAATCCCCTCAAGTTTACCTTGTCGCGCAATGTCTACTTTTCGCAAGATCCTACCTGGGATAAATGGAAAGAAAGACACTCAGAATCTAAAAGGTGGATCACCAATGAGAAAGCAACTCAGAGTATCTCTTGCCTGCATGGAGTGTCAGAAGAAAAGGACCAAGGTCAGAAAAATCACTCGGATTCGATACCGAAGCTAATGTGCCTAATGCAGTGCTCTGGAACGACCCCATGCACCAGATGTGCGGCCGAAGCACGCCAGTGCATATATGATCCGAAAAGCGATCGCAGACGAAAGGCCCATGTTGCTGAGCTATTGAGCTTCCACGTCACTCTCTGCCAAGTGATTGCCAAGCTTCGCTCTGGCACCGTCGAGGAGATATTGCCCTTTATTTTGGAGATTCAAAACTTGCCTACAGACCAAGACGCCATCGCCTACCTTGTTCAGACGTTGAACGAACATTGATATTCATTTTTTTCTACACCCTCGCTTGGTACAACGCGCACGTCTCCGCGATGGCGGTTGGAGACAATTTTGAGACCTTACTCGGACACGTTAGATATCAATGAAAGCGAAAGACAATGTATTGTCACAAGTCAAATCTTTCCCTATAGATGTGAATAGCGCCTGCAAATCTTGGAAGTGATGCAATGAGCGAATTACTCAGTTGAACCAAATAATCCGTGCAATAATTGTAGGTTCTAGTCAGTCTGATATTGTCCATATTTAACAGAACGTATAGCGGCAAGTGGCCTGCTCTCCCCGACCGTTTGATTGTTATATCCATTTCTTCGAGAAATATCTCCTTATAAAGTGGGAGTGACAGTGGGCAGAGAGGTAGCAGGCCGGGATCCCTAATATGGAAAATAAGGTCGGAACTTACTGGTTGGTGGTCACGTCATCTCGTTAGATAGGTGGCGGGCCTTCTCGACTGAGCGCTCCGGGGGCAAGTCAGAAGATTCACTCCGCTAGATCTTTCTCCTCAGGCTCGGTATTATTATTTTGGCGTAATCTCTTATTCTTGATTGCGATGTTGAGATCACATTTATCGTCGATATAGCACAGAGAGACTGGGATGAAGAAAGCTGTATATGCCTTTCGTTAGTACTGCTGTTATTTGGAATTGTGAAAAGAGACACACCTAGCAGCTCGTTCTTTTCCATAATTGCTCAACGAGTATTTTATAGCAGGAATTAGAAAAGGGTTCGTGGCTCAGAAGCAGAAAATAATATTGGATGGTCTTCTAGGGAGCCATTGTAATAGATATAGCGAAGCGAGGTGGGCTAGGCCGTACGTGGAAATGGAGTTCCCAACAAAGCAGTCCTCGCAGATACAGTATTAGTAAACTAATCAAGACAATGGCTACTTTTGTGAGCCTGAAATACTGTTGTGACAGACGTATTGTAAGAGGCCAGGGTCAATGACTTGACTAGGGGGAGCGAGTGGAGCATGAAATAATAATTCCATGAACGAGTAATGCTTATGTAGCCAGATTTAAAATTCAATCTTACTCAATATGCTTCTTATGAAGCGCACAGCTTGTAGACATTGTCAGCAGTAATTTACAATGATGCAAGTTCCTTGCGTAACTTTTAATACAGTACAAATCATTGCAAGGTCTCTCAGAATAATTCCACCTATACCTTGCTCCCAGAAGCTGAGCGCCAGTTGTGGTCTTATTGTGCCACAGAGGGGCAAAACTCTACCAAAGAGTGTAGGCGGACACGTCGTCGCCAATGAGCTTTTGGACTAGCATATGGTAGAGTTTTGTAACTAAGTAATGCTTTTTTATCGATTCATCGTGGCCAGATTTTCCCAACCTGCTACCATATTATCCTACTTCATGGCCAACTAGAGTAGCTTCTCGATTGATTCCACTAATAATCGAGGGGTCTATAGTGTAAATACCGAGATCGGCCACCGTATAAAACCAAATCTGGTCTTAGCTGGCCAGAACGCGCGCACGGACAGATCACCACGTGCTCTTCAAGCTTTCTCGTGCCGGCGGATCATTGCAATTTGTCACCCACTTTATTCGCCCGACTCGGAGAGTAACAAAATTTAAAGCAGGATTTGGAATCTTGAGCGATCGACCAAGCAAATGATTGTCGTGAACACAGACAAGGTTTTTCGGCGTTGCATTCAGGGCTCTTGGCAGATGATTCCAAACCTTATGACCCGTGGCAAGCCTTTAAATTGACTTTGCTCAAATTGGCTGAGTGGTAGACCATCTGGCATCTCAGAAGCCAAGGCTTAACCTGATTGGATGAAGCACCCTAGCAGCGTGGAATGTCATATTTTCCGGGGGGCGCAGAGGCATTATCACAACCTTAAAAAGGTTTAGCGCAAAATAATTGTAGGACGACAAATCGATTCAAGTTGAGTAACTATTAGTTACAGCGAATGATGAGTCAATGTTCTGCCAAATATGCCATGCTGAACCCATTTCATTTGCGCGAGTCAGCATTGCTAGAAACAGCAAGCGGTGAATACGAAAATTCACCGCCTTTTTGGCGACGGAGATAAAAATCCTCCAGATGTAGTTGCGGTTCGGGCCGATCTATAGTCCGGCGGGGCGATCTAGGAGCCATAAGGACTCTGGCTTGTCCAGCCCCACCTACTGCCCAAAATCATCCATATAAATGAACACAGCCCCCCAGTTTCAGCTCTTTCCACCAGAACCTTTTAATATACGCATTAAAATGGGTGGAACCGGTAAAATTAACCATTTAATAATTACAGCCCCGGCTGCTCGGTTCGACGAAATCGTTCAATGGTATAAAGAGGTGCTATCTCCTTTAGGAGACACTGAGCTCAACCGCTACCCTGGGGTAGTAGGGCTTGGTCCCGATGGTCATGCGGACTTCTGGATATCTGCAAAGGAAGATTGGATCAAGAGTCCAATCCATATCGGGTTTACTGCTGGTGGTTGGGAAATGGGCAAACGCCATTTACTATTCTGAAGATAGGCTAAAATTCTTCTCAGATCATGCAATCGTCGACGCGTTTCATAAAGCAGGTGTCGATGCGGGCGGTGAATGCCAAGGACCGCCAGGACTGCGTCCACACTATCACGCAAACTACTACGGGGCCTTTTTGCTTGATCCCCTTGGCAATAATATTGAAGCTGTAAGTTGACCTTTGTGGTACTGTAATTCAGGACCGAGGCTGCATGATATGTATTGACAAAATTATCATAGGTTGATCATGGAGTTGCAAGTGAATAAGACTTACTCTAGCGAGAAAGTCCGTGCTTTGTGCAGAGCTAGGGTCATCAAAATAATGGAAGGTAACCCACGCCCCATTTTCATCTGTGTCTCACAAGAATATTTACCGTCTCTTTCTCGAGCACTCAGTCCTATAATTTATTCCTGTACCTGAAGGACTTTACAATCGCCTCGTATGCTGGTTCTGGTATTATTGCAAAATAGATGCCTCTCTGGAACCGAAACTTATCGCTAAGCGAGGATGAAGGCTTACTTAATTCATTATTGCGGTTCTCCTGACTCTCCTGGCTCTTCTTGGGATTCTTGTTAAAGCATTTGTCCTTCGAAGTAAGACACGTTGATTTCATCGACACACAGGAATGCGTGTTAATTTGAATAAAGAGAAATATTATTTTGGGTATAGATTGTGCTCTCTGCAGACCAGCTATTAGTGTTTTTCTCCAGCAACGGGTAGAAAGCTCCATATGGTGCTGAGGATTAGTACTCTGGCAGATGATGTGATGTCCATCCACCAGGGCTGGGTGGATAAGATCAGTAAATACCGTTGAAGGAGATCTCAAAGGTCTGGAAAGAATCTCCGAATTTCTCTCCGAATAACTCTTTTCATGTCGGCGACCGTGTCTATGAGATTCAAATTTGAACATATAAAGAGTAGTCATCGAAATTGCCATTAGCGGTCCTTTTGCTGGGCAAAGCGAAATTATTTAGGTAGCGTTTTCATGTGGGTGATGATTAGGATTGAATTACAAAATGTGACTTTGTAACTTACAAACTTCCTTCTATTGCTAAAAGTTCGTACACAAAGATGGGTTTTAGTGATGAGATAATAAGACCACTCCTTTGTTTTCTCTGTGAACTTGTTCCTTTGTCTGTTTTTGGCATATAAGTCTATCACAACTTGAAGAATGTGTTCATTGTAAGGATTCAATAATTGAAGCAGAGAACAGATCAGATCCACTCCTCGGTGATGAGATGCAACGTTTTCTACTATCAAATCGTAGTCCATAAAAAATTGGGACATGCAGGATGAAATTGTCGCAGCTTGGGTGTTTGGTAGCTGACCAAATATTGGGCCTTTTTATCCTGTCAGCCTAGTGGTAAAATCCAAGCAACCACGATCCCTGAGAATCACTAATTGAGATCCCAGGATCAATCATCTCGTAGCCCACTCGAGCCAGAAGCCTGCGCGTGAAACCAAAGTGCCTGTACCAAGGATACCCTAATTAATCCCCTGAGGCACACTCTTGGCAGCACACTCCCTCACCGTTGCCCACTGCAGATGTACGGGTGGTATAGCCTTGAACGAGGCGCCCAGTCCCTGCGTAGCCCATTGCTCGCGCTACAAATGACTTTCTATACAAGGCGTAAGCTAAGAGATGGGGGCGCACGTCCATGTCGGTGATTATTGCGGCCATGTGGCATGTGCATTGGAAGAAACTCAAAACTAGACGGCACAGTCAGTTTTAGGATCATCTTGACCGGTCCTGGGAGCTGTAGCTGAAGGGCTCTTCAGTCTGGAACTGGAGCGTTTCTTGCATGCTGCACTTTAATAATACTATCTAGAAATCATCGTGCCGCGTTGGAAAGAGAACTTGCCTATAAGAAGTAGAGAAGTATACCTGAAATAAAGCTGACTATTTCTACTGCTCTTATTGTACCATTAAATTGTTGAGAAATAAAGCCCAAGTCTCGAGTCGTAAGACAGCAATGTGATTCAAGTACAACCCTTGGTAATCGATAGCGCCATCTACAGTCATGAAATCCAGTGGGATCATTCACGCAAGCAGCGCAACAAGAGCAATGTGAGGTTTGGAGTATCAGGCAAGATCCTCCAATGATTACGTACCTAAGCTGTACTTAGTACTCATAGCCGGCTTCTGTCTACAACAGCCCAACACGCTGACCTTTACGCTACTTGTTGAGGCAACTACCCGTAGTTAAAAAACTTCCGACATGACAAATGTTTTGACCTTCAGATATCAGGATATGGCAAGAAATGAAAGTGAGCCAGACCCAGGGAACAGACTGTCTCCGGGTGGCTATGACTTCATTCAACTTTCATTCAACTTGGCATGAGGACTTGGCATGAAGACTTGGCATGGAGACTTGGCAAAAAGTTCATTTTTAGCTTTCCACCACCGATCATCTCAATATACGAGCGAATAAAATTTCAGTATCTGCTTTTCCCAATTTATTGAACTATATCTGGCAATAGGCTGTCGAGTGTTGATATTATAACCGACTCCAAATTTTTTTGATGACAATTGGTACCAAACGCGATGTGATTTGAGATACTACTCGTAATTTCCCAATGCACTCTACTGACGTATATGTCTCGCCTTGGCGTTTCGAGGATCTGCGCCGGAGTTTCTGAAAATTTTAGACAATGACAGCTTGATTCAGTCTCGATCATTTGTTCGTAAGCAGTTGGGGCTGTGCTCTCGTATTCCTGTCAACGGAAGGTAGCTATTACAGCGCCATCACCACAGAAATCGCCACTGAATCCTGTATAAAGTGGGTCAAGACTCATCTGAAACGGAATCTTTGGCAACAGATAAAAGCAAGCTATCATTGTTCTTTTCTACAATCCAAATAACGGCCCTATTCACTGTTAATATTCAAACTGGTTTGTTGTCTTATCATTCTTATCATTTTTTTATTTCTCTACGTTTTCTCCTTTCCTAGTATGAAGTCATCATCTTACTTCTTGTTTGTGCTTCTTCCATTCGTTACCCACTTAGGTATAGCAACACCGGCTGTGGAACAGTATTCCGATTCTCTTGAGGAGCGGAACGGAGGCAACTACGAGTACGGCAACCACCAGGGATACGACGACCACCAGGGGTACGATAACAAGAACATCTGTGAGGTCAAGCAAACTTATCCATACTACAAGTACCCTTGTGACTCAAGCCTCTCTAATGGCACGTCTCTTCTGGGGGCCACTTTTACTTCGTTTTGCAAATACCAGTAAGTCTTTCGATTCACCAATAGTCTCAATTAATCTGCTAATAAACGCCACAGAAATGGAAATTCTGGAGTTTGGTATGCCGCCCCAAGGGGATGGGTCAAAGAAGAAGATAAACCACGACGATGCCGTACGTGGATCACCTCCTGGCTTGCTTATGACCGGTGCAACGAGATTTATACTAATTTAGTTTTAGCTGGTTCATCGACCGCGTGCCCTGTATAAACTCAACTTACTTTGCTCTTTGATATTATATGGATAGGAGAGGCTAAGGAGGCTCTGCTTGCGATTTCCAAAAAAATTAATTATGCTCGTTCTTGGCTTTGACTTGGCTCTTAAATCAGAAAATATCACAAAGTTCTCGGTTCCTCCGGGGTATGAAAATTTCCTCACGAGTAATGTTTCTGTAATTCTTCTTCTTTTTGCGGGGCTCTATTAGTAGAATTGATGGATCTAAAGCATTGCTGAGTAGCTGTACCTCAAGTGATTGTGAAGATATTAAGTCAACTGTGGAATTATTTTGAGGCTTTGTTTAGGCACTCCTTCGCTATCCTTCCTTCTGTGTCTTGGGTTCAAAACAGCAGAGAAATGCCTGAGAATCATGAAGGTCAATTAATGGAGAGAATTATGAATTCATATCGGGCACTACTCAAGGTCCTTATGTGAGTAAATACTTCAACGAGAGATCCAAAGACCACGCTGTATTAAGCGATCACGTCACGCTCAATTCTAATGCTAGTTACACAGGCATCCTGATCTGATTATTTATGGTAGAACAACCGAGCGCAGAGAGAACATGACCTCGATGTGTTACAGCCAGATATTTGGCGGGCTTGGATGCGGCCTGGGTTTGAGCGCGGAGTTTAGCGGGAACCTTGGCATGACCGTGGCAATTCAAGGCAAGCCTGATTTTAGACTTGCCAAAGGCCAGGTGCTATTGGTCTTCTGATTTAGTTCCGTATTACTCCAGGTGGCTGAGGTTCATGTTCATGTTTGAGGATATTCTTGATGGTTCAGTTGAGATTTGCTTGTGCTTGGCATGAGTTGGTTCTGGCCTGGCCTAGGAAGAGTTGGAAAACGATTCCTTTGGCTAATTACCCAATACCCAAATTCATCATCAATTCTCTGAGATACTGGTTGCTTTCGAATCCCCGCCCGCCATCTGGGGTTGCTCAACGGTGGTATGTCATGACCCGTGGTTACCCGAACTTTATGGATCAGTTCCTACCGCCTAAATAAGGTTTAAGTCATTTCTCAAAAAAAAAAAAAAAAAAAGCGAGAGCGAGAACAACAGCGAAATGAGTGAGTATCCAGAAGATCACGATCATGTCGTCATTCCTGATAAACTTTGGCGAAAATACTATGAGAATGCTCAGAGGCGCTGAACATTTAATGGAGGAAGACTAGCAGCACTGGTTGACGTGAGGATTATTCAATATTATTAAATTGTTTTTCAGCCGAGTGTAATTAAGGAAAGGGGCTTTTGCTGAGACGAATGCGGGCCATCTTTTCTCCCTGGCTCAAGGCATCAATGTACTACCACCAGGTATAGCTCTCTTCAACTCGATGGAGAATAAAACAGAGAAGTCGAGAAATCTGGGGGCTTGAAATTTAATGATCACATTATGAGACATCGAACCCGGCATTGCTGCGTGTCGCTGTCAACCCTTCTGCTTTGCCAGGCAGCCATCGAGCCTGACCCATTTCAATAGGTAATTTCTTTGGGAATAGTAAAGAAGAAAGAATCAAGCTGATTCTCAATATGAACAAAATATAGAAGGCACACTCAAGATTCTGTATGTACCAACTCATTATGCCTAACCTGCAGATGAATCAAACTGCTCTAGTTTCAAAGTCGATGCGTATTGATTTCACTTGTGTTTCTGACATTCAACAGAGTGATAGCCTTTCTATTTTACAACTCTTTAGTTTTACAGTACACCTTCTCTGTGCCAGCATCCAATAGTCCTCTCCTCTCGATTAGCCGCAGAGTACCTTCGAAAAAACCTGTCTCATTGACCAGACCGGATCTGACAGAGTCTCGTGCATGGAGAGGTTTCCTTTCCAACATGGAGCGGGTAATATCGGATGCAGGCAATCTCGCCTTCACAAATTCTAGCATCCACTTGACATCAATGGCGTAGCACATCGGCCCTCATGAATACACAGAGAAGAACCACCGGATTTTTGAATTCTGAAATCACGGCATAGGGCTGAAATAAAGTCAAGACCAGCTGCTTGTCCGCTTATGAGAGTTATTGTTGGCATAGGATACCTGTCCATATTGTATTAAGTTAGACACTCAGAAAGGAAGACCCGAGGGGCAATTTCAACGTGCTAAATTTACAAAATATGAAGGATCATACCTGAGGAGCTGTCGTAGAAGTGACTATATATGCTCTTGTCCTTCGAGATTATCCTGTGATATGTGCGGACTAATGCCTTTGCTGTGAAACTCAGGAATTCTACTTGCAGTGATAACGACGCCCTTTGGAAAGGCTTCAATCTTGGATAAAGAAGAGCAGAAAGCTTCGACAAATCCGGGAGTCGAATGATTTTCGGGTCGAGATTCAAAGACAAGCACATAAGTTCGATCGGAAGGCATCGCACACGTGAATCTTCCTCCACTTTTGATCTCCTGAGAGAAGAGGGCCATCTTGTGAGTAATGATGAATTTTCAAGGAGTACATCTATCACCCTTTTCTGGATGTCATGGTAGAATCATGTTCATAAAAGTATATGGGACATGCTAATGGACTGACCTATCGCCGGCGAACATGCGCGACTGAGGTATTGCAGAGTAATCAAAATTATCATGCCTCGATTGCTAAATGAACTTGAGTTTAGGATAGCCATATGGACCCTGGGAGACCGGCTTATTCATCGTCCGCCCCATTACCCATAGTATTTATTGTATTGCAATTCTGAAAGTACGCTATTGCAACACATCGGAGCATTTACCCCTGAGGATCTCTCAACGGAGCCTCAGACTAAGAAGAACACGGTGCCCATTGAACATGTCGAATGTTAGTTGATACATCGAACCATCAGGTTGACAAGACTTATTCTATCGACAACCTTCGCCATCCGTCTATCAAGAATGCGGTCAGTTGACTTCTTAAGACACAGTTCCACGAGGATAGCTGGATTGGCTAGCTGAGTCCAACTCTCTCAGACCTTCATCTAAGTATTATCCTAGTCCAGTTACCCACAGCGATCGGTAGTTTTCCACGTCAGAGCTGTACGAGGCATTCGGAGAGCCACAATCCGAAGCTGTTGTTCGTCTAGACTTGTAGAATGGTTTACCCACATGCGTGTTCATTCCCGGCTGGTTCGGCTTTTGCAGCGATGATATTGTTCTCGGACAAGAAACCATCATCCTTAGCGACTTTGGAGAATCTTCCAACGCACACAAAACAGCCCTGTTCTCCTCGAAAACCCTCCCTTGCCTCCGGCAAGGCTAGGCCAGATTCCCTAACAAGTCGCTCTCGCTTGCCTCGAGCATTTAGTCACTTGCCTGTACCATCTGGGAGGGTTTCGGCCAGTGGCCTTTATTTGAGGCCTTGTTCCCAACTCCATAACTTATCACCGCGGAGCAAGTCGAAAACCTCGGCGTCTTACCCTCTGAGTGGTGAGAAAAGTGAAGCAAAAGACCGGATTGGTACAACTCAAAGGGCGAGCTGGATTTGGAAAAAACATCTAGAGGCCACGATGGCTTGCGCATGTCCTGCTGAACAATAATGCTACAAGACGCACCTTGTGAATTCCGAAATGGTGATTTTATGCTGTCGCTAATATTCTGCCGAGAACTCTATAACGACAGTTGGCAATTGGCAATTGTCAACCAGTCATCAACCGAGTGAGCCAAGACGGAGAGGCTTCTAATCTTGCTCACCGGTACCATTCTCACAACGTGTTTTGATCTGCCCAAATCAGAGCTCTGTCAGCGTTTGTATCTTGTGAGATTATGCCAACGCTAATTGATCTCAGTGTGCGATGTCAATATGTGCAGCTGTACACCGTGTCGCTCACACCCGAGCGAGTGGTCATCTCCGGCTGATTGACCTGGACCTTGAACCTTCCTGCCCGTGGTGGACAGACGATGATCCGTTCGACCCTGTAACATCCGCAACAACTTCAGCCGAGACTGGTATAGGCTCTGGGACCGCTTGGATGCGCCCTCCCTTGTCAGATGTGCGTACGGTCCCTGAATAGGCTGGACGGCTTTCAGGAGAAACATTAGTCGATAACGGATGATTCGGGCAAGGTGATCCGCTGGTTATGGGGGGCCAGAGTTCCAATCATAAAAGGTGGGTCCGGCAGAAAATCATCGAAGGCGGCTTCTGATCAACCAATTATATCAGCCGGCTTGTTTTTGTGTCTGATCTGTAGCTGCCAGCAGCCTCATCTTAAACGCCCTACTCCCACCATAGGCTACTACTGCATCAGGATGAATTAATAGTACCTATTTTCGATGTTCTTTTATAAATACTTTCGGTGTGATTATTAGAAGGGCCAGTAAGTATATAAAAAGGAGTGGAATGATCAAATTTGATCACACAACTAGCGAACAGACCATACATTTACATGCAAAATGACAATTAATGCAAACGATCATTGCGGGAGCATCAGAATTGACTTCAATAACCTCAATCACATTGGTATAGTCCCACATTACACATGAGCTAGAGAATGCGGCATTGAACAAAACACCTGAAGCGGGCACGTGGCTCAATGCCGTCGGTCAAGTCGTGGCTTTTTCTCCACTGCTGGTTGCTGGATAGACATGTGCAAACCCTAGCCCATGGTCCAGGGTCGTGGCCCATGGGCTTTTAGTCAGCACCCATGGGGGCACATGGGTAATCCATGAGTGGGTCCAATCTGCATAAATTATATGCATAGCTTAAAAATATCAATATTTTTTACTGACTCTAGTATCAAAAGAATCAGCGTATGAGCTTAGTTAATTTCATAGGGTCATAAAAATATATATATGTGTTGGGGTGGTGAGAGTGGTGGTGTAGTGTATTGGTGGAAATATATATTTTCAACAAGCAGCAATATTGACGATCTACACATAATATTTCCCAATCAGGAGTGGTTCTAACCCGATCAGGTAACATTATAGAAGGATCTTAGCCTAATTGGGCAATATTCTAGAAGAGACCAGAGGGGTTCAACCCCCTAATTAAGCCTAATAGACCCACCTTTTCATAATTCTTCTTAATAAGAATTGCGTTTTGCTATTTGACTGCCTTTTTCGGCCGCAGGTGAGGCCGAAAATGGCCGTCTTTCAGCAACCTCCCTCCGCCACGCTCCCGCCTCCTTCGACCACGCACCACACCACTCACCACTTCATGCCTCAGGCTGCCATTTCGTGCGCGCTGACATCCTTGGTTCCCTGAGGGGCTCCTTAGTAGCTCCACCACGCCTACAGGGGAGGGAGGCGCCAAAAATGGCCTCCTTCAGCACCACGCCAGCTGCACTCTGGCCAGCTCCCAGCCGCCATGGCTATAAATATCCCCTTCCCACCCATCCTCCGTCCAACACTGTCCTCATTTCGACTCAAACACCACTCCAAAAATCTCCCTCTGATCTTCCGTCGTGCTTTCTTCTATTCAGTCGTGTCGTGCGTTAACACATCTCGAGCTCCGAGGTAGTTCCTTCGCACGGTCGGCGAAATCTATTAGCCATGTACCGTCGGAGGACGCCCAATATTGGCAACCACGGAATCACGAGCGAATCCTCTTGTACCTCTCCCATCGATACCGACAATGATAGACCGTTCGAGCCCGATCCCTCTGAGACTGATCTCACCGAGCCGGAGCGCTCCCCTCCAGCGGGTCGAACGATTGCTCGGAAGAAGCCAAGCCCAAAGACTGGAACAAAATCGCTACCAACAGATCTGTCGAATGTGGAACGTGTCCACCAGGCCCGATACCAAGTCCCCGATGATGACACGGACGAGGACCTGGCCCAAGTGCCGGAGGATTACGGCCGATCCAACAAAACGAAGAAGTTGAAACTTCGACTGAAAGAGCGTTGGGCTTGGTAAGTGATCAGGATATCGCTGAAAGCTTATACCGTGTTAATATCAACTGACCGACTTGCCTCATTTCAGGTACTGCCAAATGAAAGCAATGGAACCATCCACTAATCACAAGTGGGGGGTTGCGGAGGATGCACTGCGTGAGGCGTCTCCAAATGACATGCATCGATTTCTTAATTGGTGTCTGAAGCTGGAGTACAGTCCCGATGGTCGCCGCCAGAAAGGCTATACAAAGGCCAGCGCCCTTGAAGCGGATTGGAAGTACTTCCGAATTTACTACCAACGAATTACCAAAAACGAGATGAGTAAAGAGATGGGCGAGGCCGTTCGCACGGTTTGTTTTCGACCTCCCCCAATCGTCTGCAGGAGGCTTGCGCTGACGAAAATTGACAGGGCATGAGATACTTGGTGGATAAGCGCGGTCTTGACAAGCAACCGCGGGCGAATGTCCCAGTATATATTGAAGATATGATTCCATTCAATGAGACAATCCTTCAAACACGGGAGAAGCGATTCCACTTGGGGTTTCAGCGCATTATCCTATGTCTATACAACACTGTTGGGTTATTTACCATCAACCGAAAACAGGCAATGCTTGACCTTCAGTTCAAGCATCTACAAATATCGCTCCAGCAGGATCCGCACGGAGGACCTCCGAAGCCGATGATCGAACTCGAGCCCCAGTTTGTGAAAAGCGTCCTGGGCATGTCGAAGCTGTAGGTGGAACCCGAGTCATACTTGCTTGCTTCAATCAGACTGACTGATCAATATTACTTAGCAACACGTTCGCGCTACCTGAAATTGTCTACGGCGTATCACTTGTCTTCAGCCCACATGTCCTACTCTTCATCATATTATTTTATGTTCACGCCTTTGAAGCGCCTCACTTAACATCGATGGAAGACCTTCGGAGACTGCTTGTCGAGGGTGGTCGACAGGAAATGCTACTTCCCTTGAAGAAAGAGATGGATAATTACTATGTCTTCCCGAAGGTCGAGGTGATCTGTGGCCAGCCCCGCATTTTGTGGGAGACACCCATGAATGGAAGCACACTCGACGCACAGCTCAGGACATCCAGTGAGATACACGGCTTCCTTAATCATTTTTTCTCTCACCAATTCCGATACGGAGGAGGTGATTTACTCGACAAGAGTGGTGAGTGGACTATAAATCCCCAAGTTTCCTCTAGATGGACAGACTAAGTCTTTTGTCTAGGTTTCGTCAGTGAAGCACAGCGTAATGTGATCATGGCCCACGCCACTAGCAGAACATTTATTAAACATTATCGTCCCCGTCGGCATACTGGCTTACAGGAGATCATGTGCGGCCTCAATCCAGACGAAGAGTTCTCAAAGGCTGTGACCCGGATGAGCCGTTGGATTGATCGGCGGCGACCACGATACCTGAGCGACGCTGACCGGGAATCGGTGGAGAAAGACCCAGAACTGCAATCGGCCATGCGCTGGCAATTCGAGTTAGAGACCCAGTGCGGTGACCGCTCTCATGACCCAGCATTGCGGGCGATGCTGGAGGACCAGAAGCGTCAAGTCCACAATCTGCGCCGGCGTCTGCAGGACAAACGGCGGAAAGAAATACGTCGTGATTTCAGTCGGAAACAGGCGGTGATTGACATTGAAAGACAGCTGACCGGTGGGGCTGTTAGTGATGAGCCTGCGCGCGAGGTATTACGGAAGGAGTTTGCAATGCCATCGGAGCAGATTCTTCTCGTGGAGACGTTCTTTACTTGGCCCACTACCGATTCATTAGAAGACGAGTGGACACGGCGCAACAAAGCTGTTGCTGCTGGAATACAATATTGCGGCTTCCAGGAGGGTGGACCCCTTCGAGGACGACGCAAACGCTCTGCACCATCCGACAATGAGGATGTCGTTCCCCCTCCGCCAGCTCGAAAGATCAAGGCTGCTACGTCGCCGAATACGTCGTGGGAGAACGGGCATACCTCTGACGAGAAGAATATTCCGAATGCAGAGCAAACATTCGCATGCTTCCAATGTCCCAAGGCATATTCAGACTATAATGGGGTGAGGAGGCATTTTAGGGACTCACACTTGATGGACCGGAGATGTAATTTTTGCGATCTATCCGTCCTGCACGAAATGCACTTGCGGAGGCATGCCGAGGGTGTCCATGGCCTTCGAACATGAGCGTCAGATTCTACTTTGCCGATCTTCGAGGCCCTTGCGCCATTTCTTTGTTTCTCTATTTGGCCACAATTGACGGAGCCATGGTTTTATTTCATTGAAGCGTACCTTGTTTGTCGCGATTACATAGAGCTATCGGAATAGAATTCCGGAAATGTTAATGAATGATATACGCAGGCCTTGGCAGTGGGGCCGGAAAAGGGAGTCTTCAGTGAGTGTTGGCCAACGCGATTCGAAAATGGTCGTATTTTCTAGATTTATCCCAGAGCCGTTGGAGTATGGCCTGCAAGATATGTAGTAGCTAATGTCGTGTATGACAGACGGCGCAACGGAAATTTCCGATCTGGTATTCCCCACTTTCCATTCTCACGTTCAATGCTGCCGAACAATGCCGACAGTGACGACGTGAGTTGAGTTTTTGAGCGAGTCCCTGGAGGACGTCTTTTTCGCTAGGCTGTTTGACTAGTCCCTTTTGGACTAAATCCAGGATTACCAAGGACCCAAGGCATCCGAAGGAACTTAAGACAGGAAGAATAGCCGCTTTGTCGATTAATTCGAATATGTGACTTGAAATAACCACGGCGATAATCTCCTGCAATTTCGTTTCATGAGAAGGGGTCAACGCTAGAGCTTCTTCAACTACCTCAGGAAATATTGACGAGTCCCAATTTCCAGATACCCATTCAGAGAACTTCTCTGACGCTAGATTCTTCAATGGATCGATTTCAAATTTATCAGCGGCAGTGAATACCAATATGTTGTTTAAAGCCTTTGACTTCAAAGCTTCCATCTCGTTGAATTTATCCCCTTGACTGACTGAATCTGAATCATCTGTACTAGGCCGAAATAGAACCACATTCCCTTCATCCTGGTATTCCCTCAGGTAGAGGAACGACAGGACACGTTCGATGGTCTCTGGTGTCTCATCTTTCAGATTGATGGATCGGTCGAAAGATTCCTGGGAAAGTAAGTAACTGAGGTATCTGTCAAAGCCTTTCTACTTATACCTTGAAGCCATCGCAGAATGCGCTGTTGAAGAACCTTGACTGTGTACAAACAATAGCTCGATGGGCTTTGAAAGTGACATCTTGACAGATGATATCTATGTCAGAAAATTGTCCTCCGAGGAGCAATTCTCGCATGAAATCTGAACTCTTCGACAGCGTTGACATGATTTAATTTCCTTGAAACAAATAATTTGGATCAAAAGAAATTGAGGCTAGTCAGCTCGCTGGTCTCACTGGTTTCACGGCCTTCAATGCTGTCCAAACAGTAGAGCCAATAAGGCTATTAATGATTAGTTATAGATAAGGCAGAGTTTTCGGGACAATGGAAGACAAGGAGAGCATGATGTCAAGATATTCATGAACACTGACTTGTGAAACCGTGACACGTACACTCCCAGATTGTGGGTTTGCTTGAGGTTCTGATTTGCGGGTAAGCGTTAAAATTGCCACTCAGGTCATGCTGGCCGGGGAAGGTGACGGACAGGTTGTCAGGTCCGCGTGATTCCCCGATGACGCATCCCACATTGAGTCTGTTCTATTCTGCGGTTATTTAGTTTAGCGAGATAAATCAAGGCATAATCGACTCTAAGGAATCACCAAGCACAATCGTTGAAGCAGATAGAAATTGTTATTCTGTGGGGTGAATACCAGCGACGAAAAGGTACAGTCAGGGCCTGCATGGCCCAGCATCTTACGTAGACGATCGCTTCGTGGACGACTTGCGAATGTTTACATTACTCATGACTGATTCGGAGTGGGGATAGAGTAATGATGGTCTAATAATTACTGTGTCAGGAGCGAGCCTTACATTGAGCTATTTGAATTGGCTCATGAAGCATAGCAAAGGGGGAACACGACATGCTTTACGTTTTCGCATACATTCAGCAGGGCTGATGGTAATCGATCTCCGGGGATATCTGGGAAGGATGGGACGAGGCATGGGACTTGGGGGCTTGTGCATCTGGTGCTTTAGCATTTGGACAGTGGAAACGCTGGTGATAGAATGTACGGACGAATGAAAGGTCCTCTACAAGACATCCATGACACGTTATCAAGTATGGCAATGTTGCCTTAGGGTCTTAGTAGATTTAGAGAAGTTGTTTAGCGACTCGTATGGCCGGCTGACCATGCTAGACAGGCGCCAAATGCCGTGGAGCCAGTCGAAATGTAAAACAAGGGATGTCAGTCATGGCGGGCTCTCAGTCTATAGACGTGGGTCCATGGTCGGAAAGCTGTGGTGGTGAGGCTGTGGCCTCAGGCCAAAAAGCTCTAGGTCAGTTGATTGGGGCGGAGAGCGGCAGACTGTGGTCGTGCGACTGGGCTGGTCGCACGACCACAGTCTGCCGCCTACAGCGGCTTTCAGTCTGTCAACTGGCATCCACTTGAGCTTTATTGCTACATTGGACAGGGGCTGTCGGACAGATGTCTGTGTAGGCTATATGGAGCGCAAATTAATTCCTGGATGTTTTAAGACAGGTTATGTCTGTTCCCAAGCGGAGCGAAAATCAACCCAATTCTTAGCCTTCACGTATCTTGAGATGTGCCAATCCTTTTCTACGCTGGCTCAATCATGGAATGAGCCCCGAGTTTCCCCACACATTTTCCCTCGCCCGACTATCTTGAGAAACTAGCTATCCCAAGACGGGCCACGGTTTTCCCGAGACAGACCACGATTCTTCATATCCTACGATCCGCCGTATCCTGAGACCCTGGATTTCCCAAGACAGACCACGATTCTTCATATCCTACGATTTGTCGTATCCGGAGACCCTGGATTTCTCAAGACAGACCACGATTCTTCATATCCTACGATTTGCCGTATCCTGAGACCCTGGATTTCTCAGGACAGACCACGATTCTTCATATCCTACGATTTGCCGTATCCTGAGACCCTGGGGTTCTCAGGACAGACCACGATTCTTCATCTCCTACATTTATCGTGTCCTGAGACCCTGGCTAAATCCCGAAGGACACCGCGTTTCTCCTCGTTGTGGGTATTTTGTATGCCAAGTCGAAGGCTCAGGTGAAAAATATTAGGCCTTGAATATTGAATGGTCCCGATGGAAGCCTTAATATAATTTTCAGGGTTCAAGCAAGAGAGCCCTTCAGATTCAAACACTTGAACCAATCCGTCTGTCAACCTAGGCTGCACGAATAGTTCGCGGTCCTGAACCGCAGGTATACTTTGTAGTAAATTTTTGCCTTTTCGAGATATTAAATATTTTACTGTCATAATACAGGAGATGCTCAAATTTAATAGACTTCTAATTTTGGGCCGATCGAATTTTAACGGTGTTTTAACGATACACACCTTTAAAATATTAGGCTTTGAATATTGGACAGCCCCAAATATTGGAGAGCACAAATTTTAACGATCAATAATATTCGAGGGACTTTAAAATTAGTGAGCGGAAAAATTCAAGAGTGCAAAATATTATTGTAGGCCTAACATTAAATCACTATAATTTTCAATGGCTTCGGAGTTAGTCGGATATAAAAAAAATGCGCAATGGACTAAAAGGCCCGCATCATCATTTGCGCGCGCGTAGAGAATACCAATTATTAGTTGGAGCTTTTGTCTATGAATCCTTTCTATATCCAATAATGTAGCGAGCTGGGTTAATGTGGGTCTTACCCGCATGAAATCACGACTTACCACCACTCCGACCTGACTAGTAGCGGTTGGACCATGTCAGATCTATTTTCCTAAGCCACGTAGGGTGGCACTTGCTTCCTCCCACTATTATATTTAAGAATAGCTGATGGAAGGGGATATATTAAATAGGGGCTTATAAGGGGAGTGCCCCGAGTACGAGGTATAGCGGCTTTTACTCCTTTGTATATTTGATGAAAATATCCAACCTTTTGGACTTCGTGCAAAATCTCCCAGTACATAAACAATGGTGACTTTAACCATTCGCGACCAGAACCGTGGTCTTTTGGGGAAATCGTGTCATTTTAAGAATTCAAAAGGACCATTTACTCCTTTTCACCTTTTAATCACAAATACAAATCATTTTTGGCTATATAAAAGTGGCCTTACTTTCATCCATTCACAGGTCAAAAATATTTGCCTACCTCGGATGATGGCTAAAATCTCCCACGAACAACCAAAGAGCTCTAGCAGGGAGAAGAAATCACTGCGACAGAAGAGAGACCGACGCAAGTCATGTCTAGAGAAAAAGGCCTTAGAGTATAGCGAGATGTGCGGGGCAGATGTCTGCTTGGGCATACGCATTCGACAGTCAGGGAAAGTCTTCATTTTCTGCGCAGACGCCTCTGGATTTTGGTCTTTCCTTAGCTCTCAACTAGTAAGTAAATTTCAAGGATCTGCCGCTATGACTTCCCCGACTCTTCTAGGACTCTTACTACCCAACACCGGTCGAGAGAAACGAAAAGTGTATCTAGACATTGAAGCTTTATTGAGAAACGGAACTATCGATAACTTTTGAAATGCTTTGTTCTCCCACCATGTCTCGTACTGCTTTTAGGGCGTCAAGGCTGAGCCACAAGAACCACCAGCAGATCGGACGGCGGCAATCCCAAAATAAACATGTCACACCGATGATCCCCTTTAGTCCATTTTCTTTTTACCCCCCTTCCCTTCTTTTTTGTTGTTTTATTTTTTATCTTTTTTTTGGGTGCGGTCCCCCGAAATTGTGATGTCACGAAATTTCATTAATACTAAATTAATCGACGTCAGTGTTTTTTGTTTTTACTATCTATTTATTGAAATTTAACGTGCCCATTTTAGATCACAAGCTCAATAATATAGAAACATAGGTCGCTTACTCTAAAGAATTCTCCATGCGTGAATATAAGAGGGCTGTTCCATGGGAGCCCCCTGGGGATTGTGTCCACTGTGTTCTGACTTGTGCATAAGCCCTGGGAACTGAATCCCTTGGGGGAATTCCGACTTAGGTACTTCACTCCCCTAGGGGATTTCTGCCTTGAGTGCACGAGCCCTCTGGGAACTGAATCCCTTGGGGGAATTCCGGTACATGCTCCCCTAGGGGATTTCTGCCTTAAGTGCATAAGTAGTGAATTCCTTGGGGAAATATCGACTTGAGCGCTTAGCTCCCTGGGTCCTGCGCAAGGAAAAATAGACTCCTTAGTCCAGGAGGGCGGTCTATGGAAGGCCTGCTACGTAGTAAGGCAGACTGCATAGGCACTTGCTACATAGAAGGACAGCCTATGTAGGAATTTCTACGTAGCAAAGTAGTCTACGTATGTAGCTAGCGTCTCGGTTTCATGTGATCGTAAATGATTTGCGTTTAAAGTCCCTTTTGGAGCAGCCCCCCGCGATACTGTTTCCTAGACCCCGACCCTGACAGGAGCACACAGTAATTCCTGGAATCCTGGATATTGGTTTTCAGTTGTGTATTCGAGGCCCAATGCATTTTGTTCTTCCGGCCGCATATCATGTTACCCATAATTACCTAGCCGATAGTGGGTTGATCATGGCCAGTAATTTGGTCATCCTAGAAACCAATTTTCTCAGCCCCTCCTAACATGTAGCTTTTGTGTTATTTCGCCCCCTAGCCAATAATTGCAATGGGGACCAACAATAACACTTGCGTTGGCTAAATTAAGGACCACTCCTAGGCTGTGATCTGTCTAAAAGAGATTGTGATTTGACCGAAAAATGCCTTCATTGTCCAGACAAGTCAGGCGGAATATATGTGGCAATCCCACATAGATCATGTTACATACCATGTTGATTTACTTATGTGTTGGATGAACTTGAGTAAATCTACACAAGTGGGAAATCTTCATATGTGTACTTGCATGATCCAAAATTTACAGGTGTGTATTAATGTGCATTGCACTTCAGATACAGCTAAATAAGTGAAAACCCCATCTATGTGAGCAAGTATGATCCGATCAATTCAAGTCCAGGTTTTCATTTCTTGCGACTTAAGTAAGATGAATTTTTTGTATAAATTAGCTATGGTATATTTTTATCACCTAGCAGCTATTATTTGTCACTTCTCTGGAAAAGTCTCTGTAACATCCTGACACATAATCTCACATTTCCCCCTTGAGCCTTTGTAGCTCTACTCCGCGTTCAAGACGTATCGGATCTACAATGTCCCCCTCCTGGTTCGAGTTTCACATGCGACCCTAAGAACTGCAATCCTCGTTTGCTAAATATCTACGTGTCTTTTTTGCTGGGGCAATTCCCCGTTTCCCATTATGAGTCTGCCACACCAATAAAAAATATCTTTTAAGCGCCCATCTGGCGCGTTCGGCTTGTTTCGCACGGACCTTTACAGTATTAACAGGGCTAATTTGGAAAGCTTCCCTGGCTAGATTTTAGTCGCGGCGCTTCGAGATGCAGGGCTGCTGCACCTGATTGATCTCCGTGATTGCGACCGGTGGTTTTCACTGGACCTGTGAGGGGTCCCCGACAGCCGTTGAGCACTTAGTCCACAAATACTCCATATTACCAGCTGAAATGTCTGTGTCATCGGAGAAAGAATTTATTCTCCGCTCATTGTCGCAGCCGTGCAGCCAGTCAGCACTCAGAAACATGCCTGGATTCGTGGGATAATGAGTACATTACCCTTAGCTCGTTCGCATAGAGGCGCCTACGAGCCGTTCTTGCATTTGGTAGTTTGATTTTTCCATCGCAGTCGAGCAAATATCGGGCTTGTTCGACAGGGAGTTGGGATCGACCTGCAGCTAGCAATTCTCTATCACACGCTAGGCTCGGAATTTCAACGCAGACTGGAGAACAAGGGCTCGCACTAGGATGCGCGGTGGGCCCAAGAGGAAGGCCTTGATTATGCTAGAGATAGATAGGCTGGGCGGCGTGATCGAGTGATCCGCTTTTCCTGCATTGCCGCCAAACTTGCGGCCATGTACAGCATTAGCGTGACTTTACCACCCTATCACCACTTACCATTTACCGTCATAAAGCGAAGCCATTAGAATTGACACGTGTCTCCCCCCTCCCACTCTCCCCTCCCTCCCCTCTCTGGTCTGATCCACGGAGTCCCTTTTATTGCTGGAGATTTCACTAGGTCTTTTAAATTTGTGTTCTACGTAGCTTTTCGCCCATACACACTCAAAATGACCGGTGAAGATAGACGGGGGATTACCGTTCTTCACGTTCCCACGATCAAAGCGTCCATCGGGGAGAAGGGTTTTGCCTCTGATGATGTTCTCTTTGAGTGAGTCTACATTCTATGATGCTCACTAATTATTCATCTTTGCATTATAACACGAATCACAGCTGACCGTCGCAGCTTGGTTGCCATACACGGCTTGAACGGGGATGCCATCGATACCTGGACGCACAAAACAACAGGGGTCATGTGGCTGAAAGATCTACTACCGGAAGCTTTGCCTAATATCCGGATAATGACATATGGTTACAATGCTCGCTTCAAAAACTTTACTGCGCAACAAGACATGCGCAGCATATGCTCCAAATTACTTGCTGAGCTTGTTGATATGAGGCCTACGGAACAGGTAAGAGTTTCTCCTCTTCGCAGTTGATATCGAGACTGACCATTTTGCAAGGAGAAAATTCGTCCCATTGTCTTCGTTTGTCACAGCTTGGGTGGAATTGTCGCCAAAAAGGTAACCCACTTCCCATTCTTACAACCGTAGCGTTGCTAAGAAGGTAACAGGCACTATTGATAGGTTGCTCTAAAGAGGAAGAACAGGTGCAGAAGTCTGTTTACGGGATACTATTTCTCGGTAAGTTTGGCTTAGCCATGTTAATTATTTCCTTCTAACTTGTTACGAGGAACTCCCCACAATGGGAGTAGTCTTGCGGGGATGGGAAAGCTTGTGGCAAACATTCTTTCCGCGTGCTCGTCAATGAGACCTCCGCGTACACTGCTAGGCTTGCTGCAAAAAGACTCAGAGGTCTTGATGGAAATAACGCAGGATTTCATCAAGAGAAGGAGACAAGTGCATCTAATCTCTTTCTACGAACTGGAGTTCACATCTATTGGCCCATTCTTGAGAAAAATGGTAAGGATTTTTGATGTGAGCGCGCTTGGAATCCGTATTGACCATCATTTGAAGGTTGTTGAACAACAGTCCGCCATTTTGAACGTCCCAGATGAAATTACTATTCCGCAATTTGCCGACCACCGCAATATTGTCAGATTCAGATCCCATCAAGATCGCACTTTTCGCCCTGTGATGTCCAGATTGAAACAAATAGCTCATGAGTTGCAGCTTGGCCCCACCGAACAGACAAAACCTACCCTCGAGTCGAGTAAGTTGCATTTGAGAGAACACTCGCGATTAATTTGCTAATTTTTTAGTTTTTTCCATTCCATTCGATATTTCAATAATTCCATGCTTGCATTTTCGCGGCAGGGATGATGTTTTGAGCACCATGAAAGATTACTTCCACGAAAATCAGACTAAAGGTTCAACAAGGCGAAGTTTTGCCCTGTGTGGCTTGCGTGAGTTTCTCTTGAAGCTGGTATTTGGCCATCTACTAATTTTAGCTCAGGCGGTTCGGGGACGACCCAGACAGCTTTGCATTACATTTTGCGAAATATGTCGAAGTACAGCACAGGAGCGGTTTTCCTAAACGCAACATCAAGCGTCTCACTTGAAGCTGATATTGATCGTCTGCATGAACTTCTCAAACTCGGGCAATCAAATAACAAGATTAGCTCAGTGAAAAGCTGGCTATCGAGACCTGAAAATTCTAGGTGGATTCTTGTGTTTGACAACGCTGACAATTTGGATTCGGTGCATATTCAAAAGTATTTACCCTCGGTGAACTGGGGTCATGTCTTGATCACCAGCTGTGACCAAGCGGCTATTGGCAGCATAGCCGAGGAGGGTCATGTGTTGACTTCGTTGGCAACTGAAGACGCAACGCATTTACTACTCGAGAGCTCTGGGATCAAAAATCCTAGTAAGAATGATAGAGAAGAAGCAAAAAAGATTGCGGAGCTACTTGGATCCCTTCCGCTTGCTTTGGTGCAGGCAGGGGCGTTCGTGCGCTCTAGGCGTAGAAGCCTGAGAGAATACCAAGATCTATATGTCACTCGTCGGAACGACTTGTTGCTCTTTTCGCCACGCCTAGGATCCACTGAAAAGGCGGTTCTGACGGCGTGGGAAATCAATTTCAAGCAAGTGGAACAAGAGTCACCCGCCGCAACTTCTCTTCTCCTTCTTTTCGCATTCCTTGAGCCGTCATCGATCCCCGAGATGATCTTACATAGAGGCACATCTCCCCAGAGAAGAGGGGGGGAAATGGCGAAGTAGAAGAAGTTCGCGCGCAGGACGAAGGCGTCGATGATAATTTGACAAAGGTCATACAGGGCGATCTCGAGTTTGATACAGCAATGGAAAAGTTGCTTTCCTTTTCACTCATATCCTGTAAAAAGGATTCGAACGGTCTGAGAACATTCTCCATCCACCCTCTGGTACAGTATTGTGTGACTCAGCGCCTATCCCTCTCAGAAATGAAGAAATGGCGATGGCAGGCGATTTTACTCATTTGCCATGCCTTCCCAAGGAATGCATACATTGAGCCAATGTGAGTCTTTTACTTTAGCTTAGCGGATTTCAAGGTCTAATGATGGTCTGCAGAAACGGAAGAACCGGAAGAGTTCTCCTGCCTCATTTGAATCGCGTTCTTTCTGAATATGATGCTTTATGCGTCGACCTCGGAAGCGAGCTTGCCTGCTTCCGACATGAGCTTGCCTCAACCCTTCTTGCTGCATCACGATTCTCGCACGCGCAGTGGAAACTTGAAGCAGTCAGTCGTACCAGGAAGTTACTGGAGGACGACGATGACCCGTTTCTAAAAGCCTGGCTCGCATATCGGGAAAGCTCAATTATGAGAATGTCCGGATTGTCACAGGAGTCGGAGCACGTTTTACAAACGTTCTTGCGCCAGAGCGCCACATCTGACTATGAAAAGTCACACACGACTGCAAGTTTCAACGCGCAGAGAGGAAATCTCATAATTTCTTTCGCTGAGAATTTGATTCGTGAAGGGAATCTCACCGGAGCCAAAGAAGAATTAGTTGAGTGGAAATCACTAGGCACGGAGTATTCTACCCTTGAGAGGATTGTCTCAAGAGCGCGAGATATAACGTTGGGAAAGGTGCTCCGTTACCAGGGTCTTTTTAGAGAAGCATTTGACTTGCTTGAGGGCGTTCTTCAAGACAGTTTGTTTGATGACTATTTTGAGGGCACAGACTGGTATCGCGTTCTCCTATCAGGGGTGGCAGACCTGCATTGCGAAATCGGTCAGCCTGACGATTCCAAAAATCTTATAATGCAGGAATTGACCCCAATGAAAAAGAATGGAACGCAAGACATTGCCACGGGGAGACGACTACAGATGTCACTTGCAGAGGCATACCTTCAGCGCAACATGTATAGCGAAGCAGAGTCGCTTCTACTTGATGTCCATCGTGCAGTCTTATCTTCTGGTACGCCAGACTACAAAGCGCAGGTCAACATTTTCCGGATCTGGGTCTCTCTGGCAAGGATTTCACATAAAAAGTCTCACTGGGAGGACGCCTTATCACGTTGGCGGGATGCATTGTCAGTCTTGGATCATCTCAAGATGAATAAGGGTTTCAATGCTGGTATCGTGCGATGCTCAATAGCGCATGTTCTGATGATGACCGGCAATAAATCGGAATGCGCGGATATACTTCAAGAGGCGAGGACAAATATGGCATCAGAATCTCGGATTTTCTGGATACCCCTGTTTAATTCACAGTGGCATGACTTCATAGTTGACAGTTTGAAACATGTCAATGTGAGTTAGGGAGATAGCATTAGTTTTCCAAACCCGTTTAAGAGTGTTTGGGCTTCGCGCAAACGTAATGATCAAATAGCTGTAACACATAATTCCAAAAAAAGAAAAAATTAAAGAAAAGATTCATCGTGAATAAGGCCCGCAGAAGGCCGACTTCGCTTGGTGCGGGGTAGTATCACGTGAAATCCGGGCACACAATACTGCCTGACCTGACATCTGGCCTCGAAAATCATTTCACGCTAGGTAGCCTTCATCACATACTTTCGCATGACTTCCAAGATGCACCATAGCTACGAGGTAACCTTTTCAAACCACATGGCAACCTTTGTTCTGATCTAACAACATAGAATGCTCTTGAATTATTGGATGCGCGGCGCCGAAAAGCTCGACCAAAAGCTCCTATAGAGACCACAGAATCGCAGGCTGCAGCGACTCCTAGCGGTAAAAAAACTACAAGGGGTGTCCCCAGCCTGGTCGGCATGGATGAGTGGTTGCGGGCTTTGGGACACTCGGTAAGCATGATTTATATGCCTAGACGCCATGACCTGCTTGTTCTTACCAGACCTAGGAACTTGACGTTGACCGGCTGAACATAATTCATATAGCTGGTACGAAAGGTAAAGGTAGTACCTGCGCTTTTACCAGTTGTCTGCTTCGATCTCATGGTTTGAGAACGGGATTTCCGAAGAGCGTCGGATTATATACCTCCCCTGATCTACAATGTATCAGGGAGAGAATACAGATCGACAATCAACCAATAACGGAAGCTCTTTTCACACAATATTTTTTCGAGATCTGGGAAGCCCTTTTATACGCGGAGGTCGAACGACAGCCCCGTTATCTGCAGCTTCTTGCTTTATTGGCTTTCCATACATTCATTAGGGAAGGTGTCGACGCAGCAGTATTTGAAACACACCATGGCGGAGAGTATGATGCTACGAACGTGATCCGAAGGCCCATTGCGACTGGAATCACATCTCTGGGGATGGACCACGTTGAACAACTTGGGCCCACACTTGAAGATATCGCTTGGCACAAAGCGGGAATATTCAAAGCCGGAACACCTGCATTCTCCGTAACACAGGAACGTAATGTTGTTGAGATTTTGCGCAGCCGTGCCGCGGAAAAAAAGACGGATTTGATGTTTGTTTCAATGAACAGCTCTCTCCCTGTCAATGATAGGGTCCTGGGTGTCCCGGTCCAGCGATTGAATTGCTCTCTCGCCCTTGAGCTAGCAAGGTCTTTTGTGCACAGCAAGACACCTGATCACATCTTAGAGTCCAAGGACATTTCGAGTGGCGTTGAGAGTTTTTCATGGATTGGGAGATTTGAAGTTATATTAGATGGAACAATACGATGGTTCTTGGATGGTGCCCACAACACATTGAGTCTCACGCAGGCGGCGGAATGGTTTTCTTCATACTCTTCAGCCACACAAAAGTATGTCACACTGTCTTGGACTAAGAACCGGCCAGCTAACATTACATAATATTACGAAGATATCGTGTCCTTATCTTCAGCCACTATTCAGAGGAGCGTGATGGAGTAGCTCTAGTGGAATGCCTGGCTCGTTCACTTTCAAAACATAACGCAAGACCAGACTATGTCATCTTCACTACATACCAGGAAAGAGAGGATGGATCTACACGAATAGGTAAGTAATAAGTATGGCAAATGTAAAGGTTGTACTTATTCTCATGATTTATATTTCAGACAAAACCTTGAAAGTGCCCGAGATTCCGTTTCCTGACTTTTGCACTATATACTCTTCACTCTGGGTTGAACTTGAACCCAAAGCTGCAGTCTCAACCGAGCCAAATATCGAGGGGGCAATTAGGTTTGCAAAGCAGTTAGGCGCGCAGCGAGATGGAATGGAGGTCCTTGTGACGGGAAGCTTGCATCTGGTTGGGGGGGCACTTACCTTTTTGCGGCCGTAAATCATTGTCAAAGCAAAGAATAACTCTCCTTGTTATAGCCCAGAGTTGCTTCAGGCAAAGTTCAAGTCATTGGATCTTTGACGGAGATGATGATATTCGGATCATGTAGCTAAGTATTGCTAGACAACTTGCTCCAAATATATATTTCCACTTCGCACTAATACTACCTCAGTAATATTACCTTCAGCTATTCGACGGTATCCTTATCTGCACCATGGGCTGTTAATACGAGCTTTCTATACTGATGAGCCGTAAGTATAGTAAAGAGTATACAGGCCCGACAAGTCGTTTTAAAAGCTGGACGAATCACTATTAAGTTGTTTTAGACTCGATTTAGGAGAGTTTCAAATTCTGCCTGATAAATAGATATATTAACTGCAAGTCTTCATTCTTGCGACGTTGCAGTCGCTTCGATCTTCTAACCTCAAAAAGGACGTCTTCGTGTGGCGCTGTGTGCTTTGGCGGTCGTGAGAACCGCGACATGCCATTCCCCTGAGCGATAGTCTCGCTGGTTACTGGGGCCTCAGCATCTGCAATCTCCTTAGATTCTAATAGGAATTAGTAGAAGCTAGAATCTCCTATCATCTAAAACTTACCCGCTTGGTAATTCGCACCCTCCGTGTCCTTCATCGCCTCACGACTAGAGCAAAGTTTCAATAAATCCGAAGGAGTCTTGGCAATTTGGTCATCCATTTCTCCCAGAGTTCTGGCGAGGCCATTATCTCGGTGTCGGCATCGGAATCACACCCATCTGTCTCGACATGGATCACGATTGGATTGGGAGCCGAGCCAGAGGGATTAGAGCCATTCTCAATCACGAATGAGCGTCACGTACGACCAATTCACAGGCTGACGATCCAATCATTGAAGTCAAGGGCGGGCTATCGATTGTCCAGTGACGGCAGCTAAGATAGTCTCACGTGATCTCAGTACCTGCTTCGGAAGCACGCTGGTTTGTTTCCCAATCCTTATCGATATGGATCACAATAGGATTGGAAGCCGAGCCTAGTGGGCTAGAACCGTCATTGGCCCTCTTGCCTAGGTCAGAAGAGTGAGCATTTTCTACGGCGAATCTGGGGCATTAAAAATTCACCCTCTTGGTAACTCCTTTCAGCTTCTTGGCAATAGCATTCCTCTATGCGAGAGTCCTTGATAAATTAGCATTTATAAAAGAGGCCGATTAGCGGGTCATAGCCCGAAAGCTAGGGTGGGCTAGGATAATCGCTGACGGGAAGCAAAGATAAAATAAATTTGTGTATACCTTTGAACCCATCAATATTTTGTGCTTTATTTTAAGTAAATATTGACATTCCATAACATAGCACACCGGACCCGGATCCAAGATAGCTTATGTAAGCATCCTGACAATTGATTTACGCAGCCTTATGTATAAGTATTAGGGTGGTCAGGCTGGAGGCACATTCAACTCAACTCACGATCGTATGACGGGCTCGGATTTACCGGCGAGACTCAGCCGCAGTTCTCTATCTTTCCTTTCACAGAGCCGAAATACAGATTATCAGATGACTTGATGGAAGGAATCTGCCTGCGCGAGCAAACTAAGTCTGAAGGGTTCCTTAATATAACTTGTCTAAGCCTTGGCTATCCCTTTCTCTTTCTTCCGGGTGAGAAGTTCCCGGTCCCTCCTTTTCTTTTTCTCGTGCCAAATCGCCAGGACCATATTGATCAAGAATATCGTAACGAACATGACTCCCACAGAACCCATGGTTGCAGCCACGGTGATAATTGAGAACACGGAAAAGCCGTAAGAAGCCTGCAGAAAAGCGGTGTTTGTGTTCAGTGGTGGTATCGTGGCGCCGACCTGCATGGCCGTGAGTACGAGAGAAAAATAGACTAATACGATGAGAATCCAAGCAAAATCACGCTGGAAGAACTCTGCATAGCGGTTGTAGCCGTACAAGTAGCCGCGAATGAAGTGCGTAAAGAAAAAGCGGACCCTGTATATCGAGTTGATCCTTCCGAGTCGCAGCTCGCCAAAGTGGTAGCGTTTATTGACCTTGTCGAGAGAGTTTGGATCGACATGTAAGATGAACTCTGCCACAAAGCTCTTCCACCAGAGCCACGTTATCTCACTCGGAAGGAGATCTAGCTTATGAGCTACTTTTAGATCGAGCGGCGAGCAGATTAGCCAAATATAGGAGAGCAAGATTCCACAAGCGGATTTGTGAAGATCCTCGGATTTGCAGAGATAAATCTCCCAGAATAGATAATTGAGCATGTAATCCGGAAGTGGCTTGACGAAGATCTTGTTGGAGAACTTGAGGAGGTGGAGGTCCGCTTGCTCGGTCAGGATGATATCAAACCCCATCATCTTCTGTCGGTGTATCGGCCTAGCATTGAGGGGTCTCCCGGCCATCCAAAGATGCCCGTGAATTCTATTGAGCCGGGAGTGGTCCAGGTCCCGCTCGAGATATGCGTCGGCATCATTCGCGACCGAAAAGATGTCGTGCTCTTTGTTCCGGAAGATAGTCGGCAAGTTCACCAGCAGGGCAGAAGAGGATGTAGCTATGGGTATGCTTTTCAGCTGCGGCTGGACATTACCGGCAAGCGGTGATTCGTGGTCATTTGCATCTTGACGGATGCTGCCAGTGAGATTCACTAGTAGAGGAGCCAGGGTTCCATTTTGAATGGGCTCTTGAGGGACAGCCCCAGCAGGATTCGTTGGCGGCGACGGGGGCCCATTCGTTTTAGAATCTCGACAGGCATGGCCCGAGGGATTGTCTGGTGTTGGCAGTCGCAAGGAAAAGGGAGGTCTCAATAATTTGTCCTAGGCGGCATTAGCATCCGACAGTTGCATAGTCAACCGCAATGGAAAACGCCGTCAATGAATCGATCGGCTTTGGCTCTGAGAAGCTTACCTTGTTTTCCACCATCTCATCACTCCTTGGGAAAAGGGGCAGGGTGTTAGACAAAAATTGAAGTCAAAGAAGTCAGCCATGAATGATCGGAGTTCGTTTTGAAGAAGTGAAGGTGCTCGGGTTTTGTTGCTATTTTTGGCAGCGAGGGGAAGGTGAAAAGGCCCAGGAAATGGGGGACTTCGTTGCCAGAATGGGCTACGCCTTGAATCCCATGTGACTTAGAGCTAGAGCCATGTGTCAACAAGACCGATTGGTCAGCCTGTTAAGAGGGGGGCGTCACGCTGACCTCCTCGGTGTCTATGGATTGGCTACCTATTAAGGGGTACAACAAATCTTCTCTCCGAACGGCAGCGGGTATCAAGCACTGGCGATTGGCGACTGATCCCGGGAGATGTAGGCCTGTGTGGAGAGATCATCAAGGCACGGTCCGCTGTTGGGATGAATGGATTTACTAATCGGTGGATTTGCGTTTGTTCTTCTCTGACGCCGGGTCTACTGTAGTCTTGACACCAGTATTTTCCATTCGCTTCTGCCCCTCCTTCGCCCCCGAAAATCTCACTGTATTCATGGAAGATCGACCAAAACTATCATGTTGTCTTCTTCACCAACAACCGGTTTCTGGTATTCACAGAGATCAGGGTGATTTTGGCCCCCTGCCCCTCCGACCACTCATAAAAAGCAAAAATGGGGGCTGAACTGCCAGACGGGAATGACGGCCTGAGATACGCGACACACGGGAGACACGGCACATTCTAGCCGCGAGGCCACTTTAGCGCTTTTGAGGTCGTGCAGGGCATACAGAAGGGGCAGAGAAGATGGGCTTCATTGGTGTTCAGATGACCGGCTGGAAGGATTTAAAAGGGAGGGCGGCAACGGCAAGGGGCAATTTCCCCTAACGAAAACGAATCAAAAAGCGTCGGTGACCTCCTACAACAGCTATTCTATGTCGGTGGTCACCTAGCGCCCACGATGCGTTGCGTGGGCGGCTCGCCGCTGTATTGAGCCCTCTTCAGGTTAATCCGGCCACCTCTTCACCCACCTGAATATTCTTCACCTGAACATTTAGCCCGTGTAGAAAAAGGCGCCGTTGCAAAATTTGAGGGGATTTACTGTAGGTGTCCTTTTTTTTTCTCCCTTTTTTCTCCCTCCTTCACTAACGCTTAGCTTACACCGTGAATATAAAATTCGTGGCTAGTATAATCTAACGTCGAATTACACTAGAAATATTATGTAGACCTCGTAAAAAACATTTCGAGGGCTGGTATCTCCCGCCCTCATCAGCCCTCATTTACATAAAAAAAGCTGACTATTCCTGATTCGGATGTATAATCCTGCTGGTTCATAATTTTATGCTATTTTTATTTCCTATTCTAGTTAGTCTGTCTATGTTTGTTATGTTTGTCGGCCCTCGAAATCGCCCGCTCGCCGCCCTCCGCCCGCAAAACTGCGGGTCCGTGGGCGGCCCTTCGAGAGGCGACTCGCGGGCCGTTATGAGGCCTAATATTGTGGACTTCTTAAATCACTAAAATTCTACAAGAAATTCATACTTATACCTTAGTTCTATTCGATAACCAAGACTTATACCTTAGTTCTATTCGATAACCAAGTAATAGCTAAAACCAAAGAAGATAACTCACTATTACCCTCTTTCCTCCCCCTCTTCTGTAGATCAGGAGATGATTTCGGGGTAAAGCATGAAATTCATGATTAAGATAAGATATTCATATACTCAATAGGGGAGTGTAAATACAGTAGTTTTCAAAATCAGTTAAACCTCAACACTAACCTCAACACTCTTGCGACTTCACTCCCGGAAAATAAATCTGAAACAAACTAATCTATTTTGGTTCACCGCTCTTTAATTTAGGCAGAACCGTAACCGTAATGGCCTTATATCAATAACCGAGTCATCGTAATAAGAACGTAATGTTCCATAAAATCACGCAGAATTTTTGGTTAGAGTTGTGGCGATCTGATATGATCATCCGGCCTTTTGCTCCTCGTTCTTCCCGTATTCGATGCAGCCTCGCACTGCACCCGCCAGTCATAACACAGAAGGCTATGCTCCTGCAGAGAGCTAACCCTGGTAGGCAAAGATGCATCTCTACTATGTACTCCATGGCCTGTGCCACCTTTTGCGAGTTTCATTCGCTGCCAGCCCGCAGTTGAAACGTGGTTCTCTAAACAAGCTAATGCGGGCGATCCAAAGATTGCGAATGCTTGTTAGAGATGACAGCCCAAATCGTATCGACTATACATCCCATATATGGAGCCAGAACTATAGGAATACGCTCCAACACCCGGGTGCTTCGGCAGCCCGTACGCCGCGTGATCTACCTCAAGCCCTCCCCGCCCAGTGGACTTCAGATTGGAATCGAGCAAACAAGTAAATCTGGCTGCCATTCGCTCAGATTCATTCACCTATCTGAGTGGGAAGAAGGAAGAGACAACCACGAGGACCCGCCAACCTGTATCCACTACGGGTGACAATCAACAATCGGGAGATGTCACAGGAATACCTTGCTTTGGCTCCTAGCGACTTCGGGCAATTATCTCTGGAGAAAAAAAGCAGAGAAATTTCTTCAACGGAAGACTGCCCGCCACCATCGGGTGAGAGCCGATGACACTGTCATCACTATACTAACAAGCAATAGTACCAGACGCAAACTGACGAAACGTTTTGACGATACCGACATTATTGGACCGTTGTCGAGAACAGCTGGTTGTGTGGTCAGATCCTTGGTTCCTGTATTGTCAATTATACCGCACTTGACACATTTACTACGTGGTCCATTTCTTGTAGCTGTATGCTCGCTACATCGATGGTGGCTCGAACATTGGACGAAATTGCAAACCATTCAAGAAAAAGCTAGAACGGGCCTCGAGAGTTTTGGCGACCTCTGGCTTTCCCCTCTTTCGCAGTAAACCCAACCCAAATGGCAATCTAGGTGCTTACCACACACACGAACTGTGATCTACAATACCTTACTTGCAGATGACCAATGGACCCTGCTCGTCTATTCTTAGCCTATCAATCATATCTACAGTATCATGTTTAATGCTTTGTTCTACCTCCTGTTGGAAGGTAATATGCGGTGATGCGACTACCAGGCGCCTCGGTGGCATCCACTGTCTAGAACCTGAGTACGTAGCTTTCGATGGTGATGATGATACTTAAACTTAAACTTCTTGATTTATGGGAATGGGTCTCGTGTGGCCCTGTTGGTCGTGGTGAGATACCCATCACCAACCCATCCTTTAATCATCGTGACGTCATGGTGATTTTCGGTGAGCAACACAAAATTAGTCCGATGTGCGAGGCCGGTTTCATTTACTGAGTAATATCGGTAACACGTCGGTTAGTGATATTAGTGATATGACAGGCTCCCTGTTGGTACACGTTAATATAAGAGTAAATTTAAAGTCTATCCAGGCTCCCGTGTGTTTCCGCATCCGAACAGAATGACTGTCCAGACCGCGATAGAATGCAGTCCTTGCTGGTCATCTGCTGCGTGTGTCATATGAACCTTGACTAGTTAGTCATTCGTCTATTGGCCACAGTTACAGATAAATGCTATACCTATCTTTGGCGGAACGGAAAACATACGGAGGCCAATAGAGTACTTCACATCACTCACCATGAGTAGTGGGCAACAATCCCAACGCGAGTTTACCGAATTGTGGGCCGAGGCCGTTTTTATTTTTCAGGAGCGGTCGAACATCAAAATGCAGGAGATTTGTCGTTCAAAAATCGACACCGTTGATAAATTAATTACAAATCTCGAAAGACGAACGATCATTTTCGACAAAGCAAACCGTCATGGGGTCAACTTACGCAGAATACTGCAGACAACACTGACCCCGATCCGGCTGTTCAGTGAGATCGCCAGCGCTGGTGTATCCATTGTACGTACATCTACGATCAACCGTCGCTTTGTAGGCAAAAATAACTTCTGATCAGGTCTTTCCTCCCGCGCGGGCCATTTTTGGTGCTGTGAGCTATTTGCTCAATGTAGGTCGAGCATACGTACTTACCACCGGTCCAGAGTCATAACTATCTTCCATCATACAGACCGCGGTTAATGTTGGCAAGGCCTTCGATTCTGTTCCAAAACTGCTCGAGGGCATGAGTGCCTTCAGCGACCGCCTCGAAAAGTATGTGGGTAAGGACGGGAAAGATACGCCAGCCATTTTGAAGCCCATTTTGATCAAATTTCTCTGCGCCTACTTGGAAGTCCAAGCGATCACTCTCAAAGTACTCCGTGGCCGGTTCAACATGTTCATATCCATCGGCCTTTTGAATAGTGACAAGGGAATTTGCGCGGCGCTCGAGCGGCTCGATAGGCTGACCAAGCTGGAGATAGCTGCCGCCGTGGTCGTCCTCCGGGACGAGTTCCATGAGGCAGAAAAACAACAAACGGAGAAACTAAACCGTATTGCGGCTCACATTGGGCGTAGGGAACCCTCAAACCATTATCTTCGCTGAAACTGACGGTGATTATCTATAGTTAATTCGTTACGCGAAGCAGAGAGATCCCTTTTTCCCACTCGTTTCCAGCCTGAATTTGCCTCCGCTGACATCCGTCAATCAGTCCAGGATACTGCCTTGGACAACATCGGGACCTGGATTCTCAAGGACCACAAATTCAAATCCTGGGCAACTCTAAACCCGCAGTCGAACAGAGTGATTTGCCTTGTTGGAGACCCGGGTACGGGCAAGTCCTATCTCTGTCATCAGATCATCAAGCATCTAACAGCATCCTACGCACTCGGCCAAGCAAATCAACTACGCCGGTATAAAGGCCTCTCCGTGATCTCCCTGGCCTATTACTTCTGCAGGTCTGACCGGCCCGAGTTACAGCTTGGCAACACCCTTCTCAAGTCTCTCGCTTATCAAGTTGCTAAAACTGACCAATACTACCGCGAGTATATCTGTAACGTCAATGACCTCGACCGCATTTCTGACACGACCACCCTTTGGGATCGGCTTTTTATGGAATTTTCACCCAAGAAATATAACTCCTGGATCTTCTTGATCATTTACGGCTTTGATGGCATCCAAGAAAAAGCGAGGGAGTCCATTCTGAGCTCTGTGTCCAACATGAACCAACAGTTAACAACGGAGAGCCGAATCTCGGTTATGTTCATCACTAGTCCTCGCATTCGACACGAGCTTGCACGACATTCTATTACTATGGACCAACAAATCGAAATTCTCCCTAAAATGATCCAGGACGATTTCTCTTCGTATATTGACTACCATGCTGCAGATCTCTACTGTTTCAGCAGATCGCCACATCTCACACAACTAATAAAGTCGACTTTGAAGGAACATGCGCACAAGTCCTTTCTATGGATCAACGCGATGTTCGATGAGCTCAAAGACCAAATCGAGGAGAACAAAATCCTTGAGCTTCTCAAGCACACGTCAGAAAAATGGAAAGACCTTTTCCAAGGGAATTTGGCACGTCTAAGTCAACGACTGACTCAGCAGCAGATTGAAGTCCTAAACGTAAGTGACAGTATCAGTGATAAAAATCACCGATCGTCTAACAGTCATACTAATAGCTATATACACGTAGGATATTCTACCCTGGGTTATATTCATAGATCCACCTATTTCCATCGAGGCCCTATCGCGGGCAGTAAACGTGTCAAACGAGGGAAACCGCATAATCGGGCTCCAGGAGCTAATCGAGTATCAGTACGGCATGATCCTGGGCCTACAAACCTGCAGCGGACACCGGCTTTCCCTCAACCCCGGCGTACTTGGATCTGCTCAGCCCATCGATCCCGACATGCAGTCATTCAGACAAGACACTTTCCACACAGACTACTTAGATGACTCTGTGTATGTTGTCCTCCAACATCCAGAAATAAAAAGCATACTCCCTACAGAGGGGTCTGGAGTCCGCATGGACATCTTGGGAGCATCACTGCTCGTCCTACGAACCTGCCTACAGATCTTCTGTGACAGAGAAATTTTTGAAAAATGTCGCGATGACTTGGCGGCTTATGCTGCGAGGCTCGACATACTGATCTCAAATGGATACAATTCCTCCCTTGCGCTGAAAGATCGTTGCTTGATTGTGCGGTCTATTTTCCAGCTCTTTAGTAACCCAGAATGCATCGCCCGCTGGATCTCCGTAGGTCGGGACTTCAGTGAGCGGTGTCTGGTCTCCGATAACTTCTTGGTTGGATTGTGTACCTGGATTGAGGACGAAAAGTTGGAAGAAATATTCCAGCAAGAAATGAATTTGCTGGTGTGGATGAAGAAATTAAAGGATAATCCTATTCACGTGTTTTACCCAGTCGCAGTCGAGTGTGGCAGACGATGGCTTGAGGAAGATATTGCTCGCGTTGATGAAGAAGTTTTGTTCATTCATAACTATACAGTCAAGGTACGTTTCCGTATTCCGGGATATCAAAATAGGACAACGTTAGTTGACATCCCCCTTGAAGGATAACCCCAGTCCAACTGGGCATTTTGAAACTAGCCTGCGTAATTTGGACGATAAAAGGATAACTGATCTGGCGACCTGGGCACACTATAATGGCCAGAACAGTGACCATCGATGTCGTCTAGCCATAGCGCACATCAGAGCAGGAGGTCTTGCCAGCATACGTAAAGCGCGTCAGTTGGCCAAAAGTGCAATGAAATTGGATCGGAAGAATGGCAACGCTTTCCTATGCTTCGGGAAGACGTTCTTGCACGTGTCTAGAATGGAGCAGAAAGCCATCAGACATATCAAGAAAGGTCTTCATCTACTCTCCGAACACGAGAAGAAGATTCGGTTCGACACATTTGAGACTCTATACCGATATGGCGGAGACCCTCTGCCCGATATTGATGACATGACAAGTGCATCCGACAGTATCGGACAAGGCTGGATTCTCGAACATCACATGGATGCTCTACTTCGGTCGTACAAGTATGAAAAAGTCACGGAGATGCTGCAGCATATCGTCGGTGCAGATCTATCGTACCCATCTACTCGACAGTGGAAGGCCTTTTTTTGGGAGCTCTCCACGCACATGCCCCACCATCAACGGCTTATGATGTATGCCTTGGCCACACGGAATAGGCAACTGGTAGACGAATTATACCAGCGTGGATTGAACGTCCTCTCGCTCTGCAATGTCAGCGGCGTCCGACCTGTCTTCTACTATTATTACGCTGTCTTCAATCTTCGCTTAAACTATGGGACCACTCATGCCGGAGATCTCCTTACCAGGGCCGCCGATGATTTTCACGCCGTAGACATTGACACCGCATACAGCCGGATCCGGTACTGTGCCAGCATTGAGGCTGGGGTGCGATATTTGACAAACGCATTACGGCCACGACCCATGGTCAACTTCCGTGTGGGAGAGCAGGAGAAACAGTTCTTCTCGGACTTGGAGGGGAAGTTAGCAAGGGGAGAATGTCTGGAGTTCCTCGCTCTTCCTCTCGCGGTTTGGTACCGCGAGAAAGAAAACGACCCTGCCAAGTGCCGCAGGATGCTCAGCAACCTGATCTCGCGGCAGATCAGCTTGATCTGCACAGGCACTGACCAGATTTCAGCCTGGTACATACTTTCCGATGCCCTTGTTGCGGCAGGCGCAGAGAGCGATGCTATTACTGCATTGAAGTTTATCAAGCAGTATCGGTTGCATAACGAACGCACGACCCGTGCGAAACGGGTCTATAGCGGATTTTTCTGCGACAGTTGTGGCAGACTTATCATGGCGGGTGCGGTCCACCAACGCTGCAGCATTTGTATCAATCTCGACTTTTGCAACGATTGCAGTTCTATGCTGAAAAATGGGACTAATCCACTAGCTTTGTGTGATAAGAAGCACCGATTCTTCGATATCCCGGGTGTGGCCGACAAGGCCACAGAGGGTCATATGACCCAGAAACGGGATTGCTCACCGAGTCTGAAAGACCTGCTATCTTGGTTGCAACAGGTCAAGGATCAGTACGAGGTGCAAGTACATACTATGAAAAACGGTGTGGCAGTTTGATGCACGAATTTGCTTCGTTACCATCAGTCATTAAGTGGTGTCAACTTAGTGGCAGCGTGGTCGGCTACCTTTGTTTGGCGTGCTTTGGTGCCATCAAACACTGCATGCTAGGGGAAATTTTTTAAGTGGCGACGAGAGAGGAGAGCCACAGCACTGAGGTACTGTAGTGTGTGTATAGCAGTTTCGAAAGAATATATCACTTACGGTCTTATAACTGTACTATAGAATACACAAACCATTGTGGAAAGCGATCTGAAATGTGGCCTGGAAGACCTAATCTAATCACAGCTCACACAGGATAGATTTATTGCGCGGGAATGAGGTCACAAGAGTGCGGTGGTATATGTAACTGACTTCGAAAACTACTGTATAAGAAGTGATGGTTTCACTTGCCATTTAAGATTTTCACTTACATCCAGACCAAAGAGTAGTGACTACAACAACGCACCTACAAGGAAAAGGTCAGCGCGGGAGGGGAAGGCCACGTCAGCGCTTCAGGCACGTGTAGGATGTTTAGGTGCAGAATAGTGGTGTTCAGGGCATTCAGGTGAATAGCCAGAGCGGGCTTAAGAGTAGGGCGGCAAGAGGAAATTCCCGCACAGTATCAAAAAGCGTAGCAAAAAACCAGGATGTAAAAAACATACAACAGCCAGGACTCGCTGGTGCTCGCCAGCCCATCACTTCGTTGGTCATTCTGGCTACTGTACTTGCATTCTACAACGAGTACCGGTCCAAAAGTGTCAAAGACCAAATCGAGGAATAGATGTTAGACATGGCAAACAGCTCTACACTGTCCACCAAGGCCAGCCCGCACCTGGGAAGGACTCGTTCTACGCTGTTCTACGCTAACCAAAGTCCGGTTGTAATATTCCAATTGACTTGAATACAGTAATACTCTATCCAATTCAAGGCTAGCTCCACCTGACACGCTCAAGATTAGTGCTTGTGAAATACCAATGTCACGGACGCTAATTTTTACTTGGTCCTGGAAAAATGGAATGCTATCTCATAGTATAAGCAACTATTGGTTTAACCTGCTTAAAATAAGAAACGCCGGATTTCCAATCAGTGTCATCCTGATAGACTTTATGATGTCAAAGCACATGGTCACGTTGCTTTGGCGGCTCTGCAGAAGATGAATTGACTTTCGCCATCACTGCCTTCAACTCGTCTTTCAAAGTCTGTCTGAACCTTCCATCCTTGAAGTATAAGATGGAAAGCAGCGCATGGAACTTCATGGCATATACAGCATTCCTATTGTCAAAGTCCGCCGTAGGTTCGGAAATGGATACGCGCTTCAAGTACTCGCGGATGAACGGAGGTCCCAGTTTATACCTCGGATTTCGGCAAATGGCCAAGTCAGCTGGAAGGAGCCAAAGGGATGAGTGGTCAACTACAATATTCACACGATTTTTTCATCATTGGAGAGGGGGTTAGTCCATACCCTCATTGTGGCCCCAGTACGCGCAAGCATCGAACATGCAGAGCTCATCGGACGAGGTCCTGGGCTTGATGTTTCCTGGCCACAGATTTGAGTGAATCAGACAGGGCTTGATCGATCTTCGCTTTCCAAGGGTCCGAGGTATTTGGGGATTGCTTTCTCCAGAAAGTCGACTTTGAGAGAGTCCAGTTCCTCATCGAGCTCGTGGACCCGCTCGTCGTGGACGAAAAGGCTCTTCATCTGCTGCGCCCAGAATACACACCAGATAGAGTTCGAAGTGTTGTCCACGGGAAAATTGGCAAGATGGGTGGGCACATGGAAGCCGAATTGCCCAGTCTGCGACCGGGATTAGTCATAGATGCAATCAGCCGAATCGAAGTTGGTTTTCCCTCTGCCCCTGAATCACAAACTAACACTTGCAGGATCCTTCTCGCTTGACAGATGGTATCTTGATTTCTTGAGTTCTTGAATTCTGGAATTTCTAATTTTTCTTTGTTTATGACCTACCCGACTTCATCTTATCCCTGCTCACTGCTAAAATGAAGCAGAGCTATGAGGTACTGTTAGGAACATATGAGGCGTTCGATCTGACAGATGAACAGTGCGCTCTCAGGCTGCTCGAGACGCGAAGACGGAAAGGCCGACCCAAATACCCAGCTACAACCCTTACTGCATCCGCCTCTATTCGCGACAACTCAAGTGTGAGGGGCGTGCCTAGTCTAGTCGGGATGAGGCAATGGCTGCGATCACTAGGCCATTCGGTATGGATGCTTAAATGAATTATCTACCTTGCTGCACCATGGTTTGACTTCTCGGTTTAGGAGAACGAGATTGACAACTTGAACGTAATTCATGTTGGCGGCACAAAAGGGAAAGGTAGCACCTGTGCTTTTACCAGTTCCTTCCTCCTCGCGCATGGTTTGAGAACAGGGTTTCCAAGGCGTATTGGACTATATACCTCTCCTGATTTGCAATGCATTCGGGAGAGAATACAAATTAATAATCAACCAATAACGGAAGGTCTTTTCACACGATACTTTTTCGAAGTTTGGGAGACTCTTATCTCTCGAGATTTGGCACGATATACGGACTTCACAGGACAACCTCGCTATCTGCAGCTACTGGCCTTACTGGCTTTTCACACTTTCATCAAAGAAGGTGTTGGCGCGGCAATATTCGAGACACACCATGGCGGAGAATACGACGCTACAAACGTGATTCAGAAGCCTATTGTGACTGGGATCACGTCTCTGGGAATGGACCATATTGACCAACTGGGCCCTACGATCGAGGATATTGCATGGCATAAGGCGGGCATTTTCAAACCCGGAGCACCAGCATTCTCTGTCGTACAAGAGGCTGGTCCTGGTGAAGTTCTACAGAAACGTGCAGCCGAGAAAAATACTGAATTGACGTTTGTCTCGTCTTCCAGAACTCTTCCGGCCAACAGAAGAGTGCTCAGTGTTCCAGTACAACGATTAAACTGTTCTTTGGCCCTTCAGCTAGCTGCAAGCTTTCTGCAGCTGAAGAATCCCAAGTATGCACTGAGCGCCGACGACATATCCCAGGGCATTGAAAATTTCTCGTGGATTGGGAGATTTGAGGTAATAGAAACTAAGAGTGCACAGTGGTTTTTGGACGGTGCTCATAATACACTCAGTCTTGAGCAAGCTGCGGAGTGGTTTTCAAAGAACATCAGTGCTGCACATGTGCCACAGTGAGTATGTACTTTTCATCTTTACCTCTTGACTTGCTAAATAGTTTTGTTTCAGATATCGTGTCCTTATATTTAGTCATTTTTCCGAAGAGCGTGATGGAGCGGCTCTTTTGGAGTGTCTAGCGCATGCGCTTTCAAAGCACAACGCAAAGCCTGACCATGTTATTTTCACCACGTACAACGAGAGAGAAGATGGATCTACTAGAATAGGTAATTACATAAGTATAGCTGCCATGCGGTATCGGGCTGATTTTTTTACAGACAAAACACTTAAAGTGCCACAAACACCTTTCCCGGATTTTTGCACATCATATTCTTCCCTTTGGAAGACAATGCATCCTCATGCCGCAGTTTCAATTGAGTCAACCATTGAAGGTGCCATAAGGCTAGCAGAACGGATCGGTGTTCAACAAGGCGGCATGCAGGTGTTCGTTACTGGAAGCCTACACTTAGTTGGAGGTGCGCTCAACATATTGCGCCCTTAGCTTGACAATAATCTACTTTGTTGGACCGGGGATCTAGCGAGCGCAGTGTTTTTTGCCTTCTCATGGGCGTATCGCTGAGGTTGCAAGACAGATTTGATTCTACGCGGCAACCAAGAATAATCCAGAATATCATAGGAAAGTTAGCACTTGGCTCTTTCTTATTTTTGAACCGGGCGCGTAGTAAGATTTTGCGCACGTGAAACGCTTCGACTCGGCAATGACGCGGACCATTCGTCATCCATGCATGGACCGTTGATACGAGCTTCCAATACTGATGAGCCGCAAGATGATAAAGCTCCAGGATGAATGTAGTAAAGAGTCTTTGCAGGCCCGACGATAATCTCAAGTGGGCATTGTATCTGTGTCAGCCCTGGATGTTGCAAATTAAGCGGACTTACTAACCTCGGGAATTGGTGAAAATTTTTACGTGATGCCATTATTTATCGAATCCTTGAAATCTGAGCACTGGAAATAAATGTGTTGGGTTGGTAGGCAATAGGGCCAGAATAAATTCAAGTCGACTTTTCGCGGTTTAAGCCAAAAGCCAGGTAACAGCAAAGCAAGATTAGTCAGGAGAGGGTGCAGAAGCTGTGCATGCCACAGTGTCGACGATTGGTTCCTCTGTCAAGCCCAAGGCGTATGACAACTCAGCAATGCTGCTGGAAGCGCAAATATATCAATAGTCTAATATTAACTGTCATGTGGTGACTTGCTGTCATGGCAGTATGTTTAGACACTAGGTAGGCCAATTAATTGTTCCTTCTGGGTGAAACAGTCAAGTATCCCATAGTCATTTAGAGCGCATGCATGAGCCGTGATTGGTCTCAATACCCCCACCTGTCTTATATCCATGCATTCACTAATACCTTGAGACCGCCGCCCCTCCGGCTCTCGCACACCCATGCCGGATTCCGATATTTGCACCGTTATTTCAAGGCAATCAATTTCAAGATCGTCACGTGGTTGATCAGTGTATTGGTAGATTTCTTGAATTTATCAGTACAGAGTCAGCCAATACGCTTGAGCATACATTGTGGCGTTTCCCTCATCGTCTCTGGTCCTTGTGACGCCAATGCTGCAGGGTTAGGCCTATTTTCGGGTCCCTCCGTCTCATCTTCCATACCAATCAATCATGATGGTGATCGAGGGTTACGTTGACAAGGCGAATTCGGTCATGAGAGGCTGAGCCTCCGTAGATCTCCTGAATGACCATGAGGCAAAATGGTGTAGATCGATATCTTCGTGCTGTCTGGTTAATGGATGATGTCGCTTTTTATGTAGTCTTGCAATGCGTAGGGGGACATTACGTAGTTAGGGGCTGGCCGTTCGTGCCGCATTGTTTGCGGGCTTGTATCTGCTGGCTCGCGGCTGGGGCAGTCAATCGGTCAGATAAGCCATCTTCAATTTCGGTAATAGTGTAGCGCTATCACTCAGGTGCAACAAGGCCCCTTCAGACTGTTCTTTGTATCCTGCGGTTCATAGACCCGCTTCGCGTGGGCGACTATCCAGAGGGAGCGGAAGGCACGTCGATGACGGGACTGACGAATGACCGACGGATAGTCACGTGCGGCTAAAAAAGAATTCGAGGGCCAGCGTCAGGGCCTCGGAGAAAGCACCTGATCAGGAACGAGGTGAGCCCAAGAAAGGAGGGGAAAGTCACGAGGACGTGATGACGAGCCACACAGGGAAAAGGGGGTGGCATGGCTCAGGAGCTCGGTGATCCGCATCAATAGCAAAAATGCCTCACCTGCAGAGTGAAAGGGAGGAGGGCGAAAAGGTAAATGTGAGATGCAGGGGCGGAGGGGGTGGACAGGGTACTATATACCACCACGCACGGCGAGGCGTAAGCTCCCATCCATTGATTTCTTTGGGGGTTTCACCATGCCGGAAAATGGCGCCAAGGCTTCTTCCGAAGAAGCTTAAGACGATCCATTACATAATAACATGGGTTTTCCGAGGATCATGATTACCTCTTCTAGAGATGAGCCCGTCTTCTACCGATAATTTAATGAATTTTAGCTTGTCAATTTGCCCTGTCTCCGTAGCCACTTCTTAAAATCATCGGAGCTTAACTCAAGGCACCTGATCCTTCGAACGTTTCTATGTTGTTGATAATCCAAGACTTGCATCCATCATAATATGACTCCTGTGAGACCCTTGACCTTACAAGAAGCTGTTAGCAAGATCGACCAGCGAGTCCAGCAAGACCAGAAAATCCGGTCACAGCTCTCGTATGAGTCACAGCTCTCGTAGGAGTCACAGCTCTCGTAGGAGTCACAGCTCTCGCAGGAGTCATAGCTCTCGCAGGAGTCACGGCTCTTGCAGGAGTCACGGCTCTCGTAGGAGTCACAGCTCTCGCAGGAGTCATGGCTCTCACAGGAGTCATGGCTCTCGCAGGAGTCACGGCTCTCACAGGAGTCACGGCTCTCACAGGAGTCACGGCTCTCACAGGAGTCACGGCTCTCACAGGAGTCACGGCTCTCACAGGAGTCACGGCTCTCGTAGATTGGTCTATAGCCAGGCTACTGAGACTATCTTACATGCACTCTAATACAATATAAGCTACAATCCATCAAATAGTCATAGTATACAGTTATTAGCGAAATATGCTTCTTCCCCAACAACTGCTTTTCTTTTCTCGAAACCCATTACCAAGGCCTTAGCGCAGATCTCAGTATGGGACCATTAGACAATGTACCGCGTATGGTACTGTCTCTCCCACCGCAATATTACATCCAGTGCTTTTAGTGTTGGGCGGTAAACGTTGATGGCCCTGATACTAGGTAGGGAGCCGGCGGCCCTCAACTTATCGTGGTCCAGTCAATGGAGGCTCTGCGCTAAGGCCTTTGTAGTGGGTCCCGAGAAAAGAAAAGCAGTCGCTGAGGAGGAAACAGTGTATATAGCGGTTACGCAGTAGTTTTTGATTTGGATAATTTTAACCATGATTCTAATCAGCGTAGTACGGGAGATGCAATAGGCCAGAAACGGTACTGCAAATTAGGAATAGTGTTGCAGGTCAGAAACGGTGCCGCAGGTCAGAAACGGTGCCGCAGATAAGCAACAGTGTCGTAGAAGCAATTAAGTTCTATTAGCCCCGGTAAAAGCTAACGCGCTCATTTTGTGGCAGCTACATAACTACTAATGCTCCACCGCTCGCTGCTGGGCAGAAAACTGAAACAGTATAGCAGTTTTTCTAACCGTTAATTTTTTTGACCATGCTTGACACACAAAACGGGTCCTTTCATAAAGGAAAAGATTAACGATAAAAAAAAAATTTTCCTTCCGCTTTAGTCATTTTTACGTTGGTGACGGTGATTGCCCGCTTGGTTTTAGTGGGCCCACTTCAACTACGCGCTGTCTAGCAACACCCCAAAGACCACGATTCTGCTTACTGTAAGACTTGAAAATCGTGGTGTTTTGGCCTCTTTGCGAATTTGTGACTTGTCGCATTTGTATTTAACTCTTTCCTATTAGCGAACCTATACCTTATAAGATCGTCCGCCCTATACAGTACTTCTACAAAGTCCACTACATTCGCAGCAACTCCAGAGCAAGGGCCACTCATAATGGCTAATTTAAATACTACTCGGACCAGCTACCCCTCCTCGAAGAGAAAACTGATTCGCCAAAAACAATGCCGCCGCAGAACAAGCCTAATGAAAAAAGCTTGCGAGTATAGTAAGATGTGCGACGCAGATGTATGCGTGGGCATTCGCATCCGAGAGACGGGCCAGGTACATATTTTGTCAGCAGATGCTTCGGGATTTTGGGATTTTCTTACTTCACAATTGGTACATATGCTATGAGGTCTTTCAATCACGAAAGAAAGCTGACTCCTCAGGGCTCCCACTACCCGACTCCATTACTAGTAACCGATCCATGATTTCGAAGCAAAAGGAAATACAATAGTTGGTATACACGACATGAATCTTGAATTCTAGATCCAGAATCCGATTTGCATGAGTATCTCTTGAACTGTAAACAAGCCATGCGGAATACTGTACTGTACTTAGGATAGAGCCACCCATGACTACTCCCGAATACTTATGTTTTAGAATCCTACGCTAAGCCTTCGGATTATATTTTCACCCGTATTTATTTCCACCTTAGGTTCGAATTGTGGGCCGGTCCAGCCCCCGCTTTGCTGTGCATCTCCACCCTCAAAATCTTGAGCGGAGTCATTGTTCTAGCTCGGAACACCCCATTTGAACCCAGGAAACCAACGGCTGCCTCCAGGAACTATACCTGTGGTCCCAGTACCAACAAGGCTCCCAGGAACGAGGGCCACTATTCCCACATGCCCTCCCATCGGTCCCAGAGATGGTTCAGAAGGCCCTGGGAACTGTGTTGCTCCTGGGACTAACAAAGAGACACTACGGAATCGCCTTTTTTGGATTGGCCGCACTCTGGAGGCCATGCAAGAATTGGGTTTGATAAAATGAAACAGTAGATCTCAATGCCGGCGAATCAACTAGCTCGTCACTTCAGAGTTCTCTGGCCTTGGAATATTACAGCAGTGGCTCGGAACCCCATTTGAACCCAGGAAACCAACGGCTGCCTCCAGGAACTGTACCTGTGGTCCCAGTACCAACAAGGCTCCCAGGAACGAGGGCTAGTGTTCCCACATGCACTCACGTCGATCCTAGAGATGTTTCAGAAGGCTCTAGGACCAGTGTTGCTCCTCAAGCCGAAAAAGGACACTACAGAATTGCCTCTTTTGGATTAACCGTACTCTGGAGGCCATGCAGAATGGATTTTGATAAATCAAAATTTACCAGTGAAATCGACGCCAAAAATAAGAGTCTTTGACGTCTAAATACCCAGAGGATCTCGGTTCTTTGATTTCCCGGGTATACTTAATCCACAGTCTATTGAAGCCATATCCCTCGAGTAGTCTCTAGTTGTTAAGAAGCAGATAAGCGTCATTTCTGCATCCAAAAAGTCCAAGCATCATCTGAGAGCATAGGTAGAAACCACAGCCCTACAATCCCACAAAATTATCCTCGCGCACCACTTGTCTGAACATAGACTTGTGAAGTAAGTCCTTTGCCGGCACCTTCATCACGGTTTGTAGGAACCACAGTATCCTGAATAATGAGAATGGTAGAATCATTGTCTTGCCGGCGAGCTTCTTCGTCTGAAACGATCTCATTGCCATAACGCTACAATCCGACTGGTAATACGATTGCGTATGGTTGCGCTTGGATTGAGTAAGAGGGTTCCAAGCCCGATTCTATTGGGTCAGTAATGGATATTATAGACCGGAGGAAGGAGGCTCTAAACACTTCATCGGAGTACTAGATCATACGCTTCTAGCCAAGTCCGAGTCATTTGGCACAAGAGTAACGTAATTTGCCGGAATAATATATCTGCCGGATCCGTGTGGCGGCGATGACATAAGCATTCTGAATAACTAACTAACTTATACCGAGAGCGGTTATCTTGCCCCTGAACCAAATCCCTTTTTCTTTGTTCCCTCTTGCTGCACCCGCGACACCGTTTAAAATTTTTATTTTCATGTTTGATATACTACATACCTTTTAAATGTCTGGCGCTCATACGCAAGCTCAAACGCTGGACGCAAGGCTTGTCGCAACGATCTCTGGTATATTTACCTCTGCTGGTGTTCCGAACACCCTTTGGGGCAACTATTTACTGACCGTATATGGCGTCCCCACTATTGTTGACGTCCGTGATTTTCTTTTCTTCCAAATGAAATTTTTTTGACCTAATGATAGGGTGTGGGTTTTGTTGTACCCGACGAATCGACGAAGACTGCCTTGACCTCGATCCGGAAAGCTGGTTTTGCCGCTTGTCCACAAGGCCTAGGTTGCCCTGTTTTAGATGGATGTCGGGGAAACCTCCCCTTTGAGCATTGGCACATTGACGACGAACTTGTAATCTCAGTATACCGGAAATCCGATGTGCTGTGGGAACTATCTTTTTCCGAAGGGAGCCCAGACATTTTGAATGCATCAGACAAACGTCTTCCATCAGCGGCACCCGGCCGTGGCCGAGGACGCTTCGCACCTGAATTTGGCTCTGTACAGATTCCTCACCCTGTTCGATACTGTGAGGCTGTAATCATGTTGCTCTGTCGAGATAATGGCACCAGATCTGCAAATTACTGGATGGCGATTCTGACCTATATTCTGGAATATGTGGACGAGACAGTTTTGTTTGATGAGAACAGCCTGGGCGAAGCCTATAAATTATTCTATCGTGCACTCAAAGAAGGAGATTTCTCAAGGATGTACCTCCTTCTAGATGATCTCCGCAGTGAATTGGCTGGAGAGCGCCTTCAGCGACACAGAATCGATAATTACTAGTCTTTCCTCCAAAGTCATGCTTTTTTCATAGTGTCCTCTTTCGGCGGCTCATATTTCAACGATTTTGGCAGTGTCAAACCCCTCTGTCTGAGAAAAATAGTATCCTCTTTGGTTTGAAACCACTCTTTTCCCGGTCTCTGCGTCTCGGAAGTCACAATTGAAATGGGTATGACCAAAAGCCCATATTTTGACAACCTCCTGTTTCCAGCAGAATTCGCCTGACAAATCAGACATAAAACCAGAGGAGATTTTGCTATGTCGATGCTTCGGATCAACGACGTTTTCGCTGATTAGCGGACAATAATGGGTGAACACAATGATTTTGCGACTAGGTTCCAAGCACGAAATAGACTTTATTTCACGATTAAGCCATTCAAGGTCAGTTTGGTGTGCTTCTTGATGTGCTTCAACCGACCAATCACTAATATGATAGAAGTCGTTCAGGCCATAACTGACGCGTTCCATCTGTGTTTGGGCTATTTGGGAAAATAGGGTGCAGCCGAGGATGCTCAGTGTCGGTGAAAGGTCATAGCGTGTCTGGTCGAGGAAAACAAACTGGCCCGGCGTTTCGCCTCGTTTGAAAGACTCGTTGAGTTGGGACTCAAATATTTTTACACGTATCTTTGTTTGAGCCCAATTGCTGTGATATGGTTCGTGATTGCCAAGAACAAGGAATACGATGCGGAAGGCTTCTATTTGATTGCGAATAAAATGAAAGAAGCCCTCGTCCTTGACGTAGCCAATGTCGCCGATTAATGCCAGATATGGCGCTCGGGGTTTGACTTGGAAAATGTCGTATGCAGCTGGGGATTCCAGGTGGAGATCAGAAATCACTTGGAATTGCGTCTCAGCCATCAGCGGTTACATGCAACACGGATTGTTTCGAAGTTTGTGAGGTTACCTTAAGATGCGGGGTCTCCAGCGCTAAATACGTCTTGATTGGCGCCCTGGTCATGTGACATATAAGGAGAGGGATTGATAAAACCAGGCAAACAACAGCATTCAGAAAGATAATCAAGAGCATCCTCTCTAGGCACGAATCATTTCCAGAAAATAGTTCTTTTTTTTATTTGGAGTTTCAATTCCTACAATGTCTAGCGGGCTGTCTTTTGCTGAGTTGGAGGCAGCTGCCGGGGCTGTCATTGAAATCCTCAAAACTATACCGGAGTTCTCGAGCTCCCGAATAGTTGTCATCGGGGGCTTAGGTCTCTGGAGATACATTCGCAATTACCGCACAACTGAGGTTCGTTCTCAAGAGCCAATCATGGACTTTGGGTAGCCGCTGATAGCATTATTGATAGGACGTCGACTTCCTCATAACTGTCCAGGGCGCTCCCAAAGCGGTCAAAGATAAGCTGCTTGCTTTGCCATCATCTCCATTCCAACAAAGAGCTCAGCTATTCTACTACAAAGGCCCAAATGGCAAATTAATTCAGATAGATATCACTCCTGATTGGCAGGTGAGACCGTTGGTAGCATTAGTTTTTCAACAGTATGATATTAATGATAGCCTACAGTCACCCTATGTTCCCTCCGCAGCGATACCTATATCGACTGTTCGACCGAATGCACTGCCGTATATCTCGGAGCTTGATCTACTCATCTTCAAGATCAACAGCAGCGGATTACGACCCACGCCAGGGAAAAAGTTGCGTGATGCAACTGACGCCTTGGAACTTCTGGAAGATCTTAATTCCAAGGGGCCTATTGTGCTTTCAGTGTCTCAGAAGAATGTTATACTTCAATGTTTGGATGACGTGGCTCGAATGTCTGGGAAAGATAAAGCCTGGTGGATTGCCAAACTGGCTCTGAATTAGCTCCACCTCTTTACTTTTTGAGACTAGAGATGTGGAAGCTTAGCCGAGTGTTCATCACTGATTTTCATCGCTCTATGTTAATCTTTGTGTCTTTGGAACCACGACGAACCAAAAGGCCAAGTGGACATTCGTTTAAGAATAAGTCAGAACAATACCCTCTTACACTACGGATAGACCTGGCTTTGAACCTCCGCATGGGTCCCTACCTCGGAACCTCGAACCTCACCTCTTGAGGTGAGGTTCCAGCCTTCCTAACCTCCAACCGCCCATTAACCTCTGGAGGTTCATTGAGGTTCAACCTCCATCGACCCGCATGAACCTGCATATGCATAATTCCTCGACGCCTTTCCTCTTTTGGCTGGATAAAATCGATGAGTCATCTCAGTATTTTTCAGGTGTTCCGTCAACCTGTGGACTTTTCAATGAGTTCTCCATCAATATAATGAGACAATTAAGAAATAGTCACGCGAAAGTGAACAGTAGGTGTGGTCATCTACAAATTACAATTAATATTCGACGATATCGTCGTAGTGGGTGGTCAATAGAGGCTATCGATAACACAGCATGTAAAGCTCTAGACATATATCGCAGACACTGTGAAGTACGTGTATCCTCATCAGTAGAGCTGATATTTCTCATAAAACCACGACGCTGCAACTGGAGCCCCTTCATTTTATATCATCTAAACCGTTATGTCTTCTTCTAGCAGTTTGTCCCTCAGAATTTATGTCAGATCATCTGATTCTATCATGAATTCGGTTCAAAAATCCTACATGTGGGACTTAGAAGTTCTGTTTTTCCTATGTCAAAGTTTTCTTGGAGGTTCTATGCGGGTAAATGAGGTTCGTTGAGGTTCGTTGAGGTTCGTTTCTATAGCGATTCTCTATGTCAACCAATAAGATGTAGCTAGGTGGGTACAAGAGTTGATAGATCAATTCAAGCTTGTAGAGCAGGGACAAACAGATGCCCCAAGAAAATCCCATAACATCCGTGAAATGATCAGTAAGTTCCTTTCTATCTTACACCCAGGTCATAGTGGTTTACTGAACTTATTATGTCTCAGATCACTGACGTCTGCGGCTACGCATCGTCTCACTTCGAAGGGCTACCACTAGACGCGCTGCAATACCTTACCCCTGACGACACGCCATCCCAACGCGAAAGCCAAAGTCATTCTATCACCGACAGCCAGCTAGAGTCAGTTGCAGACCCTCCAGACCTTCCAGACCTTCCAGGTCACCGAGTACGATCTCGCGCAGAACCTCGGGCCCCAGACACCCTCACGCGAATTAAGCCGGACAGAAGTAATGAATATATCGTCTTTACTACCAACATGTCCGCGGAATTCGTTAAGTGGTGGCTTCGAACCGATTTTGGCAAGAAGAAGCGGCTAAACTGGGAGGTCAGCCGTCGCGCAGACTGCTGGACTGGGTTTCAACAAGTTGCACATGCTAAAGATGGAAAGCCTGGCGTTATATGCAATCGGTGCCGTACGGTTCTCACACATCCAGCGACAAATCATACCGGAAACTCATCGATGCAGAAGCATCTAGATGGGCCAAGGTGTCGACAACGAATTACAAAGAAGGGTAATATCCAGCAACTACTCAGTGACGCGGTATGTTCGATATAGTCAATATTCCACCTCGATACCAATAATGAATCCTCCATCTTGTAGGCCGAGAGAAGACCAGTGCCAGCCTTTACTCAACAAATATGGGAACAAAAGATTCTAAATCTGATCACTGTATCGCATTTACCTTTCCTCTTCGTCGAGCACCCAGAATTCCATGACCTCCTTTCCTACGCTCGGCTAGCACCTACACCACCGAGCGTTCCGTCAAGAAAGGTGATTCGCGACCGGCTCCGGAGTTTCGTTACAGATATTCAGCAAGAGACACTACAACAGCTCCCATGTGGTGCAAAAATGTCAATTGCGCTTGACTGTTGGACTTCACCATTCCAGCACGCATTCATGGCCATCACCGGATATTTTCTAGACCAGGAATGGGAGTATCGCGAGGTCCTACTTGGGTTTGAGCCAATTTTTGGATCGCATACTGGCGTGAACCTCGGGGACGTAGTTCTCCAGATCCTACAAAAGCACCAAATCGCCGATCGAGTACTAGCGGTGACAACTGATAATGCGTCTAACAACAAGACACTTGTCGCAGCAGTGAATGATTCAATCAAGAAGCTACAAATAGAGACGGATTCTACGATCATTCAAGTACCCTGCCTTGCGCATGTTATTCAATTGAGTCTAGTTGATTTGCTTGGTAAAATCAAGGCTTCGCCAAAGAATGATAACGCCGAGACAGAATGGTCTGATGATCGTATACGTTTGCTTCGTACACGCCAGCAGAAACACGAGATTGCTGACACTCTGAACAAAGTATGCTTCTAATCAAAAATCATGGTTCGTGGTTCAATAGGGCTAAATACTCCAATTCCTGATAGGTCCGAGGTATTGCGGTTTATATCAACGGAAGCCCTCAACGCAAGGAAGCCTTCTTGAATACTCAGCCTAGTAATACGCCAAGACTGCTTCTCATCCAAGATGTTCGTACAAGGTGGAACTCGACATTTCTGATGCTTCGTCGGGCGAAGAGGCTTCATATCGCAATTGACAAGTTCTGTTCCGACTACGATCAACATCATTTTACATTGAGTGCAGAGGGGTGGCGGCAAATCGATTACTTGCTTTGTATTCTTCAACCCTTTTTCACGCTCACCACGCTAGTTTGTCGTACTAAAGATTCGAGCATCCATCTTGTCTTTAAGATCTACAACAAGCTCTTTGACCATCTTGAAAGATCGATGCGTCAGCTTCGCCGAAAGAAGGTTCCCTGGAAACAGCTAATGCTTTCTTCACTGGAGGCTGCGAAGGGGAAACTCAAGAAATACTACGGCGAAACAGATGATATCGAAGATAATCTCTATGCTATTGGGACGATCCTAGCGCCGTCGAGCAAGATGGAATTCTTTTCAACAAGTGATTGGGACCTAGATCCCGAGATGGGAAAGGACTACAGAAAAGAATACCGCGAGAGTCTTCAGTCTCTGTTTGAGAAATATAGCCAATGTATACCATCTGAGATGAGACAGTCTGATAGCAGTCAATTCACAACACAATCGGAGCTTGAGAAGGCCTTAGACGACGACTCTCCACGACGATCGACTGCTCCGCAGTATGACGAGCTCACGAAATATCTCCAGAGTGGTCAGTAAGTCAGCCTACTTTATGAATTATTTGACTAACCTTTTCTGATTAGATACCATCAAAGGATCGACTCGGATCTTCTGGAAAGATCATCAGAGGGAATTCCCTATTCTTGCAAGCATTGCCCGTGATATCATGTCAATTCCAGCGACTGGTGCCGGAGTTGAGCGTCTTTTCAACTCTGCCCGGGATGTGTGCCACTACCGCCGGGGGTCGTTGAACCCAGAGACTGTTCGCGATATCATGTTGTATATGTGTACAACAAGATTCGATATCAAGGAGGAGCAGCGGCTGATTCTTCAAGAGTATCTTTTAGACCATGAGATTGCCGCTTCGGCCGAAGCACTTGATATCCAGACACATGCTTTCGAGGCTATCAGTGATGATGAGGAGGATGTCGAGATGCGTCTTGAGACACCGGCTGCTACATCAACCACGCAGGCAAACCCGGACGCACCGTCACTCCTAGCAGTCACCCCTGGTAAGCGGCTTGCGGTTACTTCTGACGATGAGGAAGCCTCTGATACCGATGAATTTGCGGATCTAGATGAGAACAGGGCACCACCCTTGCCTGACTTCCCTGATACACAGCATCGTGTATCAGGCAGAATACGGAAGAAGTCGAGACTACTGGATGGGTATGTAGCTTGATGATTCGACTCATGATTCTTCGGAACCATGACCAGACACTGTACTATAGACATAATGTAAATCATTGATAACTGACAGTTGAGAGTCTATTTCGAAGCTAAACCCATGATATGTACCAAATCCTCTTGTGTGACTATGCAGTAATGAAGTTTTGTTTTATAATTACGAGAGAATACAGCCTGTTTCTACATAATTAATGCAATTGACCCCAAGTCACGTATTTTACCTGTTTGTCCTGTTTGTTGAACCTCAGGTTCACCCGCGGGTAACCTCCATGAGGTTCGGTCCAAGATGTAACCGCCCGGAGGTTCCAGGTCATGGAACCTGAACCTCCGGGTGGGTGAACCTCCTTGAGGTTCGCGAGGTTCAATCGCGGTTCCCAGCCAGGTCTAACTACGGAACGGTTAGCAACACGTGACCGTCGACTCCCGCGTCGACCCCAGGAGTATACGATCGACTCCCAGATCTACCCCCGGGGTATATCTCGGAGTAGGAACCCGAAGGATATATAAGGACACTCATTACCGCACATGTATTTAGTTCTTCGCGTTCAATTACACATTGTTACTTGGAACCTACAGTTCTAGCTTCACACTTGTTTCGTACTCAAGACAACCACCCTACTAGGAGATGTATATTTAGTCTGTTGTCCCTCGACACAGATGCTAAGCATAGCTTGACTAGGCGCACTGCCTGGCACTGCCCAACAAGAGTCTACTCTATAGATCCGAGCCCGTGTAAGGCCTACAGGCAACGGTACGATTGCGACTGAGACTTGAGGACGAGCCTCGACGTACGTATACGACCACTACGAACGATACTCACTGTGACCAGTTAGCTACGCGTAACTGGGCTTGAGACTTGTCTGAGGTAAGTAGAAGTGTCAGGAGGTCTTTCGTTCCATCCGGGCTACCATAAGTGTCCTTAGTGGGTGACCAGAATGGTGCATTATTGAAATGTTCTTGACATTAATTGAGACGATCGACTACAAATTCACAGACTATCTTGTCGGCAATATTAAAGGGGCAAAATCTTGATACAGTACTGTAGTATCCCGCAACTTCCAAACCGTAAGCTAGTATCATAATGGCTAGCGCATCTCTTGATTGTGGTCAAAGTAACGCTAGTCTTAAAAAGGAAATATGTGACAATCGATCACTTGTCAATCCGATGTTTTATGTATCCCCGCTTTGCGCAAGCGGGTGACTGGTGCAAGAGATATTGTCCTTTATAGGACACGGTTCGAATAATTTCGAATATCTTGATCGCCCTATTTGTCTCCATGATCTTGTTAAAGAATTGCGTTTTGCTATTTGGCTGCCTTTTCCGGCCGCAAATGAGGCCGAAAATGGCCGTCTTTCAGCAACCTGCCTCCGCCACGCTCCCGCCTCCTTCGACCACGCACCACACCACTCACCACTTGGTGCCTCAGGCTGCCATTTTGTGCGCGCTGACATCCTTAGTTCCCTGAGGGCTCCTTAGTAGCTCCACCACGCCTACAGGGGAGGGAGGCGCCAAAAATGGCCTCCTTCAGCACCACGCCAGCTGCACTCTGGCCAGCTCCCAGCCGCCATGGCTATAAATATCCCCTTCCCACCCATCCTCCGTCCAACACTGTCCTCACTTCGACTCAAACACCCCTCCAAACATCTCCCTCTGATTTTCCGTCGTGCTTTCTTCTATTCAGTTATTCAGTCGAGGTCGTGCGTTAAAACATCTCGAGCACCGAGATAGTTCCTTCGCACGGCCGGCGAAATCTATTAGCCATGTATCGTCGGAGGACGCCCAATACCGGCAACCACGGAATCACGAGTGAATCCTCTTGTACCTCTCCTATCGATACCGACAATGATAGACCGTTCGAGCCCGATTCCTCTGAGACCGATCTCACCGAGCCGGAGCGCTCCCCTCCAGCGGGTCGAACGATTGCTCGGAAAAAGCCAAGCCCAAAGACTGGAACAAAATCGTTACCAACAGACCTGTCGAATGTGGAACGTGTCCACCAGGCCCGATACCAAGTCCCCGATGATGATACGGATGAGGACCTGGCCCTAGTGCCAGAGGATTACGGCCGATCCAATAATACGAAGAAGTTGAAACGTCGACTGAAAGAGCGTTGGGCTTGGTAAGCGATCAGGATATCGTTGAAAGCTTATACCGTGTTGATATCAACTGACCGACTTGCCTTATTCTAGGTACTGCCAAATGAAAGCAATGGAACCATCCACTAATCACAAGTGGGGGGTGGCGGAGGATGCACTGCGTGAAGCGTCTCCAAATGACATGCATCGATTCCTTAATTGGTGTCTGAAGCTGGAGTACAGTCCCGATGGTCGCCGCCAGAAAAGCTATACAAAGGCCAGCGCCCTTGAAGCGGATTGGAAGTACTTCCGAATTTACTACCAGCGAGTTACCGAAAACGAGATGAGTAAAGAGATGGGTGAGGCCGTTCGCACGGTTCGTTTCCTCCCCCCACAATCTTCCGCAGGAGGCTTGCGCTAACGAAAAATGACAGGGTATGAGATACTTGGTGGATAAGCGCGGTCTCGACAAACAACCGCGGGCAAATGTCCCAGTATATATTGAAGATATGATTCCATTCAATGAGACAATCCTTCAAACCCGGGAAAAGCGATTTCACTTGGGGTTTCAGCGCATTATCCTATGCCTATACAACACAGTTGGGTTATTTACCATCAATCGAAAACAGGCGATGCTTGACCTTCAGTTCAAGCATCTACAAATATCGCTCCAGCAGGACCCGCACGGGGGACCTCCGAAGCCGATGATCGAACTCGAGCCCCAGTTTGTGAAAAGCGTCCTGGGCATGTCGAAGCTGTAGGTGGCACCCAAATCATATTTGTTTGCTACAATCAGACTGACTGATCAATATGACTTAGAAACACGTTCGCGCTACCTGAAATTGTCTACGGCGTGTCACTTGTCTTCAGCCCGCATGTCCTACTCTTCATCATATTATTTTATGTTCATGCCTTTGAAGCGCCTCACTTAACATCGATGCAAGACCTTCGGAGACTGCTTGTCGAGGGTGGTCGACAGGAAATGCTCCTTCCCTTGAAGAAAGAGATGGATAATTACTATGTCTTCCCGAAGGTCGAGGTGATCTGTGGCCAGCCCCGCATTTTGTGGGAGACGCCCATGAATGGAAGCACACTCGACGCACAGCTCAGGACATTCAGTGAGATACACGGCTTCCTTAATCATTTCTTCTCTCACCAATTTCGATACGGAGGAGGTGATCTACTTGACAAGAGTGGTCAGTGGATGACAAATCCCCATGTTCTCTTTAATGGGCAGACTAAAGCTTTTATCTAGGTTTCGTCAGTGAAGCTCAGCGTAATGTGATCATGGCCCACGCCACCAGCAGAACGTTCATCAAACACTATCGTCCCCGTCGGCATACTGGCTTACAAGAGATCATGTGCGGCCTCAATCCAGACGAAGAGTTCTCCAAGGCTGTGACCCGGATGAGCCGTTGGATTGATCGGCGGCGACCACGATACCTGAGCGACGCTGATCGGGAATCAGTGGAGAAAGACCCAGAACTGCAGTCAGCCATACGCTGGCAAGTCGATTTAGAGACCCAGTGCGCTGGTCGCTCTCACAACCCAGCATTGGGACGATGCTGGAGGACCAGAAGCGTCACGTCCACAATCTGCGCCGGCGTCTGCAAGACAAACGGCGGAAAGAAACACGCCGCGATTTCAGTCGGAAACAGGCGGTGATTGACATTGAAAGACAGCTGACTGGTGGGGCTGTCAGTGATGAGCCTGCGCGCGAGGTCTTACGAAAAGAGTTTGAAATGCCATCGGAGCAGATTCTTCTCGTGGAGACTTTCTTTACTTGGCCCACCACCGATTCATTAGAAGACGAGTGGACGCGACGCAACAAAGCGGTTGCTGCCGGAATACAATATTGCGGCTTTCAGGAGGGTGGGCCCCTTCGTGGACGGCGGAAGCGCTCTGCCCCGTCCGACAATGAGGATGGGGTTCCTTCTCCGCCAGCTCGAAAGATGAAGGCTGATACGCCGCTGAATACGTCGTGGGAGAAGGGATGTACCTCTGGCGGGAAACATATCCCGAATGCAGAGCATACATTCGCATGCTTCCAATGCCCCAAGGCATACTCTGACTATAATGGAGTGAAGAGGCATTTTAAGACGTCACATTTGACGGACCGGAAATGTAATTTTTGCGATTTGTCCGTCTTGCACGAGATGCACTTGCGGAGGCATGCCCAAGAAGTCCATGGCCTTCGAACATGAGTGTCGGAACTCCTGTAACATTCCCTTGTTTCTCTATTCGAACACAATTGGCAGAGTCATGACCGAGTTGATGACTATTTTATTGAAACTTTCCTTATTTGTTGCGGTTATTTAGAGCTATCGGAACAGAATTCCATCGCAGTCGTTTCGACCTGTCTTAGGGCTTTAGTTGATTTGGAGCAGTCATTTTGCGACTTGGGTGTCTGGCTGGCCATGCTAAACAGGCGTTGAATGCCGTGAAGCTAGTTGTAACATAAATCTGAGGAAACAAATCACGGTGAGTTCTCAGTCTGTAGATGTGGGTCCGTGGTCAGAAAGGCTGCGGTGGTGCGGCTGTAGCCTCAGGCCAAAAGATTTAGGTCACTTGGCTTTGGTCCAATGACTCATAGCGTTGTACGTATGACTGGTTTGGTCGTACGTCCGCAGCCTTGTGTCTGCAGCGGCCTCGAGTCTGTCAACTGGTGTCTACTATGGCCTTGCAACCATAACAGACATGGAATTTTGGACTGATCTCTCTATAGGGCGTAAAGTAATTCTTTATTATCTACCAGGCAGCCGATCGCATTTTCAAGCTACAGATCATGTTCCCAGATCTCCCTCCTCCTGACTCTCACGAAACAGATTTCTAATTTCATGCGAAGGGCCGATCAATATTGAGCTGTCTTGATGAGGTAGATATTCGCTAATAAGGACTGCGCTTTTGCGGCCAAAGCTCAGCTTCTTGCATATCGACAGACAGGGCTATTCGGATTTAGCATAACTTGTGAAACGACGACTGAAAGAGTTGACTTACTTTCCCAGACCCTTTGCGCCTAATTAATGAATATACAAAATAGAACTACAAATTTTAGATTTAATCATACAGGGACAGTCATCTAGCCAGCAAATGCTTTAGAAGCACTTTGGTAGGAAACGGTGGGGTCTCGTAGGAAAGACAGAGCTACCTAGCACAGCTTGATACGTTAGCCTTGAAGGAGCAGACAGGTCCACAGTTTCCCTTGAGCGGCAACAAAGCAAATCTGCACATATCAGCCTGGCCAGAAGGGAAATCGTGGACCTGCGCAAGAAGATTGGTATCGGACGAGGCAGATTTGTTTGTGGTAGTCTGGCCAGAAGGAAAACCGTGGTCCATCGTAAGAAGGATTCTATTATGCGATGTGGATTTTCTTGCGTAGAGGGGAAATCGTGGTCTATCGTAAGAAGGATTCTATCATGCGATGTGGATTTTCTTGCGTTAAGCTGGGAGAAGGAAAACCGTGGTCCATCGTAAGAAGGATTTTATCATGCGATGTGGATTTTCCTGCGTAGAGGGGAAATCGTGCGATGTGGATTCTATAGAGAGCAATCTGCAAACATCAGCAAGATAATATCTTACCTTAAGCATGTCCTTTGTTGAGATGAGTAGTTGTATTTTCTTATTCTTGTTCAACCGAGAAAACAATTGAATTGATTTAAGCTTGTTTGCTCTATGCTCTTTTGAGTGCAGGAAAGCCGTGATGCCCTCTTATCTTTGAGATGTGAGATTTGTCCTTCAACCGCCAGATCTCCACCGGGCTCCACTGATCTCCACCTGGCCTCAAAACATTGAGCGGAGAATCAACGGCTGCCTCCAGGAACTGTATTACCATTGCAGCTTTCTAAATCGCAGCGAGCTAAGTTGTCTCACCCTTGCCCGACCTCCAAAACAGCTCACAACGGCCAGCATAAGTACATGAAAAAGACAAAAGTGATTCATCAAAGACTTGCATCTAGAGGCTCTTTTCAACTGGCCTTGGATAGTAAGAGCCCTGAAAGAGTCAGAAAACCCGCAATCTCCCATTCCCACCTGGACTTACTAATTGAGAGCCCAGGAACGACCAGAACCCGGAGGCGTCTGCGGAAAATATGAAAACTTTCCCTGACTGTCGAATACGTATACCCAAGCAGACATCCGCTCCGCACATTTCGCTATACTCCAGCGCCTTTTTCTCCAGGCATAATTTGCGCCGGTCTCTTTTCTGCCGGAGTAGTTTCTTCTCCACGCTGGAGGGTTTTGATCGTTTTGAAATTCTTGCCATTTTCTTGACTGGGCAAATAATCTTAGTTAAAAAAGTGAATGGAAACAAGCTTATTTTGATATGACCGTGGCCTGGTTAATATGTGCGTTTAAAAATGCACAAAGGAGGAAATGCTCCTTTTGAATTCTCGAAGACCACGGTTTTCCCGGAAAGGACCACGGTTTTTGGTCTAGCAAATAATGCTCAAAGCCAAACATCTCTCCAGATCTTATAGTGGAGATATTTGTAAAATTAGATGTAGAATTTTTTCGATGCCCTGTGAACCAGAAGGTGAGCCGAAGGTGAGAATAGATGCCAGCGTAATTGCGAGGTGGATAGACTGTGAACCACAGAGGTTTTTCCCCACGTACGGAATGAACTAACCAGTCATATTTGATGACGGGAGAGGTCTTGAACGCGACACCGACTGAAGGTGGCAGGAACTTCGCAACCTACAAACATATATCCATTACTTCATAGTTTCTATATGTAGACTATATAGGATATTTAGGCATTTCTACATCTTAGGCACACGCATAAATACCATCTTATCACCAAACACAGCGGTAGTCCCTTTAGGATCCCTGCCAGTAGATTGAAACACAGCGGCAGTGCACGCCTGCCTCCATGGTTGCGATTGCGTACTGGGCGTGCGGGCCAGTGTGAATATTTATTCCGAAGCCAACCGAACTTGGTGCGTCATATAAGCTGTGCCTAATAGTTAATTAACCGCAGATTTTGGGCGGGGCGCCCACGTAAAGCATCTCTTTCAAGATTTCTATTTTTAGCCCACGCCTTGAACAATATACCCTGCTCTTTGCTTATATCCGAACTAAAACCGAAGCCATTTAAAATTATAGTAGTCTAACGTTAAACCTACTATAATATTTTGTATGCTGGAATTCTTTTACTCGCTAATATTAAGGTCCGTCGAATATAATTGATCGTTAATATTTATGCTCTTCAATATTCCGAGCTGTCCAATATTCAAACCCATAAACTTTAAAGGTCTTTATCATTACAACATCTCCAATATTTTGACAGCAGAATACTTCTACCTTTCAATATGTGAAGATATATTATCAGAGTCCCTGGATTTTCAGTCCAGCCAGAACCCCTAGTCCTGCCAGACCCTCCAATTCTGCTAGGCAGGATGCGGCACAAGTTCACTGTCGTAAACAAGGGTTTCGGTACAAGTGCAGAAGAACCATCACTATGATCATTGCCGAGTCGGCCGCGTTTTTCCCGTGTGTGTGGGCGAATTGCTGGATTGGCGGGATTCAATGGATGAGGAGCTTTTCCTTCCATCCACCCGGGTGGGTGTTGGTCCAATTGCCGTAGGCCCGCTTTCATGAGCCGTGCCGTATTTCGCCAACAGCAAAATAGACTGCGCAAAGTATCATTGCACAGGCTTTCACCCAGTCAATAAGGGCTACATCGTTTGGACAGCTGCATGTTGAGTATAATGATAAACAGGATCTAACCTAATCAGGTAGGCGGAGAAACACTGCCCTTCATTCGTCACCGGGGTACAAGGCAAAGTCATACGTCTTGGCATTTGGAGACGCGATAGTCACTCTGCGCATTTACCCCGTTAGACGAAGCTGATATTGTTCTTCTGGACCTTTATCAACTTCTATTCGTTGATATTGCTATTTGACACCTACGAGGTTTAGATTTATCGTATGATTGCTCTTTAGAGCCGTCGTCCTCAATCGTCCTCAATCGTCCCCAATCGTCCCCAATCGTCCCCAATCGTCCCCAATCGTCCCCAATCGTCCCCAATCGTCACCGGCCATTCCCAGTCCTTGCCAGTCCTCTCCAGTCGTGACAGACACATGGCCAACACAACAGATATACATCCTGCTTGCGACTGTGTTGAGCATCAGACAAATTACCAGCATTGGCCCCGGGGAAATGCAGAGATCAGAATCGCTTCATGCATGCGAGTATGTCCTTTTTGTGCGAAGAAGCATTCGAACGCTAGCCGACTCCGAAAGCATCTGCGCCAGCGCAAATATCGCGACCGGAATATTTCCATCGCATCGGAGCGCCCTGGTGCTGTCGGCGTAGGGCACTTTCCCGTACACCATCAGCAAGGAGCCCAAAAGTCTCAGAATCAGGATTGCATCGGTAATTATATGAAGTCCTACAGCTCAGCTCTATCTACAAACTCCGTTCCATCCAAATCCGAGGACGATTTGAATTTTAGCCTGTGTGAAATCCAAGCCAACTTCGGCCCTGAATTTGGTGTCCTCTCCAAATGCCACCTTTCTTACTGGAACCGCATGTCAGATCAAAATCAAGATCTCTGGCTGAAATCTACATCATCGGTCCCTCGTCTCCTTGACGGCTCCCACTGCTGGCGCGTTCGAGCTCCTCTCACTCGCGAGCTCTTCATGAACACTATAGAGGAGATATCAGCCGGAACGTCGACGACTCAGAAGGGCTCCGAGTCTCGATTTCGGGCTAATTTCCAAGGTGAAGTAGATGAGAAATTCGACCCTTATGTTGTCCTCTCGCAGCTCATTGATCCTGATCCGAATAAACCTGCATTTCTCACTGGTTTACGGTTGCCGTCTATAGACCACTTTGGATTTCGCTCACCCTGTGAGATCTCCACTACCATAGAACCATTTGATGAGACGAACAACCAAGTGAACTTGACCCCAAAATACTCGTTTGTGGACTTGCATATCGGTATGTCAATATTGCAGATAGCACCAATCACTGAAAAATACTAAACTGATTCTTGAGAAGACTATGGCGCGGACGGATTGTCAACAGTGATTGGGGATTGCCGAAAGATATGGCTACTTTACCCACCCACGGATAACAATTTGATTGCCATGAAGTCAATTGACGGCCAGCGTGGAAAGTTAGTCCGCTTAGCACGTCGATTAGAAGGCGGTGTTCTTGTGGAAACAACATCATCACATGCAATATTCCTCCCAGCAGGCTGTGCCCATGCCACGTTCACTCTTCAAGGTGGTTACCTGGTTGCCAAGGATTTCACGACTGCAAAGTCCCTGAGTGCGATTGCAAGCTTCATCACTTGTGGACTAGATGAAAATTTGCCGACGGAGGCTCGAGAAATTTGCTTCGATTGGTTTGAACGTTGTTTAGATGTCACATTATCCCAGCAACATGTGCTTGCAGCAGTTTCCGCATGGTTAAAGGCGGAAAAAAAGCTCGCAAGCTGGGCATCGACTCATCGAAGGTGGCGAGTAAATGTTAGACGTTTGTGGGAGCATCACTGCCAGGACTCGGTGGTCAACTGCCCATGTGAGGCTCAAGAACCGATTTCATTCTTCCAGCATTTTTCTTCTGTTCATTTGGCCTTTTTGCTTTCTTCATCTCAACTACGACGCCGTCGGTGACAAGTTATATTGCGAAAGTCGGCAATGATGAACGCACAATATCCCAAAATGTGTACTGCATTTTTTCTACTTACAATGTAAAGTTATTTATCACGCTGGTCCAGTCTTTTCATGCCACTGTCTCTCCGGGTTCAAGGTGGAGAATTTTCTTCATCCACTGAAACCGTTTGTTGTCTATGCTCCAAATCCGACGCGACGTAGGTGTCGTGCTGTAAATTGCACTGTAGCATAGACTGGACGAAATCTCTGGTGGGACGCGCTCAATAGCAGTATCCCAGATGGTTATTGTTCGGTTAGTGCTCAGCATGTAGCTGTAGCGCACTCCGGGTGGCCACATCTGATTCAAATTGGCAAGAGCCGACGAAGGGACAGCGCTGTCAATCTTGAGCTCATCAAGGATGTCCTCCCTAGTATATAGCCAACAGTAAACCACAAGAAAGCGGCCATCATCAAGGCTTCGAACATCAGAAACCTTGGCAAAGGCGGTGCTGTGTCTGGTGTCTACATTGACAATATCTCCACGACGTAGAGTCCACGACCCAAGAGGGGCCAATTCTACCTAATATAGTAATACTCTACTTATGCTGGCCCATGGGAAAACCCATGGGCTTTGCACATGTCTTGTCTCGAGGATTGCTGACTTGGCGGAAATCCCACCTTCCAGCTCGTTGACCGACCCGACCGCCTGAGACGGGGAACACGTCTTTGCTCTTCCATCCGAAGACCAGCATTCGAGTCCAGCGTCGGTTGGATATTTTTCTTGAAAGATTGTTGATAAATTGAAATATTTTGCTCGCATGCTGCCAAGAGACCTTCCCATTTCTGCATCCGTCCTGAAACGTCCCTCGATTTATCGACCTCTTATTTAAGCTTTTCTATGCGTCGCTGAGCTGCTTGAACGTATTGCTCCTTTCGCTACAGCTTTTGGAAAGTTTGTCGTTTTACTGACGCAACTGTTGTATGGTGTGCGTCAAGATCTCATTTGCTTATGTTGTAGTTCAGAGGTATGAATTGTCTTATTATTCAGAGGGAAATATGAGGCTATATATACAACGGGAAGACCAATATGATTTCCAATCAACTTGACTCTTCGTATACATACAGCGGAATTAATTCCGATGGTTCGGCTTGGTTCCTGATCTGCACCAGCCTCATATCACAACAAATACGTCTCGAGTCGAAATAATGGTGTCCCTCTACAAAGGATGCTTAAATGGAAGCTGCACTTTGCTTGAGAATTGTTACACGGCCACATGACACACAAGTTTGCGGTCTAACAATATCTTAACGGTTGAGGACTCCGTGATGCTTGTTGTATTATGGGGCTGGTGCAGATCGGGAACTGATAGGAGCCACGCAATCACGTGCGTCGTGGGTGGGCCGACACGCCACGGCCCACGAGCACCTCAGCCCTTGCTGTGCGAGCACCTACTGCGACACACGCAAAACATCCTAGTACGATGTTGTACAGCATCCTCGTTGGCCTACAGATACCACAATTGCTCAGGGCTCCCTCGAGGTCTCCGAACAATGCGAATGTCGCCTCTCTAGCCTACTTCGCTCGAGCCGCTTAAACAACGTGCTACCCCCTTCCTCGTTGCGAGCCGACACCGGCGCTCGCAAAACGCTTGGATACGTGCCCATCACCCCGGAAGATTGATTGAGATGTTGTTCACTGCAGTATACTCCCTCACCGTTACCCACTGCGGACGTTCGAGTGATTTCCTGACCCTAGCGCCAATCTCTGCATAGCCCACCGCTTGTCCTTTAGATAATTTTCCGCAGAAGGCGTGGGCTAGGGATGAAGCAGACGCTCCTGTTTGTGATTACTGCGGCTATGTGGCATGTGCGTTGACTAAATCACAAGCTAGTCCCAAGCTCACGAAGCCGAACTCTGTTTCCCCCACGGTCGAATATCGGATTATATTGATCAGTCCTGGGAGCTGTAATGCTCCTAGAGCACTCACACAAGATCCCAGGCCAGAGTTGTACCTCTGAGGCTCCAGGTGAGGCGATTTTGGGGAGAGCACCTTGGTCTCACGTGCAGATTGTTCGCCCGAGCGGATTATGAGACGACTGGTCCTGGGATCTCAACCAGTGATCCCGCCAATGACTGAACCAGAACTGGGAATGAAAACACTGGCCCTGGGGCCTACTATACTCCTGGGGCTCATAAGCTAAATCCTGGAGCCGTTGTTCTTGATCCCGGGGCCAGGACTGTGCCTGCGCGGGCTTATTAAGTTAGTTCCAGGTACCGGTAGCTCCTAGGTGATTCCATTCCCAGAGGTGATCTCTTTGTCCTATGGCCCCTTGATCCGCTCTGAGAAGCACTTCTTATCCTGAAGATTCTCATCATCAACAATGGCATTTGCTATCATGAGTATCAGGGCCGAGGAATGCAAGATCAATTTCTTACTGTGGTTGCCTTCAAGATCGAGTACTATAAGATGCCTGGCTATGACCCAAAGTCAAGTTCAAGTTTGAATCATCGACGTTGTCCACAACACTCTATTTTGCCGACTTATCGCCCTCGCATTATCTATTCGCCTTACCGTCATCATGCCCCAATCTCTTCTTCTCTGGGATGCTTTCGCGATTTGTGATGTACCAGACAAAGAAGATAGGACATGCTGTGGTCTTACCAAGCGAGGAAAACCTTGCAAACTCTTTGTGACAGAGGAATTCCACCAAATGGGCGTCAAGAAGTTGAATAAGCTCTCACGCGATCCCTTTGATCTCCGCACCCTTCAAGATAAGCTCCAGAACATCGTCCCTCATTTCCTTTGCGCACGGTGGCATCGCCAACTTCAGGCCAACGATGTCCGAGAGAGGTGGAATGCAGCAGCCTTTCGCAACCAAGCTCTGGTAAACACGCCAGAAGTTCCTATCACGGAGGAAGAGGAGCTATTGTCAGAAGCCCACCTTCATGTGGAGCCTACAGAACCGGGAGCTTCAGTGTCATCCGACAGACCTGATTCTGCTCGACCAACATCGAGATCCAGGGGATCATCTCAATTTTCTGGCCGGAGGATGGCAGAGGCTCTCCTGCGAGAGGATGGACCTCCCTTGAATATTTCAGCCTCCTCACCAACCGTTGTGGTGATCGAAGGGGAACAAGGAGGAGAAACTTGTCTTTACCTGCAAAGTTTCCGTCCAACTTCAAGCTTGGGAGACGAAACGTGTGGCATCTGTCTAGGGGTAGAGCAGGATGACCCCCTCGTCTTGAAATGTAGCGAATGCATCTCTCATGTGCATTTAGGATGTATGTCATCGTGGCTTGAGACTCTCGAGCCCGGAAGCAAGTCTTCTTGTGTATTATGGTACGTTTTCATTCCTGTCTCGTGTATTGGAATTTGGGGTTCAGGATCTAACCAAGCGAACAGTAAACGTGACGTACTATTTCATGTATACTATGATATGCCAACCGTGATGGCTCTATGGGACCAACAGCAAAGGCAGATCTCGATGGCAGATCACTTGAGTCTATCAACCACGGTATGCGACAATCAGCAACCGTCCGTTCCTATCGCGCCTTCTGTTGAGACCCCTCCCACATCTGCAGGAGCGGCGCCAACTACCGCTGGACCAAGTACACACCAGGTGCTCCAAAGGCCAGAAGATGTGGACTATCCATGTCTCCCTACGACCTCTGCATCCTCGGACCCACCATCGCTACGCCGATCGGATAGAAGGAGACGGGCTCCTGATCGTTACGAGCCGTAGGTGATTTGCACACCCCACTCCTGGGCGGGCCGCAGTACTGGATTTCCGACAGATGTCCGGAAGTCGGGGATATACATGAAGCATACAGGACGAATGGAGATATGATCTGCGGGACCCACGTGGTGTGTATGGGTTCCCCTGAACGCGAGGAAGCTACCTCCATTTTGCTTCCTCGCGCTACACCTGACATCTAGAATAGACGATAGCTTCCTCAATATTGATCATTTTCAACTACGCATACGCGACATCCTCACTAGTCAAATGTTCTGAGCACCTTCACGGCGTAGCTATCCGTCCCTTCAGGACTAGAGGCAATAAATGAAAATACAATCTTTGGATTCTACGTGCCTCTGATTCAGGCGACCATCAAAAATTTGTACAGGAAATATCATAATATAGGCAAGATTCAAGCGCAACCCCAAGGAATGTCACAAATCTCCCAGGTGCGGCTTGACTGGGTTCGTGATGAGCCGCAGCTTAGATGGACAGGCTTTCGCCAAAGTCACTAGAAATGCAAGGAAAGACTCAGTGCCCATGAAAGCGTGTCGGTCAAGTGAGACCTCTTATTGCATACACCCACAATTGATCAAAACCCGACAAGCTCCATGTCCCAACCATTTCCATACTTAGTAAGTGACTTTTTCTTGATACACCGATTGTTAATGTATGTTCAGTGTGGATCAAGTTATGTTCACACCTCCTTGGGTATAATGGATAGAAGAATGACTTCGTGTACTCTGACTCCTCGGCAATACCAGTGACCACCTGCATAATTTGAATATTGTTCAGACAAGCCAGCACTGATAAAAAATCATTTCAAATGATTGAAAAACACCATAGAGCTTTATGACTTTGGTCTAGAAAACCCACAAGAGCCTGAGACATGATGAAATGACATTCTAGTGATCACTACTTTGCATCTCTATCAAGTAGCATCTGGAAAATACGGTGGTGACGCTGCAGACAAGACACTGATAGAGCACATTCGCCCCTTTTGTTTCTTGCGTCGAGCCCAACGCCCTTAATTTCCAGCACCCTGTTTACCAGGGCAGTATTGCCGTCACGAGCCGCAGCAAGGAGATATGTATCCCCCTTTATGTTGTTTTGGCAATTCACATTGAGTCGACTGTCCCTCAAGAACAGTTCAATGACAGAAGTTGAGCGAGTCTGGATTGCAAGCCAATGAGGATCATCTTCGCCTTCGTCAGCTGCATTGACTCGAATACCGTCTGCCTTCAGCAGAAGTGCGACCAATTCATGGATTCTTTGATACGCAGCAGCTCCAAGAGGGCTGTGTCTTCCGTCGCCGAGGATGTTGGGATCCACTCGAGTCGCGCCTGTCGATGCGAGTATAGAGGAGACCATTCGGGGATTGCTGCAAAAGGAGGCAATATACAGTCCTGTTGTTCGCCATCGCGAATTGACCACACAGCCGTTGACATTGACATCCACTCTGCTGTCTTTCAGAAAACGTTCGCTGATATCGTCGCGCCCCAGGGGCATAGACAGCCAGAAAGGAGTGTTGCCTCGGCTGTCCTGACAATTGACGTCAAATTGTTGGCATGATAAAAGCAGGTCCACTGTCGTTGATTGATCTCCTTTGACAGCAATGTGCAATGCTGTACTTCCATATCGATCTTTCTTATAAATATCGATGTTCCCTCGACGGAGCAGCGCTTCCATGGCCCTGAGGTCTCCGCAGCGTGTGGCTAGCATCAACGTTGTTTCGTGATTCGAGTTGACGGTGTTCATATTGGCACCCAAGTCCAGGAGGAAGTTCATGGCTTCCGTACTGTCAGGGAACTGGGCATGGTCAAGAAGCAATTGATCCAAATTAAGCCGGCCATTGTGAAGTATACTGGATACCTTGGTGGCTGGCACGGAATCCAGTAAAATTCTCGCCGTCAATGTGTCGCCTTTGATCAAAGCAACATGAAAGGGCGTGGTTCCCTCACTGTCTGGCACAGTCGCGTCTGCGCCACATCTCAGAAAGAATAACATTTTCTTGTAGTCACGCCTAGCAACAGCGTACCACAACATTGTCGGGCCTCGGGAGTTCCGTCGATCAACCTGCATATTGATGCAATCCAGAAAATCCGTGACATCCTGCTGGGAAAGGGCTTTCGAAAAGCGAACAAAAAGGGCCTGAAGACCCTTTTTCAACGCATAAACACCTTGTTCGCATTTCATATAGCTCTCTCTCTCAGACTGAACTTAGTACAATCACTACTTTTGCCTTCGACTTGTCCAATTCTTCGCCATGTAAAGAACTAGCCAGAGATGTTATAACCCGGTGGCTCGCCCCATTCGTCCTCCAATCGGCTCTCCAGGCCGGTTTCATTCCATCACTGCATCCGGAGGCAGAAGAGAAATCAAACCTTAAAAGACTAGATTTATCGAATACGGTCTATATTCCGCCTTGATATTTGTAGAGGCTGAACTCTTGGAAAAGGTTGATCAGAAATTCCCCCTTTTGGCTTGAATCCTCTAAATTTGGTTATCTAAATAGGAGACATACATTCATAGATTTATCAAGATACATCATAGAAATTGCACATCATATTGGGTCTAGTCAAGTCTCCCAGATCTTTTAAAGGGGAAAGTTTCGTCCCATGCTGCCATGATTCTCAAAGATTCGGATACCACGATTTTCTCCGTCAAAGCTTATATGCACCCCTCCAGAGCTCATCGCACGATCTTGCTCACAAATCCTCCTCAAGGCATCGAGAACCGCTTGGGAATGGTATAGAGCCGGCCCGGGCTGCTCTGCTTCGTTCCGATACTTGGCTCTTTTGTTGCCCAATTGCTCCAGGGCCTCTATGACCTTCTGCTGCTGTGAATTTCTGCCGTCCAAATCCCTAGAAGACCGATCGGATCAGATTGATCATGCTGTAAATGCCAAATAATAAACCTCAAACTTACATCAGAGTGGCGCCATACACGCATTGAAGAGCCAAATGGCAGGCGACAAGTCCATCGCATGGCGACGAGATTACTAGCGGAGTAGATAAGAGCTCGTAGCATTCCATGATGCAGCAATACAAGAGTGAAAGAACATTGGATATGACCCCGCGGTCTAAAGAGCCCCATTGGTCAGGCTGGAGGGATTTGAGGTTCAAAAGAAGGCTCCCGAGCTGTTCCACAACTCGAACAACTTGCGTATGCTGAGATACGTCGTGCTGAATCATGTTTAGGTATCTTTGAGCTTTGACGAGAGCCTGGTACAGAGCTAGTCTGGTGGCAGCATCGATGCCACCCCTCACTTTGGAAACTGTTGTATCTTCGGAATGAGTGACTGAGCTCGGTTCGGCACATGTAAAAATGTTACCAAGGTTGACTCCCACCTGGAGGTAACGATTGTTCGGAGTAAAATTCAACGACATTTTCAAATGACAGAACAAGAACTTGGATTCTGGTGTCAGGAAACGTGGGACCACTGGATGGGAGAATTTATTGGTAGATATTTCGCCCAGAAGATATGCAAAAAGTAGGACGAGTTGCATGTATTTATGTGTTTCTCCACTCACGACCTCGCGTCCGGGCCGAATGTTCTTCCATGATGTGCGCCGATGTGGCATTGAGTTCTGTCATTCGCGGGATCATTCAATGAAGTCCTAGGACCAGGTCTGGCAACAAAAGCCCGCTGGGCCACAAGTCTGCGCGTGAAACCTAAAGTGCCTGTCCCAAGCAAACCTCACCTAGATCCCCCAAAAAGCTCAGTCTGGCCCTAATGACTCAAGAGCCCCAGGAGCATAATAGCTCCTAGGACCGGTCCAGATGATCCCAAAACCGACCCTGCCGAAGACGGGATAGGTCTTCAGGGGTCTGGGACTGATTCCGAGTTCAAGTATCCATCTTCAGTTGCGCGCTAGGCCGTACTTCCTCGTCAATTTTGTCTTGTCACTCAAAGCTATAGATGTATTTTCCTTTTCCCTTATCCGTTGATCTCAAAAATCACCGCTGCAATGACTACAAAAACCTATGATTATGTAGAACTGTCTCCACTGGACCTGGCCGTGGAGAAATCCATATGTTTCGGCTGCGTAAGTCGCCGGAGCCAATCTCCGCGAATATCATCTAACCTTTGCCTCTAGGTGTTTTTTCCTCCGTGTGAATCCAAGCTCGACGAAAATTTATACGGGGATCAATGGATTAAATAAAAGACAGGCGATTTGCCGCGACTCTCTATGGCATTTACCACTCTGCCTGACCAGTCCCTTCAGTGGCTGCTGGAGATGGGGGTGACCATACGCTATCAAGTTTTCCTCACCCAGCGTCAAGTGGGTATGAGCCTCTATGGACCGCCCTCGCTCTTTATCTGTCCCATTTTTGAAATTACCTGTACTGGCGATGTATTGTCGCAGCCTCCAATATACCCGCAGTCACCTCTTCGTGCCCACACGGACATGAGATACGAGAATCCGCAGTGACTTAGATTTGCTGGGATTTCGAACAGCTCGATTTTCTATGTGGGGGAGACCTTGCACTTCAGAAAGCTTGTGAATGCACCTGGGAAATATTTGCGTCCCTAGCGCTTTTGGAATTCAGATTGGCTGTGTTTCTTTATCTTGACTTGATACATTCAAAACGACTCTGGTTTTCGATCGGCATGCTTGTGCCAATGGATATTGTGAAAATCGCATTTCTACATTCTGATGCCTGGAAATCAGCATATACAAATATCAGGTATAGATTTGTAGCCATTGGGCGCCCCTTGATCATTCAGCTCAGTAGTTCCAGGGCCCCGGTATTAGAGGCTCTCTGTATTCGACAGCTGGCATTGGCCGAAGACTGGCTTGTGGTGTCAATCGATGTGTGTTGTCCCCGACAGATCGAAGTAAGAGTCGTAGCACTACAATCATTGTAGCATGGCTGCAGTACACACAGTGGAAATCTTTTGAGTGGGCGATGGCTTAGACCCTGAAAATTCGATCATCAACGAGTGAGGCGACTTGCTCAACACAGGGCATGACCGTCGGCCTCTTTTATAAATCAACAAATAATACTATAGTTCAGATGATGGTGATGAAGGTGCATGCTGTCGCAGTCGAGCGATGATCGCTGCCCATTGTTGAAAGTATGGTCGTTGAGACAAGGTTCAACGTTGATCAACGCTCTTCAGACAAATAATAATTAAAAACGGAATTATTTTTTAATAATATATTATTATTTTCTGATTTCAGTGAGTTACTTGAGGGCATGATCCACCCCTAAGATGACCGTCCATTCTTCGCCGGCTTGTACATAGATTTCGTCTCGCCATTCACCTCAGTAAGTCGAGCTTCAACAGGCCTGACTTTGCACGGGCAACTTCGATGCCCCCGAACAAGCGACAGACAGAAAAGATTTCACCGCGGCAATACAAAGCAGGCGGTAACAAGACCAGTCAAGAGACCTATAAATAAGGCCTCCTCCCTCGTTTCTCTGTCGAAATAATTCTCTTCCTACTGCATCTGCAAGGCTCCCTCAAGCCGAGCTGAAACCAAGGTGCCTTCCTGCAGCAGACTCATGAGTCCCTCCTCTTTGACCCCAAACTCCTGCTGTCACTGATACCTACGGTACTCGCTCAAGCCAGCAAGTCACCTGCCTCTCTCTACCCACTGGTGGTTCACTCCACTGTACCCGTCTTCGTGCCTGCCTACCAGGACTTGGCGACAGTTCTTTGGTGAGTGCTATATCCATGTACCTTGTCGAGTCGAGCTAATAGCGTGACTTCTGACTTCTGACTAGCTTCTCGACCACCAGAGTGCAAGTGAGGCATCCTGCAGGTAAGTCCTTTGTCAGCCGTATACCGTCGGGCAGTGCTGAAACACCCAATGTTACGACCAGCCGGGTCATGTCAAATAGCACGGACCCAAGTCAGCACTCCAAGGGCTGTACATCTACCTGCCAGCCACATCGATGACCGAGTCGCCCATGGGCCCCAAGCTCTTGATGTGAGTCATGGGTCTGGACTTTGGTTCTGCTCTTGACAAGTGCTTGTCAAACAGGGCCTTCAGGGAGTCCATCAGCCAGACCTCCAAGTTTTGAGCATCGCCACCTAGATCCCTTCCCATGCACATGTCGCCGTTATCCTGAATGGTTCGACGTTCTGATAGAAGCAAGACTACTCGTGCACTTCATCGCCGCCACCGGTCTCGTACGGCTGGGCATTCGTTGGAAAAGGTACGCCTGCTCGGTGCTTCTGCCCCATCACCACCCATTCATCGTCTGCCATGGTCTTGGCTGGAAGACAGACGGACCCAACCGATCTCATGAAACTACAAGACGGAAGATGCGTTGGGTCGGTTTGGAGTTGCGACTTGTCTCTGCAAGACGTGAATGAGTCGTCTTGGCAGAGTCGTCCGTCGTAGGTGCAGGGTGAGACTAGATCAGATCGTGAGTGCACCCTCATTATCAGACACATGCTAACCATCTTGCAGGGCCACTAGCCAAGACGCTGGAAGGATGACGTACACCTCAACGAGCCTGGCGCGTGTCTTGCATCATGCCACTCTCGCCATGAAGCGATATGTATTCCTTTGGAGACGGTTTCAAAAGTCAACGTGGTCTAAATTGCCCAATCACTCCAGTCTTTTGCCTAACCCACTGATGCCGACTAAGAACACCAACTTCTACTCCACATCATTGAAAAGCTGAATCAGCCTTGCAACCAATGTACCGACCGCCAACATGCGGTGCTTACTGAGGTGATGGAACCTCCATCTGATGAGCCTGGGTATCGGAGGGACCCTTCCACGGTGGGGCCGGTCTCCACACCTGTGGAGGGTATGGGTAAGAAGGATCGAGACGATGATGCTCAGATTTTGCTTTCTGGAAACGGATGTCGATCGCCATGGACCAGTCCAAGAAGATGACCACGGAGCATTCAGATGTACCACAGGGTTCGTCGCTTTCTGCGATCGCTTTCTATACTTTCCTCTTCCCTTGTCAATTATGGTGTCGTTGTCACCAGAGAGAACAGATTCATCGCTTTCGACGACAGTCACATTTCCAAGATACATGTGGCTATCTTGCAACAACGGATCCTAAGCATATCGTTCATCCCGTTCAGCAAGACCAGCAACAGCGCCAACTCCCTGCAGTCAGGCGATAAATGAATGAAGCGACCCTTGGTCAACTCCTGAGACAAAATGCTTTACGTCACAATCGCCCAAGCATTGCGTCCATCCTGCCTGTGACAACTGCGCGAGACGTCTCTTTTGGTAGCTTGCCGGTTTTCTGCCTCTACAGCGCATTGAACATCCTTATCCACCATGCGCATGTTACCATCCATGACTGGATGCTACCATTGGGCAAGAACATCATCCGAACCCTCTTCCATGGTGTACCAGAATCGGTTGTGGGCAAATTCGTTGACACAGCGCTCGTCACCGCCGCTGGTGAGATGGGAATGATGCGTCTGCGAGCCTGCAGCTTGAGCATTGCATTTATGCGAAAGGCTCCCTTCTGCTTTTACAGGCCCCTGCCCAAGATGAGTTCTTCGCCTTTGATCTTTGGTGCCGGCGCTCGGTACTCACTGATGCAGACCCTACACCTCCCGATGGATGCACTCATCGAGCTCCGTTGCCCGTTGATGTTTCGCCATCGGTCGTGTCTATCAGCTAGGGCCAGGGTCACGAGTCTCAACCGCATCATTATATCCCGCGTGGATGACACCTGTGAGCCTAGCCACCAAGCCGACCGAATTTGCGTCTCTTTCTCATCATGACAACACGAGCGATTCTTCCTTTGTAGCTATGTCCCGGCCAGCCCAATACAATTGAAGACTGCGCCGAACACCGAACTTGCGACCAGCCCAATCCATCAACCACCTCAGGTCAATACTACAGGGGTGGTTCGACTGTCAGCCCGGTACCTGGAAAGGTGAGTCAGAATTCGTTTCCTGATTCAGTCACTAATACCGTGCCCAGTAGGACATGCCCTCGGGCACACACCGAGCGCCGGGTCTCAGACTACGACAGACTGCCACCTTGCAGCCCATCTTGTATCAACGCACACGCCGTCAATCTCTCGCGAGATGTGAGAATTGAAACAGTGTGCTAAACAAGACTACGAACACCCTCCGCCATGGACAAAGAGCTATCGTGGCACACTATATGTGCTGAGGAGTGGTGAGGTCGAGGATGATAAATTGTGAGTGAACCCTTTTCGACGAATGTATACTAACATCTTCTGAAGGATGACTTGTCAAGTGCGGAACATCTCGACGGCACATGATGCAAACGCTCGAATTGATCCAATGACCCGCCTCTCATCCCACGAACACCCTGAACCGACGTGGATGAGCAGTACCAGACGAAGGAGCTTGGCATCAGACTACTCGGAGCTGGGCGCGACTACAGGACGCTCGTTCGGCAATCTCCCAGATGGTCCCGGTAGAGCGGCCAACCCAGTATAGCGAGAAGGAGAGGCCCCTCAGTTGAGCATACCGTGTGACGGGTATGTCGTCTCGACATTGGCACGCGAGCTCGGCCGCATGCAATCAATTACGGTTGAATGGCATTTCCCCTGTCGTTTCAACGTCACATCTTGAAGCCAGGTATTCCTCGCCAATATGATACCTCCAGCAAAGACGCCAATGATGAATACCGCCCTCACACTACACATGGGTTGCCGGATGATCAATGGCGACCAATGTATATGCCATGCACTCCTAGTGCCCTTGACTTTCCCGCTACCCAATATAAGCAGCCTTCGTTGCGTTGACTGAGGTGGGGATCCAAGGCGGGGAACATCATGAACATTGTCTGCTTTCAAGTCCAGCAATGAATGGGTCACTTTCCAGGCTGGGCAGTCCCAAAATGAGTTTATTCACTTTGGATTCTGCGCCCATCACCCGTACCCCAATCGCCCGTCAAAGCGCTGATCAGCCATCGGACAAACGTGAGTCAACGGTTTCTTTTCTGATCTATTCGCTGATGTGTGCCCAACAGAATGTGCCTCCGTGCGAAAGCCATATTCCGGATATACGTTCATTTCCAAGTACACGTTGCCAGTTTCCCAAATGAGAGGGCATGCGGAGCAACATGCCCACGAAGGGCTTGACCGCCACGGTTGTCTGGCTCAAATCAGTGCCATGACTGGACTTGGTCAGTCTTAGAGTCAGTCTTGTGGGAGTCGGTCTTGTGGGAGTCGGTCTTGTGGGTGTTGGCTCGTGGGTGTTGGCTCGTGGGTGTTGGCTCGTGGGTGTTGGCTCGTGGGTGTTGGCTCGTGGGTGTTGGCTCGTGGGTGTTGGCTCGTGGGTGTTGGCTCGTGGGTGTTGGCTCGTGGGTGTTGGCTTGTGGGTGTTGGCTCGTGGGTGTTGGCTCGCGGGCGTTGGTCTTGTCGGCATTGATTTGAGTGAGTTGGATGGTGGGAGTTGGTGGGAGTCGGCCAATAGTTGAGTGGAGATCAGATACATATGCTCGGGGTATGCCCAATGGCCATCTCAATCAGTCCCAGCTGTGATATCAGCCAAGGAAAGAGGTCCGAAGCGATCTTGAAGAGTTGACTAGAGCAAGCATTGGTTGAGTTGACTAGAGCAAGCATTGGTTGAGTTGAAAGTTGGAGACCGGCAGAAGCACGCCAAAGCGTGGTCTGTATTGTCAACCGAGCATCACATGAACAAGCCCAGCATTAGGCACTCGAACATGAAGAGTTGTGAATGAGAATCTTTTCTGACAAGGCCACTGTCATGTGCGGACCAACTCCGCAGGACGTCGCGTAAACAATACTGCACCGCGCGTCTGGGACGACCTCACCGCCTTTGCCGCCGGGTTGGATCAATAGCAGCTTCTTGCCAATGGACGGGCACGCCAATGCCAACCGTTCTCGCTTCGGAGACGCGACGCTGTGTTTCCATCCATAACGTGCCAGCGCTGACACCATTCGACATTCTTGCTCACTGTAAGTAGCTCATCTGTTGAACGTGTTTTTTTTTGTCCGCAAAGCCCTGTCTACATGCACGGCCGACTTCTAACGATTTCCACGGACACTGACACTGCAGTCGAGCGAATATGCATTCCAGCCTGATCCACTTGGCATTTGCGATGACACGCTAGCAGTTGCCATCCTCATGCTTGGACAAACCTTCTCGGTCGAGAGTCGACGATACTCGGAACTTGAGTGGAGGTTCAACACAGGGATTCATTTCATGCAATGAGAATCTTGATGGATGGACTCTGTTCAAGAGCTGATTGGACGTGATTACCAAGCGGCACGTATGACAAGCGGCACGTATGACATCGTGCCCGCTGGTACTCGATGGTTTGTCGGTGGAGCGATCATGTCCAAATGTGGGTGACATGAAGCCACATCTGCCCAGCCATGCAGTGCAGTCTGCAAGCTTGGCAACTCTGGCCCGATTGACAAATCATTCACGGAGCCACCGCCGGTGTTCTCAGTCGAGAAGCTTGCATACAGTCTTTTAGTTCTCAGCACTGCAGAAAGCCTTTTCTTGATCATATCAGTCGTCCTGAAGTCTGGGAGATCTCATGCAAGGTTTTATAAATTGGCGCCGTCTCTCGCAGTTTCGATCAAATTACGGTCCTGCTCGAGCCGTTCAAATGAAATGGATCTCTCGCGATTCTTGTCGGTTGCTGGCCCGAATGGCACCATGGTTTCCAAACACCCCCTGCCATCCGATCACGTGATATATGGCCCCGGCCCCGATGTTGCTGAAGAGAAGTCGATTTGAGCTTCCAAAAATCCATGCCCATTTTATTGGCGATTCGAAAAATTCAGAGAATTCTGTACTCGGTGATATCAGTTTCACCCAGGATTTCACTCTGGTGGGTGTGGGGATCTACGAAGAGGAAGCCATAATTGTGTAAGGCTACCCGTCGTACTGCCGTGGCAGAACAAAGGAGGAGTCTTGCTTATTGGTGCTGGACATCTAGCTCAATTACCTGTCATTCTGGTACAGCAGTGAGAGTTGCGCCAGGATGATGAGGTGCGATATGCAAGCTCGGTATCTCTGATGTCTCGCAGTGCATGATCACCACGAGTCGTTAACTTGCCTTTTAGGCTCATCTTATGTTCCGCGTGAGCTGCTGACTGATGAAGAGCGACTTGAGGTTCTTTCGTAGTATTTTCAGATGCTTTCATCTAGTTTGAAGACGAGTGCTCGTCATACGGGGCAAATTCTAGGCCAGTGATGCAGATGATTATGCTTTCGTCTTGCATGTTGCTTCCGCCTACGTAGTTGCCCTGATGAGACCTTGATGATATATCCTTTCCGTAGACTGATGACTACTTTTAATGAGACACGTGCAGTATATCATGTTGTTCGACGGTCGTATTATGATAGCCTTGTTATTGTGTGGGACAGGGAAAGCTCGCAACGTGACCGTACACAAAAGACGTGAATGGTGTCATTTCATCGGATCTAGGGCTCACGCGCAGCGATGTGGGACTCAGGTTTGTAGCCGGTCGGGTTGTCGAGCATTAGCTTTATGTTTGTATTATACGTGGTCGACTTCGAATTAAGTTAATGCCAATTGTCTCATGATGTGTCGCATTTGTACCCAGAGGAGACTGGTGTAGACTTCATTGGTCATATTTCTATGAGACCGCTAGAATTTTTAGTCAGGCGTGCGATTTGGATGTCATAAAATAGCATACGTAGTTCAAAAAATGTTGTTGATTCATTTAAGGAGGTGTCATATATTGTACACATATGGTATATATATATATCTGGAAGTTTGAGCCGAGTGGATTCTTGGTGTAGATTATAAGGATTTTTGACATAATCTAGCTTTCTGTATGAAATATAATTATCGGCCGTATGCCACAAGTCATTTACTTGTCAAGCAGGACTTGACAAAGGCTGTTGGCCTATAAGACAAATACAGTACTGTGGGTGGGATCTTCCAAATAGGATGGAGCGTGCGCGAGGGATGACACACCGCCTGAGCGCCTCGCTCCGTTTGACAACAACGCGTCCAGACTCAGGATTGACGGTCTGCTCATCGACGCGTCGACACTGTCATCATCGACAAATTGTTTCCAGTGCTGGTCACTAATTTCCAGGCTGATCACCGTTTCTAAGCTGGTCATCGTTACTAAGGTGGTCACCGTTTCAAGCTAGTCATCGTTTCAAGCTAGTCACCATTTCTAAGCTGGTCACCGTTTCTGAGCTGGTCACCGTTCATGACGTCGTGCTCGATTGTTTACCAACGCTCATTCAAGTGTTTGCACAGCATTTCAAGTGTTGAAAAGCCGGTCAACTGTTGACAAAGCCGTTTAAGTGTTGATGAAGCCGGTTAACCGTTTAAACAGCCGGCTCAACTGTTTAGACAGTCGGTCAACTGTTTAGACAATCGGTCAACTGTTTAGACAATCGGTCAACTGTTGACGAGAATAGGCTCACCTGTTTACAAATGGTCATTCAACTGTTTATTAGATCAGGCTCACCTGTTTAGAAAGCCGAACAACTGTTTAAGAATGCCGGTCGACTGTTTATCAGAGCAGGCTCAACTATTTACGCACGCTCATTCAACTGTTTATGAAAACGTGCTCCATTGTTTATCAAAGCAGGCTCCAACATTCACCACTGGGTCAACCGTTTACGCAGGCTCATTCAACGGTTCAAGACGCTCAGTCAACTATCGTGATTACACACTGGTTGCCACCGGACTATGGATCACCGCATCTACCCGTCACCACCAAAGCCAACCTCAACAGTCAACATGGGTTTCCTGACCACTGAGACAGACGTGAAGCATGCGTTCTTGCCCAAGTGTGCTGGTTTTTGACAGCCTGGACGTGCGTATACATCCTCTGGATGTGTATAGATTTCATGAGACCGGATTCTGGACTTGATACTACAATGCACGGCGAATTCGGTAACAGCAAAATGCTGGGTTTATTCGTTCTCTATATAACGCTATCTTGGAGTGAAAACAGACCCTGGAATGCGCTCTCCTGGCCCTACTGCCAGTCTCTTCGCCCATGGCCCGAACCTACACAAGTGAACTATCCATGTTGGAGCAGGTCTTGGCTTCTTCAACTGCAGAGCGAGAGTTGAATACTGGTCCCTAGCACCACGTAGAGGTGCCTGCAATTCGCTAGAGTTCCTTGGTGTCGCAGCTTCCCCCTGCGGAGAACTTGGTGATGCAGCGGTCTCCTGCGGGGAACAGTTGGTATCGCAGAGCCCGTCCTGCGGGGAACAGTTGGTATCGCAGAGCCCGTCCTGCGGGGAACAGTTGATGTCGCAGAGCCCGTCCTGCGGGGAACAGTTGGTATCGCAGAGCCCGTCCTGCGAAGCATGTTTGGTGACGCAGAGCTTGTACTGCGGACCCGTGGCCACGGAAACCCTCAAGCCTGCAGACAAGAGATGGAAACAATGACACACGGGAGTGTGAGGAGGAAAGTCCTGATTTTTTTTGGGCCGGAAATCTCGCGCCTTTTATGTCAAGTCGGCTACGTCTCTTCATAGAAACCCCCTGTGCAAATCCATAGGAATGGCCACCGATTTTGGAGGGCATTGGAAAAGTTTCTTGACAATCTTTGGCCAGAAGACGCACCTCCCATGGATCCGTGGTTGGCCTCATGTTGCCCGGGGGACCAGCCCTTGGTTCCGCCAAACCGATCATCCAGACTCTCCATTTCTTGCGGTGGGTTACTTTGGCAACTGGGTACCAGAATTGATGAATTGGAATCCATGGGTACAGTATGATTGCTATGGCAATGAAATTGCGTTGCGCTGCAAGTTGCGACAGATGTATTACAATACAGCATTCAAAGAGAGCTGAACGCATTCGACATGCACATCAATTATGAGTACTACTGCAATCATTGTCGTGCATTGATGTAAAAAGCTTCCGCAACGCGCCTTATTCTTGTTCACATCCGTCTGAGAACCCAATGGGTACTGTAATGTAAAGCAAGATGCTTGAAAAGACTGGACCTTGGGACCAGGGTTGAAGGAGAGCGGGCGCCGCTCCGCAAGAACGATCTGTGTGCAACATGCTTGCTGCGATGCGTCGCAAAAGAGCGTCAAGATTCTTGATGGCAATGATTTGGCCAGCTGACTTGATGAGAGAAGACCTTAGAAATTTCAGGCATCCTCCCTAGGCAGGAGCAGTGCGGGTATCTAGCGTTGCGTATGCTTCTCAAGCTAAAATAGGTAGCGGAAGCAAACACCTTCGGGGCTATGGGGATAATCTTTGCGACCGACTGTGAGCTGCGAATACGGCATTATTAGATGATGGCTATGTCGAGGGGGAAGGAGCGGGTGAACGCATTAATGATACTCATCCGGATCCAAACATTGTAAGGAGATCTGACGTCTCAGTCGGTTCTTAATCGATACTCTCCCACGTATTACTGTGTAGCGCTGCTCTCTGTCGCTCACTACATGCTGCCTCATATTAACTCACGGTATTCACGGTATCGTGGTCATTGCCCAATTGGTCTCCGGTGTGGAACGGAGCCGTTCTTGGACCAGCTGGTTTCGATCGACGCAACCCACGTGCCAAATAAGGTTTAAGGTGCCGGCCGATCATTTCGATCTCCCCGTCCCACTCTCTAATTCTCATCTAAGTTATGCACCCTACTCAGGACGATTGCCTTGGCCATTGGCAAATTCTCGATCATGAGGTCAATCAATGACTACGAACATAGAAAATACTCTCTTGTTCATCTCTCTGCAATCGACGCACGTGGCAGGGTAAAACCTGAGGTTCACGAGTATCTTTGCAAGACTTCCGATTGGCTGGCTCGGCCACACAATCATTCTGACCGACCAGGCTACGGGCCCTACTCTACCTGTTTTGAGCAATCTTGATTGGCTGGTCTACTGAGGAATCAAGGGCCCTGGCTTGTTGCGGAGAGCCTACTGTGACTCAAAAGCATCCCACCGTGCCTGGCAAATCAGCTGCCAGCCTGTACCCTAGAAAGGCGTGGATCACTTTCTAGAATTCCCATGTGGCGCAAGACCCACTGTCGATGTAACATCCTGGACCACGAGCCACGGAACTTCATCCTTGACCGGACTTACAAGTTAGCTCTAGAACCTTGTCTCTCTCTAAAATCGATATTAATAGCGAGCTCGTGTACATATGCTGCTCATAACATGTTCTCTGAATGCGCATAGATTAGACACCTGGTAGTTGGGAATAAAGTTACATATCAAGAATAATCTTCCGGTTGCTAATGCATCATGGCCTGCCTGACCTCAAGCTCTATCTCATAATTGCCCTTCGCATATGCTTGGAGCAGGTATGTAACCTATACCGTAGCTGGCTAGTTTGAGTAGATCGAATTTTGACGGTTGGGAATTGGCTTCTGGCCCCTACCGGGGCCAGTGAAGTGGTCCCATCGCTGCCCCGTGTTTGGGATCCGATCGAAAAAAGCCGAGTGACTGGATCAGTTCGGTATTGAAAGTCTTCACGGCATGTGAAAGGACAGATGGACCCCTTGATCTCGCTAATTTACCCTGACTTTGGATCGCGAGAGCAGACAATTGTGAATCTTGACGTTGTTGGGCTGATCGCAGGCATGGAGCTTCGCAGCCAACATGAGGGGCGACTCCCCTAGAAGATCGGGACAATCGACATCAACCAGCTCCTCTCTCGCAAGGCTTGCAACGGCGCGAAGATCTCCGTAGATAACAGCCAGATGCAGGATTGTTTGGCCGCGGTGATCCTTCCTATTGATCTTGGCCCGAGAATCTCCCAATAACATTTCCAAAATTTCACGCTGTCGGTATTCTAGAGCCACCAGGAGGGGTTGCTGGACTTTCGGATCTTCGCTGTAGAACTCAATATCTTTGCGGCGAAGCAGCTGCTGGACGATCGAGACACTGCCTTGTGTGATGGCCATCGACAGAGCAGTCTGACCATAATAATTGCTTAAAGACGGACGAAGATCATCACACTCCAACAGGAGATCGACAGCCTGGTGATCCCTCGCTTGCACGGCAAGCATCAAGGGCGTGTGTCTTCCATGAATACTGTTGATATCCGTAGTGCATCTGCAGAGGTACTTTTGGAGCCCGTCAGGTTTTAGGAATCGTTGCCTTTCTTTAAGCAGTGCCGGGCCATGGTAGGATGAAGCGGGTGGCATGGTAGTGGTAAGGTTGGACGAATTGTATAAAAATGAGAGATAAGACGTAATGTAGATCGACGAACATGAAGACCTGGATGTGGCTCTATATATGCCCGCAAGATCATCAGTGAGATTAGTAGAGAGTAGCTCATAGATCCATATCATACTTGTAGACTGCATTCTTGTGTAAATATGTTGCATTGGTAAGTGCCGACGTGAACGTTCCTTTCAAGCATTCGTTGTGGTATAACGTGCGTGACATTCCACTAGTACTACTCAACAAGAATGATAATATTCATAACATCTAGCTAAGACTTTATTATAGTTTTGGTAATGCAAGAAAGCTCGTTGGAAAAGCATCAATCTGCTCCCAGGATCCACTTTCGTGCTCCGAGGACCATTTATGCCACCATTTAGGATCTAAAGCTATGCTCCCGGCAGCTAGGTACTGTCTTCCGTGAGCCCTCCTTGATCTGACTGTCGGTATGGTACTGATTGAGTTCAAGATCTAGTTTAAAATTAATCATTTGCTGGGGGTGGAGATTTCTACAGTATACTATACACAATAGCATGTCTGCTTTATTACCGTATTTACTCAAACTATGTTCTCTATGAATCATTTGTACCCCATGGACGCAGTGTCAGTAAGATAGAGGAGGCTTGAATCATGCTCAAAAAGCCACCCGGTGTAAATGTGTAAACATCTTGAAATTAATATCGGACCTCCAGTTGATGCGTACAGGATCAGTTAGTGGTAACATACTGATGAAGCGCTCATTCCGAGTGTAAATTATGTCTTGGACTGTTTGCTCATCCTTTTGACTCGACATGACTGGGGTCATGGCTGAATTGACACTGTGTTGAAACCTCTTAAGCTATTTCTTTTTCCAAGACCATCTGCTGTGCAATATCAGACCAACTTCTCGAGCGCAATTAGAAATCGAAGTCAATCTAAAAATCACATCGCGCCATACCCGGATTTCTTTGTAGTTGAGACTACCATAGTGAGGCGCAGATCAGTGCAAGAATAATCTCATGTGGCCCATTATCTTGCGTCCTTCTCTTCCGATATTTGGGCCACCAGGGACGGCATTCGTAGCAAATTGTACCCATATAGAGGCGCAATTTTTGACTCCTGTGACTTTCCAAATAACCTCCACCTTTGAGTCTGGGGTATAAATTATAGCAGATTTTCATCATCCCCACCACATCTATCACTTCTTTGCTTTCTGTAAAGAAGAATTCCCAAGCCTCCACCACATCTGACAGTCTTGTTCCTCCTTGTAATGGCTCCAAGAACTCGCTCGTCCAGCCGCCAAGGTGTCAAGAACGATCCTGAGCGGGTGATGCTTCTGGGAGAGACTCTCGACTCTCCAAACGATGACATTTCTCCTCGGTGCGAGCGAGATACTTCCGCTGTTTCCCAATGGCTTAAGATCCGGAAAGCTGCAAAGATGACCATTCGAATGCGGATTCGGAGCCAAACCCATGGGCAACGATTATCGCTCCTACTCGGCCAGCCGGACGTTGACCGGAAGGGTCCCATTGAGAGAAAGCGATCCAAAGAACCCACCAAGGAAGCTCTGAGGCTAGACTGGATGCGAAGACTGCGCCCGAAACCACACCGGCGTGTCTAGTCACTGGCAACACGAGAACAAATGAGGAGAATGACGGGGTCCACAGTTGAGAATAGCGAATACGCTATGTTATTTTTATTTACAGCAATTATTGTGGGATATTTCTGTAACGGCCTTATATCAAAGTAGCTTCATCAATGAATAGTTTCCATTCCCTTAATTCTAAGAACTTTCCAAAAGCTGCGGAATATTGATCATTCCGAAACCCCGAAGGCAGTCTCAATGCGTCTGGTAATTATGAACATGATATTTTTCCCAAGAGAGTCGTCTCTTAATACCAGATTTCCCCAAGATGTGTCGCCAGAGTTTCCCAAAAGCTCCAAAGGCTGGCCCAGTAAGAACATTATACAACAGACCGGATACTTTTACTATTTACGAGAACAATATTTCTTGACAATTATATTGCAACAATTCATTCGGACCTTAAAGTCTTTCACGCAAAAGACTACAGAGAGCCCCGATCTAAATCAAAGCCTTCTCCCCAAAGCCCACCTCCATTGGACCTATATCTCCAACAAACAAGTTACATGAAGCCGTGCCGCTCACACGACTAATCTTTCAAGTGATGCCCAAATAAAAATGGTGATCAGCTGGGTCTATTTCTTGTCAGCTTCTGACAGCCATCCGCAAGAGACGAGCGAACTTACCTCAAGTGCGATTACCCACGATACCCGCAGAATGCCGACAATTGCAATGACCAGCAACATCAGCGTCAGAGCCGCTAAATAGTATGAGACCCGCCTGAAGGTCGTCTGGCCTTCAGTTTCATGCTGAAGGAGCCACCAATACCACATCGTCGCTCCCAAATAGTCAACGCAGAGAATGAAGAGACCACCTTGATGGGCAGAGTCTAGAATAAAACCGCCAACAAGCGCGATTGCCAGTTTGGCCACGGTAGAGAGTATGACGAGAACTCGGGCTAGGATAAGGAGCATTCGCGGTGTCGCGTCAAATCGGTGCTGCTGAGAGTTTATTCGAAGAAACTGCAACACCTTAGCTCAGACGTCATCTCAGAAGGGATCTGCAAGACCTACTACTTGAAGGGGTGGTAGTATTGTCGAAAGCCAAAGCAGTATCTGGCTCCACAAAAGAGATCGTTCGCTCCAGAAGAGGCCAGAAAGTACAGTAAATAGAATGCAAGAGGTCGTACCCACAGCATAATCGATCTTGTAGGCGGACCATTTGGACCCAAAGCGACACAACAGAAACAGCCTGATCAGGCTGAGCAGCAGGATCACGGTCACCAGAACGGGTGGGACATTCTGCTTGGAAATCATGGTCATGCTTTCGGACGAAAGAAGACTTGACCTTTGTCTAGTGAGCGGGAGCCTTTATGTACCTGAGCCATAGCCATACAATTGATCTTTCATGATGGTTTCAAAAAGTTGTCCTTCGAACTTTGGGAACTTTCCTCGCTTTCTTCGACCGCCCGCAGAATACTGATACCATATGTTCCAGAATAGGCGGCACCTACAAAGTTGCTGCTTTTATCCTGGTGAATGAAGGGTATGTTAGGGCTCTAAATTTGGCTATCTCGCAAAAATCCACCCTCACAATGAACACGTTTAGAGAATCTCGCTATAGTTGAGGCAAGGTAGAAATTTGACAACTAAATGTCTCACTTTCTGAAAATGCAAGGTAACTTTGAACAGATTGTGCGAATACAATAGCATTTTGGTCACCTCCTGGGTACGTGTATGTGCTAGAGGCTTCAAAGATATAACAAAACTTGCAAGGATAATTGATACTTTGAAGTCCAGCGTCTTGGCTGATAATGCACTGAGTGTTTCGCAAAAGAACCAGACCTTCTATTCCAGGCGCGGTGCTTATACTTCACTAACGATGACTTTACTTCTGAATGCTGTAGACATCCTTACAAGGAACATGTGCCTACAGGTCTGGAGTGTGACCCACCGGTGGGACTGTACTGGATACCCAAATCTCAGAGCTTGAAGATATATTTCTGCCTGGGTACAGTACAAACGCACATACATCGCCAACCGCATTATTGGAACAACCCACGGGAAAACAATTTTATCGATTGTTGTCTGGCAAGCAAGGCGTATTTCTCATTTTAAAGAGTCAAATCCCAAGGGCATAATTGCTTTAAATAATGAGTGTAATTGTGGCTGATTTTCTAAGGTGCAACATTTAAAGACGACGCGGCAATATGACGGCTTGAAATTCGATTCATAGCCGAGAAAACGAACGTGCGGTAGGCGCAATTGCAGGAAGCTTCCCAAGTATCCCAGCGCTCATCATTTCCTGCATTCTCACAGAGGGAATGCCCAAAGAAATGAAATTGGCGCCAAGGACTGTCACATGTGTTGGGGAAGGCTGTTCACTGCAGATCACGACATTCGAGCGACCGCGGCTTGCATCACTGCTTTGGAGTACGCCACGAGGCTGTATGTCAACATCATGTGCATCCCGTGAAAACTGAGCTGCCAGATCCGGGCGAGCCCGATGCGCTCCAGGGGCTCGAGAAAATAGAAGGCGAAAGACAAGGAACCGATGATGACCATTCGACCAAAAGCCATCGCCAATGGCGAAGCGCCGGTCACTGGTTCGGCCAGGGCATGAATTGTCGGCGTCAAAGACAACATGATCACCGATGCCAGATGAATGGAAGAGGTGTCGGAAGGTTTCTGGTTGTTCTCATCATAAAGGAGCCCTTGCGGTAGGCTTCCAAACGCGATGACAGCCAAAGCCGATGTATATCCTAGCTGTAGCCATGGCTGAGCTGGAAAGAGAAAGACAATGGTAGGAATTGCCGCCGTCCAAATCAAGAAAATGACCCCAGCTTGAAGTCTTGGCTGTTGCTGATTCGACCTCTCGTGGGATATGCGGAAAGTCCGATGGAAGAAGACACCTAGGTGCCAAAGCATGACACCCACACCAAACGCAATCACCGCCAGAGCTTCGGGGATGTCATTTTGCGACGAGGGAAAGTGGAAAAGGAGAAACTGAAGGAGAAAAATGATGAAGTAAGAAAGGCCAAAGCCACAGATGATGGCACCGAGCACGCGATCGGGAAGGTCTTGGGGACTAATTGCACTCATTGCGAAGATGAAACTGAAATACTCTGCTGCGAAGTATTGATGGGGGCATCTCTGAATTTATAGACAGGAGAACAGAGCATGTTGATAACCCGTATGGCTGTGAAGACCCTTTGCGAATTCCGTTGATCACAGAACATGATTCTGAAATGGGAAGGAAAATCCCACATCACACATCAAATGCTAAAGTGAGGCCCTCCAAAGATCCCCAGTTGAACTAACTTTCGAATCACCAGCTTCACTGAATCTTTCCCAGCTCACCAGTCTTCATCAATTGATCGACTGTTTATTCGAATGCCAGAGCCAGTCGGGGCTATTTGTCAATCTCACGGTGCCGAGATAGCACGTCCACGCCTTCAATCCTTTGCAAATTCCGCCGCGTGCAAAGATGAATGTTAACGAGCACATTATTCGTGAGCTTGGTCGACAGCGGGCACAGAACGCGTACTATCGCGATTGCTATGCCCTGTTCAAATCACTGCAAGACCTCGCAGAACAGACGTCCAACGAACTACGGAGCATCTATAAATCAGATGGCGATCATTCGGCCTACTCCGTCCACCGGGTCTTATGGCAGCTTCAGAACAATGTTTTCGGCTTGATTGAGCAGGCATGCGAGGCGCAAGCTACTTGCGAAGAGCTGTGCCCGATTGATCTCGTCTTCTCCGCTCGGGACGTTTTGGAACCCATAAAGAGGCTGTACAGCGATGCAAATACCGCCTCGCTTGGCAGACATGCGATCGGAGACAAGAAATACTAAGTTGGGCCTCGGCTGACAAGGACTAGCAAGAGCGTTTGGGGATTGTTTGCGAAAGGTTGTTTCATGTCAATTCGTGATTCACTATCTTGTCTCGCTACTTGTGGAACAGCCAAAAGCCGGGCCGTCGAATTGTTGCGGATGGCATCAGAAAAGCATACCGATGTAAATCAGTCGAGAATACAAAATCAAAGCTTTAGCATCTACAGGTCCCATGGCATCCAGATTAACTGTGAGAGCAAACACCAAAGGGCCACAGGACGCGTTTGAGCCCCATGACCTGGATCGCAGCCCGCGAGAATACACCAGTGCGACAATTAGATACAACAACAAAAGGGCTGGATGAGCCATATGAAAAACGCGCCAACGGAGCAGGATGCGGCTAGCCATATTAGTGTGAGCATTGATCCTCCCAAGCCAGCCTGGACCCCGAATGGATGCAAGCTTGTCTTGATTCCCGCGGTGAAAAGACCGTACATCACGGTGACTCCGACCGTGGCGACAGCGATCAGCAATGCCGAAACCTATTTAAGTCAGAGAATTGCCATGAAGGCGGTTCCAGTGTGACTTACTATACAAGACAACGCAAGGAGTCTGTTTCCCCGAGCCCAAAAGGTCCTCCGAGCCCCAAGAATAACGACCAAGACGGTGGAGACAAATCCAGAAATGTAAAGGCTGACAATCCAATGCGAAAGCTTTTGATAGCCCGAGATGGCTTTTTCATCCACCTTGGGCAGCACTTTGTCGATTTCGACGGGCGTAGAGTCCAGCACCGCAGACAGATCAAAGGAGAAAGATGTGCGAGGCTCCGAACACACGGCCTTGGAGCCATCGCGTGATTTGCAGTAGCCCCAGAGTCCAACGTAATAGTATTGGAATAGATGTGATTTCAACTCTGTCAACTGAGCATGGATCGCGCCTTGAGCAGCTGATGTGGCCGCCGCAGATGCGTCTATCGCGCCAGCATACACGCCGGATGCCGTGTCGGTGAAGCTGTTGCCAGCTCCTTCGCTAATATCCGGGGGATGGAAATTGGGAATGGCGGGAGAGTCACGGATGACCAAATGGTCGAATTGTGGAAAGTCGGTAAGATCGATCTACTTCATGTTTAGCCAAAGATTCATGCAATGTAGAGTGCAAGAGTATCCCACTTTCATAAAGTACAATCCATTCGGCGCAGATGATGAAGTGCAGCCGACAAAGACAACGGACAGACAGACAAGAACCGCCACCGATAGAGACAACGCGATCGCCGAGATAATCTGGTCCAATCTGCTTCCTCCGGGGAGCTTCATAATGGCTGCACGAGAAGTCGCAGCGGACTAGTGGGGTAGAAATGATCCAAGTGAGATGAATGAAGTCTTTCCAAGCTGCAATACCCCGTGCAGAGGCGTCCATATTAAGTAAAGAAGAGGCGGTCGGTGTCCCGAAGCCGACATCTTGTGAATGTGAACTTGCGGCCTCACTTTGTGATTTGCTGTCTTCTTTGGAAGTCAACTTTTTCTTGCCACAACTGATGCGTCCAATCTAAATGCTGAGCGTCGCGACAGAAATGAAATGGTCGCCCAGATTCAAGTGCTCCTCTCGAGCTGGGCAATAACTCCAATCTATTGACCTCAATAAGTGGACGACACAATTTCGTGGAGCAAGGGTATGGTGAGGCATAGTTTGAACCATCTATTTATGAGGACATCGTAGTCGCCTCAAATATCCATCTCGGCGACAAGACCCCTAGACCTTATATAAAGTCACCTCGCGACGATGCTCTGTGTCTAGATGCTTGTTCCAGGTTCCAAGTGCACTTTCATACACTTTTATAAAACCAATCTGAGCCTACCATGGTGCCTACAAGTCAATCAGAATTGGCAGATCTGGAGCGCAAGTTATTCTCGTATCATCAAAGTCACTTCCAATTATCTGCCAGGGTGCATCTCTCTCACCTGACATTCGAAAAAGGGTTTCGCGCATGGATGGATGACCGTGACAATGTCCAGCGCTTGAAAAAGACCCTGGAAATTCAAGGCTGTCGTCGGCTCATGAGAGACAACCATGTGCCCGTAGTTGTGTCCCGATCTGACTGGGAGCGTCGTGTGAGTCCGCGCTACGGCAATGGCATTATGCCCAGCTTGAATGTAGACCTGGACTACCGACTGCGTGCGTTGGATCACGAGAATTTGATTACAGCAGCCCGAAAGAAGCTCGAGCCGGAAGACCAGTGGTGGATTGTGGATGTCTACGTGACTGACGATGAAGGTACGTTGAGTGGCCAACAAGCTCTGCCCTATAAGCCCCCTTCGATGCGGCCGAAGCTGACATTTCTGATACCATCGTAGAGGGTCAAGATCTTGACAGAGATCTTCTGCAGGAAAAGTTCGTCCAATCTTTAAAAGAAAGATACCCAAACGACAACCGACCACCCGACGGGTTGATATACGAGCGAATCAACTACTACGAAGGGTACCTGGAT